GAATCTTTCGCATTTGCAACATATAAACCAAAATCAGAAAGGAAAGTTAAAAAGTTTGTTCATTCATTATATAACAATGTCCAAAAATATGATAACTCAGTATGTGGTAAATATATTGACCCTTCAGAAGTTTTCAAGAAAGCAAATGAAGAAGTTGATGTCACTTTTGATATGATTATTCCGGTAAATGATTTGTTAGCATTTCAGGCGTTCGATGATTATCCTAAATCATTTGGTGAAATCATTCTTAAATATTATGTTTTCAGGGATACTTTGGTATTTTGCCAGGTTGACCCGTTAAGAGTTGCTGATTTACAAAATTACGTTTATGAAAAGATAACTGATGAAAATTATGAAAAGATTATGAATCATGTTTATAAATACGATCGCAAATTCCAACAAATCGGACTTCCTGCCAAATTAATTACAAGCTTAGCTACTACATCTGCTGACGCAACAGTTGATAACGTTATTATTTCATGCACAAAGATGGAAGTTTTAGAGGATAAATGCATTACACCAGGATATGGTTTAATTGAAGAATCAGTTAAAGCAATACCACGTTTATTCAGTAAGGAAGATCCATTCATGATTCCAGCTCAACATATTGACGTTCGTTCACTAAATGGAGGTTGCATCACTCCTGAAGGTATCAGTTCTGATTTCTCATACGCTCTTCATAATGTTACAGATGTTGTGTTAACATTTCCGAAGAATGCAATGCAAAGAACGGTTTTAGAAAATCCAATGCTTCGAGGTCTTCAGGTCACTATAGATTCCAGAAACTTCCCCGATCAAGCGATGACCACAGTGGGCGACATATTCTTTACACGTATGCTTCAAGCTTCTGATTTAGATGGAGTGAATGAATGCACAGAAGAATACGAGGACTCATTAACTAGACCACTGAATGATGATGATGGCACACCATTAGCTAGAACATGGAAAGACCAAACTTCATTCTTATGCACTATTCCAGTTCAACGTGATGGAGCGGGTATATTCTTTGATGGATTAGAAACTTTCAACTCACAAGTTACAGTACAAGTGAAAGCTTATCCAATCATTCAGGGTGAAAATGACACTTACTGTTCAAAGGTGACAAATCCTCCTCAGGTTTGGTTTACTAGGACTACATATTGGACATGGACACCGGATGAAGGTTTGAAATATCATTCAACAGGTACACCACCACAGTATAGAAGTTCATATGATGAAATATTGATGAATAGAAATGTTTAAAATTATAAATTTATTTTTGATTAAATGGATTTAAATTCATCCACACCTTATGAAGAATTAGCAGGAGTATATAATACATACGTAGATGATATGATTAATGAAGCATTGAGTGATAATAGAAATGCTCTATCTAAGGAAAAATTAATGAAAATTCCATATTCTGAATGTTACTTAAATTCAATCACTGCAGCAATTGGTAAACAAAATAAAGGTAAAACATTAACGATATTAAAACAAATTATCATTATTGCTAACACTTCACCCTATTCACATGTGTTAATTTATATCAACCGTTCAGGTTCACCTTCAGATGATACATTTGAATCTTTAAAGCATTTAATCAAAATTCCAATTATTTATTTATCACAAGAAGAAGCAGAAGATTATTTAAAAAACTTTTTAATGTATAAAGAATTATATAATACAATCAAGAAGCAAGGATTAGAGGATAAAATTATTGATAAACAACGGGATGAATTATTTGAAACACTTTCTATTTCAAATTTTGATAGAGAATTTTTGCATTCACTCATTTTTCTAGATGATGCAGTGAAATCAAAACTAATAACAAATGAGAAATCATATTTTAATCAGTTATTAACTCAATGTCGACACATTCAGTGTTCATTCTTCATGGCTGTTCAATACTTCAAAGCATTAAGCACAAACATTAAATCAAATCTATCAACCCTTTTCATTTTCAGTGGGTTTAGTCGTCAACAGTTGAACGTTATGCTTTATCAAGTGAATTTACCAATGAGCATTAATGAACTTTACACACAATATCAACAATTAGGAGAACATGGAAAAATAATAGTTGATTTAAATAAAGGAAGTGTTAAATTTGATTAACTTTTTATAATTAATTTTTATTTTTTATTTATAATTAAACATGACAGAAATAGCAAATCTTCTACAGGTTCCATTGAAACAAGGGACAAACAAAAAGGGTGCATATAATAGAACTATGAAAGTTCCTGATGGAATGAAAGAGTTAGTTCATATTGTTGCTGGTCTTCAAAAAGATGTTAAACAAATGAGAAACGTTTTAACATTACCAGAAGCTCAAGCATATGCCAAACGTCATGGACCAAATTGGGAAGCACACGAAGCAGACATTACAGGTCCAAATGGAAAACCTGATGGAATAAATGAAGTTTCGTTACTGATTCAAGGTAATATTAAAGTCATAAATGGTTATAAATTAACTATATCTGATTATCCTAAACGTAAAGCATATAATGAACGTTATCCTATGCAATTTGATGAAAATGGAAAAGCTGTTAAACAATACATTGGAGAAGGTGAAAATGGTTCAATTAATTCATACCGTCATAATCCATATTCTTATTTCAATGAAGAATTAAACGCTATTGAAGAAGGACCAAACGGATTACCTCAATATGTTAACCAGTTTGATGGTCAATATGCAAATTTGAGACCTGAAATTCCAGCTAAGAAATTCTTTAAAGTTGCTTTATTCGATCCAGTGTTCAATGAACAGAAAGAAGCAATGAAAGCAGAATTTAAACCAATTCAAGTGGCAAGAATTTCTTCATCTTCACTTTCAGAAGCGTTCAAGGAATTGATAAAGAAACCACTTTATTCTCAACAAGGATATAACTTTGATTTAATTAAAGAAAGTGATAGACGTAAATTAGAAAAATCAGATGGTTTTAAGAATGCATGTAATGAAATGATTAAAGATATTGTAAATGATAAAATAAGACTGGAAGAAACTCAAACCATTATCAATAACATAATTGGTGCAGTTACAAAGAAAGTATAAGCAAACAAGGATGAACCTTGGGATATTACCGTAACAACTAAATAAAACTTTAAATATATTTTTCTTTTTTATTCGATTATAAATGAGAAGACGTTTCACAAGTCAAAAAACACTAACGCAAAAGCAGAGATTACGGTTGGTTATAACGTAAATGATGATAAATCACGAATTATTCAAAATGTTAAAGTTAATGTTAGTCCTGAATTAACAAGGTCAGCAACTCAACCAAATTTATTAACTCATGACTTACCGAAAAAGGAGGAGGAGCAAAATAAAGAAGATGGAGACCCAATCATTTTATCTGAACCTGGTAAAGAACCTGTTGAAATTCCCACTTATCCAACATACCCAGCACCACTTGATAACCCATATAAAATAGACATTAATTCTGAATTAATGAAAATATATCGTGATATCATAACTGATAATTATGATTCAATAATAAATTTAATTGACCAATCCGGTTTAATTATTTTACCTTATGAATCATTAATTCACATTATCGCCATTCTTTGTGATGTTCAAGATTCAGACGTTAAGATTCAATTTTTCATAGATGATGAGGTTTCATGCTGCGGAACAGTTGCAAAAATAAATCCTATAAAGGATATTAGCACAATTAAGATATCAAAGAACGGAACACAACTGAACTTCATTTAACATATAATGATATTTATAATAAAATAGTTGATGAATATAAAATATCACTTGAAAAATTCTTTGTTAAGGCTATTTAATATTCAAGCATTAACATTATTGAATAATAATCCTTTGAATCATAATCAATAATAATTGACCTTTCACCAGTTTCTATCGTTTGTTTTATTTCTTTTTGTTCCCACACTATCCGGATCAGTCATTGTAATTGTTTTTGTTATAGTATCTGCTTTATCTTTAACTTCAATCTTTTTTCCATCGGGATATTTAAACCAAAATTCCAAAAATTCGATATTGTCAATCTGTTCATATTTTAATCTATCAATTACATTTTTAATACCATCTGAAAATCTTATGAAATGGTCATTATATGGGTTTGATTGAACTAAATTTGAATGAAGTGAAATATAACCTGTTGATGAATATGACATCGACTCATATTTTCTGAAAACACTAAAATTTATAACATGAATGAATTTCTTATTCGTTGAATTTATGAATTCTTGAGGTAATCTTATTCTAGTTTTATTTATCACTGGAAAATAACGCTTTACCATATTTTTAATCGTAATAAAAATGTCAATTATCAATATTATTTCGAATAATAACTGTGAATTAAATTTAACAGTTAGTGGAATTTATAATGTTACTCTCGTTTCTGTGAGTGGTAAATTTAATCCCATTCTTTTAGACCCTTCAGATTATATATCATTTATTAAAGATGACCATGAAAAAACGTATGATATGTATATAAATAATGTGATAGTGAAATGGGATATTAACATAATTTTAAGTTATTTAAATGAATCATTTATCGTATGGTATGAAGAAAATTTTAAATCAAAACCTGATAAACTTTTTGAACTTGATGAAATAAATAACCTTATTAAATTTCCGCTGAAAATTAAATTTTGTACTCCTCGTCTTCGTTCATTGTTGGGGATATTAAATTTTGAAAAAGATGTTGGGGATGTTTTGTATTCTGACACTGGTTCCAATTTCATTTTAATCAAATGTGATAAAGTTAATACCCCAACGAGATTTTCACATCAAACATTAGACCCTAACTCTTACCCATCAATACAAAACATTTTATCCATCAACTTAAACATATTTTCTTTATCATATCCGTTTCAATTATCCGGGAATTCATTTATTCTTCATTCAAAAGATTTATCAAATATTAAATTTAGAATAACTGACCTATTTGATTGTGATTTAGAATTTATGAATGAAATATTATGGCAATTTCAAATAGAAAAAATAGCTGATGAGATAACGGATTAAATATTTATTTTTAAATCGTAATAAAATGATTAAACAACAACAACTTAAGGCACAGACCATTACATACGCCACATATGCATATAATTCAAAGACGGCAGAACAAACGCAAAGGTTGAAATATGGAGATTTGGAGATAGTATTGAAAAATGACCATTTTGAATTCGTTTGCAAAGGTGGTGCAGTGATATCAAATATAAAAGAAATTTTATTTATGAATTCAAAAATTAAAGGTATAACGGATGATATAACATCAATTCCACCAGAAGAACAAAGATATTACGCATTAAATGCATTTCCTAAAGTTTTGAAGATTGGAAGATTTAATTTAAATGAGGAATTCATAAAAGGTTTCCTAAATGACATAATGAAGAAGGCAGATAAGGAATATGTTAACGATGAGTTAGAGAAGAAGGCAGATAAGGAATGTGTGGCTAGTGAATTAAATAAGAAGGCAGATAAGGAATATGTGGATGAAAAAGATAATGAAATTATAGAAAGGGTTGAATGGTATCATGAACGGACATCAAAGATTTTAAAAACTAAAGCTGATACAGGATGGGTTTCAGGATGTTTAGACCTTAAAGCAGATAAAACATATGTTAACGATGAGTTAGGGAAGAAGGCAGATAAAACATATGTTAACGAAATATACCAAAGTTTGATAGGAACAAAAAATATTGAAACTATTGTTGGCGATGTTTCTATCTATGAAGAAAACAAATATTTTAGATGGGAGTTTGTACACTCCTTAAGAAATGGTATACGGTATAAACTCATTCCGAAAAATAACAATGAAATGTATGTAGGCTATATAAAGAATAATGGTACACAAGTTAAAGTTCCATTAGACAACAACTGCTACTTAAACTTATATGGAGACGAACAAAAGAAATATTTAAGAGTTTATGAAATGGCAGATATGACATTGCCTGACCCAGCTCCAGCACCATATTATTATGACTATGGAGATGATGTCAGAACACCACATGTAGATGAACAAAAACTAACATTATATTTAGAAGTGCATGGGAACAAATAGTTGACAAGTTTTTGTATTGTGCTAATAGTTCAAAGGAAACAGGAGGTTCGAAGAAAATAAATATTGAAAACCTTCCACCACACACTCATACAGGAACTACAAACTTTTCTGGCGACCATAGCCACTCATTAAGAGACCACCCATTATACAACTCAGAATATTATGCTGGCTATGACGTTTTATCTCCAGATTATAACCATTCAGCAAAAAAGACTTTTCGACCAACTGAACCAGGAGGAAATCATTCACACACTTTCACAACAAATCCAACAGGCTTGGGTGCAGATTATATGCCACCATTTGTGACTGTATTCACATGGTACCGAATTCATTGAATGAACTAAATATATTTTATGTCTGTAATTAATTAGGTAATGAAGTAATGGATGAACTGCAGAAATAAATTTTATCGTTAATGGTTTACGTTAATGGTTACAGGTTATTCAATAATGACTTATTTTTGAAGAACTGAAGGTGTCACTATGTCACCATGTGTCACCTTCAGTTCTTCAAAAAATGTAAGACATGAATTTTCGCAAATTCTTTCACAAACTTTAGAACGGACTGAAAGTCCTGAGCTCCAAAAGAGTGAACAGCATAATTTAAATTTTTATTTTTATCATAAATGGATACCCCACAAGCTCAAAATTTACCACGAATCATAACAAGGGAGGAAATGATAAAAATGATGCGAGAACTTGCTAAAAATAACAAACCACTTAAACTGAGAAAATGCGGTTATGCAGTAATGATGGAAAGAGAGATGTTGTCGAAGAGGAATAAAAATTAAATTTGGATAGAGTTTAAAAATTCATCTTTATTAAATTCATCTCTTCCAACCAATTTATTTATTCTATTAAATTCTTTTATTTTTGCTTCACTCAGTTTAAGGATTGAACGGTAAGTTTCTAATTTTTCGATTATTTCTTTCCTCTCTTTATCGTTTTCAACCCCACCACATTGCGGCTTCTTTTTGTAATAGCATATTTTTGATTTAATTCTGTTTAGTTTCTTTTTATATTCATTGTCTGGACTCTTGACTGCTTCATTGTCACTCATTTCTTACGAAATAAAAAAAATTAAATATTATTTAAATATAATGGAGTAATAAAATAAATCGGAATTTCTATTAATTTATTGTTAACCTCAACTAATGCATTGCCGTTAATATATCTAACAAATTCAGCTATTGTGTCAAATCTTCGTCTTCTTTTTGTCATTGATTTATCAGTTTTTCCATAATCGAGATGAATTAAAACTTTATTTCCTTGTTTAAAATTCATGAGCCCCGAATTAATTTGTTCACGTTTAACATCATTTAACTTTTCCATTTGCTTTCTAATATATTCCCATTCTTTTGAAATATCATTTTTCATTTCCACCGGTTTCATGTTTATAGTTCTATGCCATGTATTATTGTAATAATATACTAACTGCTGTATGATGGAGTCATGATTTCCATCCCAGTATATCTGACCGTTAACCCCTAACGCATCTCTAAGAGTTCTCATTACCGCATCAACTATTTTATTATGAAACGTATATGGAGAGGATGAGAAGTAAAAATTAATTTGTGGGAAATAATGAGTCATAACTGCCTGAAATCCTTTATCACCATCACCCCTGATATTATCTACTCTTTCATGATCTAGTAAGTATTGAATAGCTCTTCTTGTTTCCTGTTCTGTTTTCCCTTTCACTGGAATGCAATATAAATATCTAGTGTTAATGTTAATGGCAAATAAATAAGTAACTTTTCCTTTTGAATATTCCAGATGATCGATTTCGTATGAATATGGATATGGTGCAAATGAAGGGCGACTAAATTTTTCCTTTAACGGTTGAATTTTTGGGTCAATTGGTTTATTTAATATCTTGAAATCCTTTTTAAAATCTTTTTGCTTCTTAAATGTTTGAAATGGATATAATAAAGTGAATGATGAAGGATTAACTGAAGGAGGGAGAGGTACTGTCGTTGGGGGTTTTGGTGTTGTAAGTGGTTTAATTTTATCTGCTTTGATTTTGGATTTCATTCCTTCCTTCATTAATTCTGGATGTATTCTATTCATTTGTTTTAAATATGCTGTATATAAAAGTTTGATATACTTTCCTGCTTCGAGTTTATGTTGAAGGATGAATTCCAAAAGTTGATCTTCATTTAAAAGTCGGGCTGAATGTGGTTTAACTAATGAATCATAAATTAAAGCTTGTGCATCGTTTATGGTCTGAAGGACCTGGGTGTTTTGCATCTTTTGTTTTTGTTCCTTTGGCTTTTGCGGCTCAGGATTATATAATTTATATAATTCATCAATATCTTCTTCTGTTAATACTTTATTTTTGAAATCTTTCAATTGTTTAAGTTGTGATTTAGTTTTTCCCTTTCTATATTCATTATTTTTAATTTTGTCTTTAATTTTAGAAATTATTTTATCATGATATTTCAAAATTTCATTTTTATAATATGAATAATAATAATCCATATCATCACCCGTTATATTTTTATTATATTTTTGGAGATATGCTTTTAAATCGTAATAACTAAGAAATTTTTGATTAAGTACTAAATCATCAATTAAAATTTTTAAATCTGTGTTATTCATTTATATAAAAATAAAATAAATGTTTAAGGGTGTCCACCTCTTTGTCTCTTCTGTGGTATTTTATTAAATAAATGGCATACAACATCCATTTTCACAACATACAGCCTTAGTGTGTGCTCCTGTTAATGCAGTCTTACCGATTGTTAAGCGGGTCATTGACCCATTTTTAAGTTGTAAATTAATATTTTGACCATCAAATATCACTTTATCATTTATTATATCCAAATAATTTTTAGGCGTTAATTGTTTATTTTGTCGTAAACTAACACCTTTCATTTTTTGTGCAATCTTTTTAAAATCACTTCCATCAATTGAACCGTTGAATGATGTATAACATTTAGGGCATAAAGCAACCATGTTATCGCCTTGTTTCTCAATTGCTAAACCCAATAACTTCTTCTCATGTGCTTTTTCTTCAGCTTTATTCTTTAATTTAGGTTTAAATTTCTCATCAAAACAGAAGAAATCAAATGGTGCGAATTTGAAAATGTTTTTATCATAAAATTGTTTATCGGTAACAATTGCTTGAAATGCTTGAGTGTTAGGAAGACTTGGATCGCCAGCGATTGCCCAATAAGATGAATCAGTATCACCTTCAATGAAATGAAAACGATTAACATCCAAGCATTTATACATAAAATCATAAATGAAAACCAAATACCAGTATTTAGCATTATCTAAAGTGAAGAATGCCTCTTGTAAACATGTATCACATCTATAAAATCTATCTTTAAGCATCACTTGATATGTATCTTCACCTATTTCTCTTATGTTTTTAAACTTATTTGACATACATGCAACGCGTGCCTTCTGTGCATTCATTATTTTAGTCTTTGCGTAATTTTGTGTATTCATTGCATCGTAACCATATGATCCATTAAGTGAAATTTTGCAAAATAAACTTTTTCCTTTATTTCCTTCTAATTCAGCCTTTTGTCTTTCGTTCATAAATTTGTTCGCAAATTCATTAAAACAAGTGTTTTTCGTAAATGTTAAAATTGATTGAATATCATCGATGATAAAATGAAATCTGTCTATTAGATACCAAAGATAATAAGAAGAAAATGGTTGATATTGGTTGTGTGTTGATGCTAACTGAGTTAATTTTCTCTGTTTCTGGTCAACTGGTAGATTGTTTGATTTCATGTAATTATACATAAAACTGCCAATTGTTTTTTCATCTGTGATAATATCTAAGTTTCTTATTATCGGTAAAAAGTTTATGTAATCATTAATATACTTTTCATCAATGTGACCCTTTACTTCAGCCACGAATAAAGTATTTTTCTTTCTAATAATTCCCAGTGCTTTTGCTTTCTTTGTTGCTGTATCACAAATGATCACACCATTCAATCTTCCCGGCATATACATTTCATGGTCAGTATATTGAATGAAATCATGAGGATTAGATGAAAATGATGAAGGATATAATGAATTAAAGTCAACACCAACGAAATGAGTCATAATGTTGGTGGTGTCCTCATTTGATACAGTTTTAGTTTCTGGATTATATGAAAGTTTATTAATGTGCGTGATTCCTTTAAGATTTACTCTATGTTGAACATTTGATAGACCACCAGTAATTCCATTACGGAGAATGTGATAAGCTTCAACTGAATCTAAAGTCATTGGTAAATTATTTTTTAATGCATAATTTCTTAAATTGATTCTTAAACGTTGAACATCTTCATCTTTATTTGATTTTACGACATTGCAATAACAACACATTAACTGACAATTTTCTTTGGTATGTGGTTTTTCATTATCGATTCTATCCAATGTTGGTTTATTAGCATATGTAAACGCTTTACCACACATTTTGCATTTAGATGAAAGGATTAAATCGTGATAGTATTGATAGTCATCCATTGAAACATTGTTTTTAGTATCCCTTTCTGCTTTTTCATCTTGTTTCTTATATGATTCAATTTTATATTTCCAATACTTTTTCGTTAATTCAAAACTTGATTCTATCTCTTCCTCAGGATATTTTTCATTAGGATTAAAGTCTTTATATGCTAAAGCGTAACGAATCATTGATGCATTCGATGATAAAGAAAGATTATGAAGCATGTCAATTTTATAAACAAATGTTTCTTCAATAATTTTATCAATTGGGTCAATCATAATTTCAACATCTTTATTGCAATAATGAATAAAATATTCTAATCTATTCTTAAAATTTTTAGCATCATTGAGATATATTTGATAATCTGAATCGGATATTGTTTCTTGTGTTAATGCTGAATAAAATGAATCTTGAGTGAATGGTTCCTTTTTATATAATTCTTCTTCGTAATTTTCCCACGTGATGAATTGATAAGGGAAAAAGGATTTAACACGTGTTTTATTGTTTCCGAAATCTTGAGTGAATTGGTCTAATGTCCCACCCGCTATATAATTTCTGATGTCAATAAATCTCAATTCATATGGAACGTTTGTTTTCTTTACAATGATTTGCTTAAATTGAGAAGAAGAACCCAGCATTGATTTTATCTTCCATTTTGCAGTATTTAAATCACGAAGAATTAAATTTAAATCAAACTTTCCCGAATTAAAACCTATGATATTCACTTTATTGAATTCCTCATCTAGAAGTTCTTTAAATACTTCCTTCTGTTTTTCATTTAATGTTTGCGACTTCAATAATTCATTGTATTGACCCATATTTGATTCAACAACTAATGAACAGGTTGAAAATAAAAACTCAATCCAATCAGAAATAAAAGAATCACTTGATGTTAAGCAAAAATTCCTCGTATATGTTTTATCGTTTAATTTAACCATTGATGATACCATAAATGGTTTTAAGTAAGCGTTCAAAGTTGCACATTCAGAAAGTAGAAGTTCTTCTTTAGTCTCTAATGTTTCGAAGTCAAAAGTAATATAATATCTTGTCGGTTGATAATATTCCTGCAAATTATGAGCTAATAACCACTGATATATCTTCTGTTTCGTGATATGTGGTGCATATGGTTGTTGTGTGTTTTGCAATTGAACGTCTTGAATTAATCTTCCATTATTTTCTTTACATTTCTCACAATGCTTTAAAAATCTTCTTTGGTTTTTCCTTTCTGGATCATCACGGATAGAATAAACTTCTTCTTTACAATATGGGCAAACTTTATATCCTGTGAGTGCTTCAACGTCTGTTATTCTGTCAGCGTGAAGTTTTCCACATGGACTCTGTGTTAATAAAATATTTACTGTTTCAAATTCTGGATCTATCATTATTGTTTCCACTAATGGAAAGTCTACCTTGTTAATGTCTACGTCTTCTGGTTGAGGGTCACAATAATAAAAATCAATATTAACGTTTAACATTCTTGCTAACCTCTCACTTTCTGATGAAATGTCAAATCCTTCATATGCATCTATGGCTTCATTTAAATAACTTCTACGAGTTTTAGGATTAACACCATCAGGAATGTTATAGAAGCGTTTAAATAACCTTCTACCTTCTGCTCTAATTTGATTATCATTCATTTTAGCTGTTCCATTTTTATTCATTTATGTAAGAAAAAAAATTAAAAAAATAAATAAAAATAAAGTTTATTTTTTAAAGCCCATAAAATGAATTAAGAACACATAAATTTTTATCATCTGCGACGTGACGAATACATTTTAATTTACTCAAGAATGTGTACCCTGATACATTAAATCTAATTCCTGTCTTATTTAATTTCACAACTTTGAAAAGGAATGTATGAATAGCTATGAAATGATGAGAAGATGATTTATGTGTTGCTTCCATTTTTTCTGAAATAAATGAATAAATATAATGCTTATACGTTTTCATATCTTTTATGTTCTTAATAACGAATGGTATAGACCTTTCAACTTCGTCTTCCTTCGGTGCTGTTCTTTCATATGAAACATTATTGGTATCTTCAATAATGAAACCGCAATCACATAAAATTTTATATGTTCCAATGGTTTCTTTTGATATTTTATCTAACAAATCAAAAACTTTATCAACACCTGTACATTTATTTAAATAATAATTTGTGTAAATATCATGGTCTTCTTTCTTAATCGTATTAGTTGCATATGTTACATTTTTCAGTGCTTTTTTGAATTTTTCAGAATCGAGAGGGGGTGAAAGTAAGATACAAGGGTATTCTTCATTATCAATAAATTGTAACTTATGTTTATGAATAAATTTAGTACCTTCTTCTGAAAGTGTTTCGTCAATATCACCATCTAATAAATTTTTAGTAGATTCCAAAAAGTAATTTTTATATCTTTCCTCATGTGATTTTTGAACTTCTGATTCTGAAGCTGGGATATTCATTAAACCCTCTACTTCATTCTCAGCATTTCTCAATTCACTAATTCTTTCATCTATTTCATTTCTTAATTGTTCCAATTTCTCAATCTCATCGTTATAATATTCATCATCTTTAATTCGTTCTTCATAATATTCAGGGAAAACATCAGGTTCTTTAGGTTTTTCTTCTTTTTTAGATGTGGGATATAAGAAATTTATAACATCATCTTTATTCATTTTTCCATCATAATCAAACTCATTTAAAAACTCCGCGAATTTTTGACAATTTCTTAAATAATATTTATCAACCTCATAACCCGCCTCCTCTAATATATCCTTTATTTCCCTGTTTGTGAATCCTAATTTTTTAACGTCGTTAGTCTTGACACTCATTTCATACAAAATAAAAAAATAAAATAATAAACATAACTAAGTTTTAATTTTTTAATGGTTTTATAAATATATTTTTATTTTTTATTTCATTATGTATGGGCTGAGTGTAAATGTCTTACAATTTTGAACATTTTTTAAATCTTGATTTATTCAAAAACAAAATAAAAACCGTAAGAATCATACATTTTTTACTTCATATGTTAAAAAAAATGATACAAAATCGCTCGATATTGTATGAATTCTTACGTTTACAAAAAAAGTCACAAAACCCATCATATCCTACTACTTCCATTTTTTTTGGAATTTTGAAACCATTCAAATTTTTTTAAATATGTATTAGATAACATAATTGATTTATCAAACTTAAATAAGTAAAAATTATAAAATTTTCCTTGTTCTCAAGTGACATGAAATTTGTTTTGGAAAATCAGTTGTTTAAAAATCATTTTCATGTGTGGACAGTTTACTATTCGCTACATCCTTGTCAATGGTGAAACAAGCGACATCCGAGTCAGGGATGATGAGACAATTCGCGAATTGATGGAAGAACTTGAAGAGAAGACAGGTTACCCAGTTGAAAACCAGATGCTTTTGTTTAATGGTCAAGTACTTGCCCCAGATAGCACAATTGAATCATCCAAAGTTCAGCCAGGTGATAGTATTCACATTACACCTAATCTCGTTGGTGGCTAAATTTAATTTCATAACTAAAATTTATTACATTTTGATGTTTTTTTTTAAACTTCTCATAACTTCCTTTTTCTAATTGATAAAATTGCGATTGATTGTTCCAATATTTTCTGCGGGGTCTATAAAAATTGTACCATTATTATTTTATGGGGTCCAACACTAGTTTAAACCTCTCGATTGCTTCCAAGTTTTGTGCCATATATATGCATGATTAATTGAAATTATTTCAATTTTAATGAAAAGTAGATTCCATTTTCTTCTGTTTTTGCATCGTGTTATCATTTGTTCAGAGCCTCTGAAGGCTAAGATAAATTTGCTAAGGATTCACACTCCTTAAAAACGTGGAATCTAAATGTTAAGGGTGCAATTACCACTTTCTGACAAGTCCACACAAAATCAACAAATCCTTGTTTTAATAGTAAAAAATTTTAATAAGCCCATTCGATACAACTTACTGGTTTAAAATAACCTTGTATCGGCAGAAAATATCAACTTTTGAACTGACTGTTTGATGTAAATTTAGAAATGTTAAAAAAATTGAGAGAATGTCAGAAGGCCGTAGGTTCGAGTCAAAGTAATTTGACATTTTTTTATTAGAAGGTTACAAATTATTTTGTTAGAAGGTTACGAATTATCAAAGGGTGCTATAATGATTAAATGCTTAGAAAATAAATTACATATATTTCCAATAAATAATTTTTCGCAATTGCTTCAGATAATCTTCAGAATTAGAATGTGAGTTTTACTATATATATATATTGTGTGTGTTATATTGGCAGACAGTCTATCATTACTAGTAATGTTGAATGATGATTCTCACAGAGTATTTAATGAAGGAGAAGCAATGCAGTTTTATAAAGTATTTTCACAATCTTTATTAGAAAGCAATGAAAACATTGCTGGTTCTCTTTTTAATGAATTATTAACAATAATCAATTCCAAGAATTTTAAAATCACGCCACCATTTGATGAATTTCGTATATTAGATGTGATAATAGAAAGTAGTTTTCCTTCAGCACCAGCTCAAATTCGAAATTTGGCGTTCCAATGTCTTGAAACAATCATAAATGCACATGATTTTAGCGGGAAAAGTATTAAAACAATTATAGGAGCACTTGGAAATCAATTTCCTGACTTTGACAACGAATTTGAAATTAAAATTTTCCGATTTTATCAGTTAGCATCAAGTAAGTCTCAAGATTATCAGCAATGCATACTATACACTCTTAAATATGCTGATATTGCCTCATCACTTTTACATCAGTATTCAAATCCAGAAATATTACATGAAGCTTTCTTATTTGTTTCATCAATATTTAACTATCCAACATCAGAACTTTTTTCAAATAAAATTGCCGAAATTATACCAAATTTAGAACCATCTCCAGATCGATCATTTCTTATAACTAGAATCTCTGTTGTTATGCCCGTTTCACTATCAAAAATTGGATTTGACGTAGTTATTACAAGTATTCTCGATCAAATTAATACAAACGAAAATCAACTCATAATTGATGGTTTAATTACTCTCAGAGGAGTTATCAAATGCTCTAAAGAAGGTTTTGACTTTGATTTTTCAATTATTTTTAATTTTTTGTCAAATGAAGATATCCAAATTAGAACAGCAGCAGTTTCCATTCTAACCGAGATTATATTTAGTTTTGGAGATAAAGGTATACATCTTTTAATCGAAAACAATATTTATAAGTTAATTTCTGAAAATCTTTCCAACATTGTATCAATTAAAGAAAAAACAGAGTGTATCAGATTTGTATCAGCATTTCTTTATTCAATTCCTAACAGCGAAGTTGATTTTGTAAATCCTGAGATTATTTGCGAATTAGCAGAATCTATGGCCATTGATGATTTCAATCTTCAAATTTTGATAATGAAAACACTTGAGAAGATGGCTAACACTCAAAATGAAGAAATAATAAATGATATTAACCAAAGTCTTGAAGATTCAGGAGGAATGAGTCTAATTATCGATTATATGAGTTGCGAAAATGAACAACTAGCTCAATCCTCATCTACTCTCTATGCTGCTTTACAAACTCCAGATTTATCTGATATTGATTCAGATGACTTTTAGAATCTTTGTTTTTTTTTTGTTAAAAATTTAATATAAAGAACTAGATAAATATATTTGTATTTTTACTATATATATTTCTTTATTTATAATTTCGATTAGAACAATTAAATAGTAACTTGTTCGGATAACGTCCATTTGAACTTCCTATTGCATCAAAACTTATAAGAAGTCTTACCATTTCATTCATTGAATCTTCACATATTGCATAATCAAGAATAGTCAGTCCTTCTTTATCTTCAGCATTGATAGATATACCGTTTTTAATTAGAAGTTTCACCATATCAAAGAAATTTCGATATACTGCAGAGAAAAGTAAAGTTTGCCCATATATATCGACTTCATTGATAGTTGCCCCATTCTTGATAAATCCTTTAACTGCTTTAATATTGTTAGAATAAAATGCATAATGAATGGGAAGCAATCCTTTGTTATCTTTTAGATTCATGAATGCACCATATGTAATAAGAAGTTTCATTATCTCTTTATCACCTGTATAAAACATTGCAGAACATCCATTATTATTTTTTAAATTAACATATGCACCATGTTCCAAAAGTACATCAACAATATCTCGGTTGCAACTTTGCACTGCATAATGTAGTGCAGTGTTCCCATTACAATCTTGTGAGTTGATTGAAATGCCATGGGCAATTAGATATTCTGCAATTTCTTTGCTATCATTACTAACAATATAATATAAAGCCGTGTGCCCATTAACATTTTTTGCATTTATATCAGCACCATTAGAAACGAGAAGTTCAACAATTTCTTTACAATTTCTCCCTACTGCATAATGAAGAGCAGTTTGCTTATAAATATCACAAGAGTTCAAATATGCGCCATATTGAATAAAAATTTCAACAGCTTCCTTACACTTATTTTGAGCAGCATAGTGAAGAGCTGTTTTTCCATTAGTATCTTTTTCATAAATATCTACATTATTTTCAAGAAGTTTCCTTAACAATTCTATCATTTGACTCAGCTGCTACATGAAAACCTGTTTTCCTTTTATTTTTATTGGCAAAGTTCTTCTTATAATAATTAAAGGGGTCTGTATATGAAATATAATTAACGTTTGGAATAATCAATTTAATATGCTTAGAGGGTTTTTTCTGCGTATTTTTATCTGCATCATTTTCAATAAGTATTTTAATAACATTATGAAAGTCCATTTTTCTTGCAATATCAAGAGGGGATTGAGCCTCATTATTAACTCTATTAATATATGCACCATTTGAAATCAAAATTTTTGCAACTTCTGCAGAATCATTTAATGCAGCATAATGGAGAGCTGTCTGGTTTTTTATATCAAAAGCATTAACAGGCCTATGATAAGCTTGTGAAGAACTTAATAAAAATTCACATAAATCAATGTTATTGTAGCAAGATGCATAATGAAGAAGATTCTTACAATCATCGTCAAGCATATTTAAATCAATGTTTTCAGTTTTGAATATTTCAATAGTTTGAGGGAATGCAGAACACCATGGAATTACATTCCATTTTGCCTGGTATAGAAGAAATACAGCTTTTAAATTTTGCGAAGAAATTATTTCATTTATTTCAATCATTTCCAAATCATGTTGATCCAAATCTATTAATTCATTCTCAAAAATATATTCAAGGAATTTATTGTTGTGTGATTTGATTGCATTTAAAAAGCAGATCCTATCCGGATTATGAATCTTTAAACATTCATTGATGATGTCAGTATTTCCACCAATTATCGCATTTGATAAAAATTTTCCTGTTATTTCACATGAATTATTTGAAAGAAGGAAATAAAATATATTTACAGATCCATAGTAAGCACATGCTTCAAGTAAAGTGAAAATATCATTGTAAAAACGATCCAATACATATCTAGGCAGATTGTTTGTTACAATATAGTTTCTGAAATCGTCAATTTGATCATTAAAAATTATAGAATAAATTTCATCATGTAACACAGGAATAACTTTATTTTCGAAATGACATTGACCATTGTTATTATTGCAACTCAAGAATGTTTTCAAATTTTTAGTTTTCTCTTCTATGAATTGAAAAGATATTGGATAAAGACTGGACAGCAGGTTGAGAATTTCAACATAATTTCTTATTGAATGTGGATTTCTTTGCATAGCCTGGAAAATGCATCCAATTATTTGATGAATCGATCTTTTATACTTTGAAATTAATATGTTCCTGATCAAGTTTAAAGTATCAATAATGGGTTCATTTGATTTTAGATGAAAAAGCTCCTCATAAGTTGTAATGAAGTCTTCATATTTTTCACTCATTTGATTGAAAGAATTTTTTGACTTCCAATTTTGTGTTGAAAAATTTTTAGGTTATTCCATTTGTATTGTATAATATGCAAAAACATGAAAAATTAAATTTCCCTTTTGAGATTGGCAAACTTTACGCAAAATTCACTCTGAACTTTTTCTGAATCATATTCTGAGTATATAGAATACCGATAACTTCAGTTTGCCACTCTAGAATGATCCGTATTCTCAGAAACAATGAATTTCATGAGAGAACTAATTTCTGTGGTAGACATATGATACATTTAGCATGTAAATCGCAAAAGATAGGGACGTTAAAACGCCTCTTCACAGTGCTGTTAAAAATAATAGTAAAAAAATAGTCGAACTTCTTATTTCACATGATGAGGATGTTAATACAAAAGATGAAAATGACATGACTCCTCTTCATAACATAGATTTAAATTTTTCTATACAAATAGCCGAATTTCTTATTTCTCATGATGCTGATATCAATGCAAAAGATAAATATGGTTGTATACCAATTTCTGGTGCACTTGAAAATAATTGTATATTTATATATATATAAATCTTGCACAATTAAACCGAAACTTGGAGAATTTTTTTGGAATGATAAATTTTTAACCATAAAAATAAAATTCATTATTAGTCAATAAATTATTTATATCTTGTATCGGAAAGAAGAAATTGAGAAATATGTAAAAAATTGAAAATAATATTTTTTATTCTTCATGCACTCTTAGTATTCCAATTGGGATAACTGCTTTGATGGAGTGATATATTGATAATTACAACTCCAATGAGGGGGTGGGGGTTATTTTCCAAAATTTTATAATCTTTTCACTTTCTAAAGTAACATTTCATGTTAAACCAGGTGGGAACCGACCTTCTATCAAAGGCTATATAACATTTTATCAGATGAATTGCTACGTACTATTCCAACCATTGTCAACATGTGATTTCAGTGAACAATGCAAATAAACTAAAACTTTAATAAAAGTAAACCGTTTAAAGCTTTTCCTACTATTTCTCAAAGATGTGGATAACTTTTATTGATTTAAAGATCTTTCCATTTCAATCAATATGTTTATTGTCACTTTTATACCGTTATTTTTCAGAATGGCATCTAAAGACTCAAAGGAGCAGCCACCAGCCCCACCAATAGAAAATACATATCTTCTTCCCTCTCAAGTATTCCCAGTTACTGCAGTTCGTCGTGTTATTGAGAAACTCATGTTAGAAACATTTCCAGAAGATAAGGGTAAAGGCAAAGATGTCATTAAAGGCCCAACATACGAATCATTCGGAGATGTTACAAACTTCCTCCGTCCTCTTACAACAAAATTCAAGGATGCTCTCGAACAACCAGGCGTATTGTGCCCAGAAAATGTTAAAAGCAGATTCAAATTTGTCGTTCAGCTTACAATTAGTGAGAAGATTGGCCAGGCCCTCTACATGGGCTCTGCATGTCTCTGGGATATGGAACATGATAACTATGTTACTTACACTGTCGAAAGACCAACTTTCACTGCAAATGCCACTGTTTATGGATGCTTACTTGAGTAAATTGACATATTAAAATTATTTTTACAAAATATTTTGAAAACGAATATTATTTTTCTTTTAGAAATTTCCTCTCTTACTTTAATCAATTTCACATAAAGCATTTGAACATTTAGTGATTACCAATTTCATGAACAAGAGAAAATTAAATTTTTAAAAATATTGAAATCAAAAATATCAAAATGTATATTATGAATCTATTCGAGAGGATATAAAATAACGAAATAATGAAAAGATCTCTTTTTCTTTTTTAAAAAATCGAAATATTTTGTTTAAAAACTTAGTATTTTCAAAAGAATAATCAAATTATACTAGTACGAATTAAGCCTCGAAATCAAGGGTTGGTGTACTAATATCAATTGTAGGGATAACAGTGTGAATAAACTTCAAGAAGATGAAATAGTACATTGGTGCGCAGAACTTCTCTGGGTGATCAAGACGCTCAACAAGACGAACCATGACGTGACCATGTTGGCATGGATGAATAGAAAGGTTCTTTGTTGCTGTAAATGGATGATTTTCATAGGTAACAGTTTTATCAGCATAGTCAGCGCTGATATCCTGATACATTTGTTCTAATGTAAGTGGGACACCTTCGTTGTTGACACCATATAAGAAAATATGGGCAACATTATAGAATTTATCGTAGCAAATTGAAATATCGTATGTTCTGTAGTCAATTACATCGACTTCTTGAACTTCTGGCTCTATCTCATCAATATCAATTTCATCGAGATCAACTGCTTCTTCGTCATCATTAATTTCGAGAGCCGCTTGAGCTGCAGCTTCACCAGCCTGACACCAACCATCGCCAATGTCAACTTCTTCTTGCATCATTTTCGATAAATCAGTTGCACGCTTTTGGCAAACAACTCTTCTGTTAATTAAATATTGCTTATCTTTTGGAAGATAATCAACTTCATGACCTTCTGGAGCAGAACACCAGCTCCATACTGGGCAATTTGCAATTAAACAATCGCCTGCAGCAACGAATTCCTCTGGAGTAAGCTTGCCATCCTTTATAAGTGTAGATGTGTGTGGAACTGAGTTATATTTATTGACGAAACTCATCCATTTCTGGTGAATTTGATTCTTCATTTTTCGAAATAATTCAAAAAATTTTGGGATCCACTAGGTGTCACGTTTTTAACAAAAATGGAAATACATTAAAATATGTTTTGAGCAATAGATTTATTCAAAATTTTTAAGATCCGATTATTTTTCTGAAAAAATTTGTCAATTCTGATGTAAATAGTCAAAATGTCAAAAATTAAGTTTGGTAATTTTTATCAGTAAATCTATGGCAGAACCATTTCTCAAACGCTCTATGAATCAACAGGAGTATTACTGGCCTGCTGTAAGTGAATAGTTCTTTATTATCAATATTGGATTTTTTATTTTTTCTAATCAATGTGAAATTTTTCCAACATCCCATAAAACTTGGATTTTTTCAAGAAAATATTTTTTCATATTCATATGCCATTATGATAATAAAACTAGATTAACATTATCGCCATTTTTTGTGTACGTTTACAAAAAATGAGATCAAAAGGAAAAAACAAGGGCAAATGCGTCACGTCTACCGACGCATGTCATGCGAGATCCAGTCTATTGACTTCGCTGGAATTCCACGCCCTAATTTCGACTATGAAGATGATGAAGTTCCCGATATTCATCCAAGTCCAAATCTTATATCTTCAAATTCAACTCCGGCATTTGCTGTATCAAGTGGTCTCATCTTACCTACTCTTAACATTGTCAGTCCGATACCTCGAATATCTCCACTTATATTGAGTTACGCATTAGAAGGGAAATATGACGATTATTTCGACAATTTATACATTATCGACTGCAGATTTGAATACGAATTTAATGGAGGACACATTAGAAACGCCTTCAATTTGTCATCTCCTGATCAACTCAAAGAAAAATTTATCGATAATCCTGAGCCTCGAGCCGTGTTTGTTTTTCACTGTGAGTTTTCTCACAATAGAGGGCCATCAATAGCACAGATTTTCCGCGAAATGGATCGATTTGCAAACAAATCACGCCATCCAGCAATTTACTATCCGAATGTCTACATTCTTGAAGGTGGGTATAGAGAATTTTACAATAATTTCCAAGATCAGTGTGAAGGAGGATATCGCCCAATGATAGATCCTGGATATCAGTCCCTCTGCCAAAGATCAATGCAATGTTTCAGACAAAATGTTCAAAAAGCAATGAAAGAAATGAGAAAACCACTTTCCCGAGAGACAAACTCTCAACACATGTTCACATCTCCGATTAATTTCCAAGAAAGGTATTCTAATTCACCAACAACAACTAGATACCGAGCTAAGCTTGTTGGTGCCCTTAAGTTCGATTAAATGTTTATTTTTTGTTTTAAATATGAGTAAAACTCGGTAATGCGAATAATTGAATTTGATATTTAGAAACAAATTAATGAAATCGCAATTATTCATTATACATTCTAGATTTGGGCTGTATATATTATACAAATAATGCTCAATGACTTATTTTTGATAATGATTGGATAGAATATCTCAATAGATCAATGAGATTCTCTTAAAGTTTGATCATACGAGCTGCCCTCTATAAGCCTATTATATTTGAAATGATATTTTTGAATTTCAATTAATTCAATAGATTGTAAAAATTGAATGGTTTATAGATTTTGAATTGATTCAAATTTGTGGAAACATGATCATTATAAATTCACACATTGCTAATTTTATTTTCTAGATCAATATTAACAATAAATAAACAGTAGCTCTTTTAAAATTGTAAAATGCTTTCCATCAAGATTGATGGCAAGGAATACCAGGAGAAAAAGGGTCAAACCATTCTTCAAGTATGCAACAAACATGGTGTTTACATTCCAACTCTTTGTAATCATCCAGATTTGCCCCCAATTGCTCATTGTGGCGTTTGTGTTGTCAAAATCAATGGAAATAACTTTGTTTTATCATGCTCACATAAGATTGCAGCTGGGATGGAGATTGAAACGGGAACACCAGAGATTAAAGCTAAAGCTTTAGATGCTTTGCAGAATTTCTCTGATGTTACAATGATGCCAAAGACACCAGAGATAGAAGAACTCTATACATATCTTAAACCAGCACGTAAAGTTAACATGACTCCACAAAAATTAACTTCAATCTCATTTGATCCAGGTTTATGCATTCAATGTGATAGATGTACACGCGCTTGCAGCGACATTCAAGCCATGGACGCTATCCAAGAAGACACTCATCAAATCATAGACTTTGATTGCATTCAATGCGGACAATGTGCAAATGTCTGCCCAACAAATGCTATCTACGAAACTCCAGCAATACCAAAAGTCATACAAGCTCTTGCCAAAGGCTACATCATGATAATGCAATTTGCCCCTTCAGTTCGTGTTACAATGGGCGAAATGTTCGGAGATGAGCCAGGCACAATCTGTACAGGCAAGATCATTGCAGCGTCCAGAATGATGGGATTCCGCTATGTTTTTGACATCGCATATGGCGCCGATATTACAGTTCTCGAAGAAGGTGCAGAATTGGTTCATAAGATCCAGAACAATGAGAAACTTCCAATGTTTACATCATGTTGTCCATCCTGGGTCAATTTTGTTGAAAGAAAACATCCTGAATTAATTCCACAACTTTCAACCGCCAAATCTCCACACATGATGAGTGCAGCAGCCATCAAAACAGTGTTTGCCGATGTCAACAACATTGATCCTTCAAAAATTTTCTTAGTATCTATGATGCCGTGCACAGCCAAGAAAGATGAGATCATCAGAACTCCATTACAAGGCCAAGTTGATGCTGTTATCACTGCAAGAGAATTCGGACAAATGATCAAGACATTTGATATCGATTGGAGTACTTTGGACAGTGACCATACAGCTGCCTTTGATAAAATGATGGGCGAATCATCAGGAGGCGGTAACATCTTTGGTGTTTCCGGCGGTGTCATGGAATCAACAATGAGATATGTTTCAGAAAAATTGACGGGCCAAACATTGGTTTCTCCACCTGATTTCAGACAGATTTCTGAAGAGATGAGATCAGCTGAAGTTCAAATAGGAGACAGGACATTCAAGATCGGCATCTGCGGAGGAATTGCAGCTGCAAAAGATCTCCTAGAAAGTGGTGAATTCGATGATTACGATTTCATCGAAGTCATGGCTTGTCCAAGAGGTTGCATTTCAGGTGGTGGACATCCAAAGCTCCCAATAAAGAGAATCCCAGAAAGAGCAAAAGCTTTGTACAACATCGATGGAAAGAAAGGCGAAATGAACAAATTATCTGCATTGAAGAACGAAGAAGCTGCTGAATGCTACAGAATACTCGAAGAAAAGAATGCAGACTTGAAGAATCATATTTTCCATACTCATTTCAGTCCACAAGTTGCTAAGTAATTTTTATTTATCTGATAATTTTTTTAGAGATAAAAATAATTTATTTATATATTTATATTCATGAAATGAAACAAGTTTTCTTCGTGGAACAGATGATCATATTTAATTTTGATTTAAAAAATCTTATCTCAGTGCTAAAGTTTATAGGATAGAATGTTTGCTGATCTAAATATCTTTCATTAGACAAATATAGTAAAAAAGCTTTAGAATGAATTATAAAAACACTAATGAAGATACTACTCCTTGGGAAGAAACTTCAATTAGCGAACATAAAATCTATCAACCTCTTGAAGATTACTCAGAACTGTTGGAATTGATAGGGAATTTGCGAAGTTGTACAGAATCCTATATCCAAGATCCTAGTGATATGCTTGCAAGCAATCTAATTGCAATTCTCGAAAATCTATTTGAAATCCTTAGTAATTTTGATATGCCATTTCCAGAAATCGCAGTTGAAAATGAATTTTATTATACAATACTCGATTTACTGACAAGTAGTCCTGATATTAACGTTTTATATAATGCATTTATTTGCTTCGGCATCTCTTTAGAAAGATATCCAGAAATAATTCAATATTCATTTTTTAATTCACTTCTATCACAAGTTCTTAATGAAATGGACGAACATTTTAGCATCTTGATATCACCAGGAACTAAAATACTTTGCCTTGGAATTACTCATTTCAATGATATTGATATAGATATGCTTACTAGAATAATTGAACAAATGCCACTATGCGAGCAACATACAATGCTTGTTCAACTAGTTCAAAAATTAGGAAGTATTTGGTATAACGAAAATGATCCTGATTATTTGATAAAACTCAACCAATATCTTAACCTTTTAGAAATATTGATATCAGAGAAAAAGATTCTAACACCAACTGTTCAACTTCTCAAAGAATTATTTGTTCTTGCAAAAAACAGAAGCCACAGGATACAAATACAGCATAGTGTTATTCATACAAATTCAGTTAAAATTATATTTACTTTCATTGAAGAAATCGAAGAAAAATTCAGATTTGACATTTTATCTTTAATTGAAAAAATATTGAGAAATAAGTGTGGATATATAGGTATTGGAGTTTTCTTTACATATATTAAGAGCCATATTCAATTCTACTTTGATTTGACAGAAGAAGAAAATCCGGAAGAAATTCAAATCCAAGCGAACAAAATTCTGTGTCATTATTTCATGTATGTTGAAGAAAACCCGAATTTCCAAGTAGAAGAATGGCTTGTTGTTAAAATGTACGATTTAATTAACCATTCAAACTTCAAGGTCAAAAAAGATGCAGTAAGAACATTGAGTCAACTTACGAGGCGTTTAACTGAAGAACAAGTTGAGTATGTTATTGATCAAGGGATTTTAGATTTCTTTTTAGATATGTATGATTCTGAATCTGAAGATATACAAATGTCAATATTAAGCGGATTTAGAAGATTAACGTCTAATGGATCAAAACATGTTGCAGAAGCAATTATGGAACTTGAAGAATTTTTCGCTGAAGCTGAATTAGAAAGTGAGGCTAAAGCTAGCCTTTGTTACCTTATTCACACAATTGTTGTGAACAAGCTACAAGAAGAATAAATATATTATTGTTTTGTTTTAATATTTTAAAATCAACATTTTTTTAATTAAGCACTTGCACCCTATAATATAATGTTCAATTCTGATGCTTAAGATAAGTTTTCAATGATGCTATAAACCAGTTGTTAGGATTTTAAATAAAAGTCAAATGGGCGTAAGTGTACACTTAAGATTCGTGATCAATATTTTCATGTAAAAAGAGAGAATATGTGCTGTTACCTCAGGCGTCATTCCGCTTATACTAGGTGCGCCCAAAATATTGAGTCTTTTCTTGCTCTAGAAATAGTGAAATCCCAATTGAGAGTGATAAAATTCAAAAACGATATATTTTATTTGGCCGGATTACACCTTTACATTATTTTTTATGACGCAAGATATCAATCAGCTTAAACAAATCCTTCAAAACCAAACTATGTTACGCGATGATTTATCAAGACAATGTCTAAAGAGAGAAGAGATACAGAAAAACAAACAACAAGAGCTATGCAGTCAGATAACGCAGCTACAATTACATATTAAATCACTAGATGTTTACATTAAAAGGTTATCATTAGTTCACTCTCAAATCTCTGCTTCTTCCTCGTATCCTTTGTCAAAAGATGATTACGCGGAAATTCTTCGTCTGGTAAGTACAATGTAATCTAAAAGAACAAAGAAAGTATCAAACAGCATTTAAAATTCGAATTTTTTTAAAATATAAATTTCAAAATCGTTAACAAGTAGTTTTCGATAGGAACATCATAGATTTGATAATGACTCAAACAAACGCATGATTGCAATCGTTACCAAAACTTTATTTAGATAATCAAGCATTTATGAATTTTTATTTACTAAATCTTAGTCCGCTATCATTTCCTGATTTACCCAATGCGATATATCTTCTTCTCTACAGTTTTTAAATGATTTAAAAGAAAAAAGATAAAATTGAAATTTTCATCACAAATTTAGAAGAATTAGTATCATTTTAATGCAATATCTGTACTAATTCCAATTAGTTCTACGTATAAAGATGTCCAAAAACTGAATAAAAATTGATTTATATTTTGATATTTTTAACTTGTATGCATATTTTATCATACCACTTAAAGAATGTTAAGTACTACTAAGTCATGCTGATTTTAGTTGAAATCATTGAAGGAATTCACCTTGAACTAAACAAAATAAAGATTTTTTCTTTCAAACAATAAATAATAACGTTTAAAACATACAAAAATAACAATAACTATGCTTGCTGAGGAGGTTGCTGAGGAGTATCACCTTTTTCAGCTTCCTGAAGTTCTTTCTTCTCTTTTTCCATCTGCCTGATTTCATTTCTTTGGCGTTGAACTCTACTGGCTAACTTTTGATTATGCTTTGTAACAACGAATCCTTGTCTGACTGCATCCTTTGCAGAATTCTTATAAATATTATTTGCTCTTTCTAAAGCTAATATCTCCTTATCTGCCGTGATTGCACATTTTTCATATGCAATAACTTTGGCGGATAATGCTTCTATCTGAGCGCGGAGATACTCATTCTCTTTTTGATACCTCTTCCTTGAAACAACTTCTGCGCTTGCTTTATTTTCTGATTCAGCTTTAGATGCTTTGATCTCTTCAATATTCTTATTTAAGTTCTGGATCTTATTATTCAAACTCTGAATTTCAATCTGTGAATTCTTAAAATCATCTGATAATTTGAGGACATCAATATATTTCATTCCATTCAGTTGGCTATTCAATGATTCACTCATTTCTTCGAACTTCTTAAGTTTATTATTGAGGTCTTCTTTCTCTTTTGACATTTTAACAATGGCTGCTTCTGCTTCATCAATACCACTAATAGTATTGCGCAATAATTCCTTTAAGTGATCATTTTCATCGATAACTGCTTTCTTTTCATCAGCTATCTTTGATATATAGTTCTTAATTATATCAATTGATGTAGTATGATACATAGATGAGTCAAGCCACCACCAATTTCTTTGATCACTAACATAATACTGATCGGTTCCAATCAAGTAATTCCATCTCCTAACTAAAATAGCAGTATTGATAATTGACTTCAATGTTAACTTTGGACGACCAAGCTCTTCTTGGAATGATTCAAATTGTTTAGACAATTTTTGAAATGCGCCTTCAAGTGATGTAGTAACAGATCGAATTTGTGTATATGCTTTGACTTGGTTAATTAATCTTTCATTCTTAGATTCTCCATCTTCTATTACTTTCTTGAGATGAATATTTTTCATGCGCTCAGCATCGATATCTTGACTTAAAGCTGTAATTAATTCCTGATTTTGGCGAATAACATCAGCAGCTTTCTTGAGTCGTTGAGTTGCAATATTCATATCATTTTGCAACTGTTGGTTTTCTTCTATCATGTGTTTGATCGCAATAACGCAATCATCTGATGTTTTTGATGAAGGCAAAAGAGATGCTATTCTCTGAATTCCAGATTCTTGAGAAGTAATGCTTTGCTTCAATTTCTTGTTTTCTTCATTTTGAGCTTTGATTATTTCGTGAGATTTTGTAAATTGATTTTGAAGATCTGAGAGTTGCTGAAGAGTATCTTTAACCTGTTGTTCTTGTGCTTCTTTATCTTTTTTAGTGTTGTTTAACTCATCAGTAAGATTTGTAATAATTTTATTTTGATTTTGTAATTTTGTATCTAAATCTGATTGGATACGCTTTAATTTTCTTGTTTCTTCTATTTTGGCTTGTAATGCGCTATTGCTACTTGATGAATCATCCGATAAATCTTTAATAATTGATTTAAGTTCATTAATTTGCTGATCTTTCATTGCAATACGACTTGAAAGATCATCTCGAGCCTTGGTTTTCTGATTTTGTATTTCTGAGATTGAGAATTCTCTTTCAGTATGAATTGTATCTTTTAATCTTTCATTTTCTTGTGTTAATTCGATATTTTTTGCTTCAAGTAAATGAATTTGGTCTGACAGTTGAAGTATTCTCTCTTCATATCTATTTTTCTCTTCTTCTTTCTGGTTTAATGCCGTTTGAAGATCTTGTTTCGTTGATTCGAGTTGTTTTTCTAAATTCTCGATTATAGATTTCAATTTTTCGTTTTGTGTCTTTATCGTATACAATTCTTGATTATCTTTAAGCATTTGTCCGAATTTAACTTGCATCTTGTCAATTAAAGCTTCTTTTGTTGGAGAATTTTCTTCCAATGACGAACTTGTGTCAACTGAACTCGAGTATGAAGCAACTGTCTTTTGAATTGATTTCTTCTCGAGACCAGATGACATTCTTTGATTTTGGTGGACGTTTATAAATTTATATCTCAATTTCTACGCAGTTTTCAATAATAAAAAACAAATTGATAGATTTGTTAATGGAAAACTAAAAATTCTGTCATATGAAACTTTAATAAATTTCAATACAAAAAAATCATCAAAATAAAATATGTTTTTCAAGCACTCAGTTAAATAATACATAATTACAATATGATGCACATTAATATACTTCTTCCTCAACAATCATTATTATATAATTTTATTGGATGATATTTAGTTACAAAATAAGCTTATTTAATCAATGTCAGAAGCTTGGATCCTTTTGTGGTTTTGCTCTTTTATAACCATTTAATCAGTTACACTCAATACATAGCCTATTTTGAAGAAAGCAAGAATATATCCTCGCAAAGTTTACAATAATCGTCAATATTTTTAGGAAAAGCAAATTATGTCTAATCTTCGACAAACAATTATCCAGACAATCATGACAAAGCCATATTTAACAGGACCACAATTAGAGCAGATTATTGCTCCTTTAAATACAACAAAAGATCAATTTATCTCACAAACAAATAAAACTCTTGATCCTATTGGCTTAATTCTTAGAGCATGTACCTCCGACTACGATGACCAAGAATATTTTGGTATTTGCCAAATCTATGAAGATCCAAACGGAAAAGAAGGTCTTGGAATCAGAGCTGAGATTGTACAGCTATATTATAAGTTCCTTGAGTTACTTATTAACGGACAAAACAATGATGATGCTCCTATTACAGTTGGAAAACTTCTTGACATCGCTCCAGATAATATCACTCAAAGTGTTGCACAAGATGGTCTTAATCAATTAAAATCATTAGGATACATAGACATTGTTAATGACAATGTTAGAATGGGCCCAAGAGGCTTATTAGAGTTCCTACCTAAATTCAGCCAGAAATCACTCGAATCTGAAGAAAGTAACTCCAGAAAATGCCAAATCTGCTTCGATATCTTCCTTGCAGGCTTCAAATGCTCAAGATGTTCTTGCATCATCCACAAACGCTGTTTCGAGAGATATTCTCGTGATAGAGAAAATCCACCATGCCCTCAATGCGGCTGCACCGAACCATTCATTCCATATGGAATTTAATTCTTCATTCATATTTTTATTCATTATAGAAATAAACTGTTATTGATATAATACTAAACTGCGGTTAACATCCACATTTTACTCAGTGGTTTCTTTAAAATTGGCTAATTTGAATCCACAAAAAATTAAACTCTTTCTTTCCAATGTAGATACTATAACATTAAACTTACTAAGTCACTAAGTATTTATTGATATATGTTTAATCAGAATAATATCAATTCTAGAATAAGGAAAGTACACTTTTAGATGTCAAAAATTGAATAGTTGTAAACTAACCTAATGAAATCTTTCATTTTGTAAACTAAAGAAATTTATATGACTGCGCCTGAACTAAGGAAATTATCACTAGAATCACTAGCATATTATCCATTTCCACCCAATTTTACGTTTATCATTGGTGGGGTGTCATATCCGTGCCATTTAGTCCAAATTTTGCCAATTTCCGGAACAATTCAACAATTATTTCTAAATGATAAATCAATTTCATCATATACATTTGAACACCTGAAAGACCCATACAACAACTTTCCATTATTCATAGATTTTATTAATGGACATACAATAGACATCAATGATGATAACTTAATTTTACTTTACAACATTGGTTTGATATTAGACATACCGTATTTAATTAATGGAGCTGGAAAATTAGCAAATTGCGAGATCAATTCCGAAAATGCTGTTAGTTTTTGTCAAAAATATTACGACCATGGCGTTGATTACGAGATTCCAGCAACATTTATAGCAGTTAACTGGGATACACTCAGCGGACTAGAATCTGTTATGAATCTCCCTGTAGAAATCTTAAATACGATTATTCAGATTGATGGCTTCAAAGTTTCATCAGAAACAGAGCTATTTGAGTGGATAGAAAACCTAGTTAATACTAAAGGAAGACAATATATACCATTATTTGGTCATGTACTGTTTTCTAGGCTTCGTAGACATCATATAAAGCATCTGATTGAAATTTTGTCTAAAGATACGATAGATCCTTTCGTTTGGCAAGAACTCGATGATAGACTGATCATGGAAATTAACCCAGATGAAAATTTGGAACCATCTGATGAAAAAAATATCGATGCAAATCAAAAACCAGAATCAGAAACATCACAAATGACAAATACACAGCCATACAGTACATACGGAAGCGCTCTTTACAGTCAAAACAATTTTATTCCAATTAATTTAAAGGAAAAGGCAAATAACGAAAAAGAATTCGCAGACGCCTACTCAGAAGAATCACTTATCGACCTTTCTTACGAGCCTGGATACCGTTTGAATGGAGTTGTTGCTTATATCAAAAATCAACTAGGGCCAAACTACACAGATGCTGTTATAGCGACTGGTGGTGGCACAAAGATTAAGAAGATTGGCAACATTTTCGATTACGATGATACTAAAAAAGCATGGTGGGATAATTTTGATTTAGGAATCAACAGATGCACGAAAGAGAATGCATGGTGCATGATAGAACTACGTGGATATCTTCTGAACCTTCAATCCTACACTCTCGCGTCTCCTGCAAATAGAATCAGTTTCCATCAACCGAAATCGTGGAGAATCGAAGTTTCTGCGGATGGAGTTAACTTTGAAACAGTACACGAGGTTAGTAAGTGCCCAGAAATGAATGTTCAGTATCCAATTCTCACATTTTCTCTTCCAAAGGGAGAAACACAGCCAATAAGGTTCATTAAGCTCGTAATGCTCGAAAACTACGCTTCAGCACAGTCATCTAACCAATACGAACTGAGTTTGAGCGCATTCGAATTGTATGGAAAACTTAGACAGTTATAGAATAAAAACATATACTTTATATATCTCAGTTATGAATATACTTCCTTTTAAAAGTATTTAATGTAAATTATCATTCGATAAAAAAGAATCGTATGATTTTTTAATAGCACTATCAATTTAAATCTTTTAGTTGCAAAGAATTTTGGATGTCTAATACTAAATCAAGCATAAAAAAATGAGATGAAAATTCATGATAAATTCTGCCTGAATTTATCATATAAAATCATGATGATTATCAGTCTAATTCTTAGTTTGAAAAACAAGATGTAATAGAACAAAACAAAACAATTTTATATTTAAAAACAAAGTATTCTAATATGATTCTTGATCTTGAGGTATTTCTGGCGGGTTTTCTAATTCATTTACTGAGAAGTATGAAACTTCTGGGATGAATGGCTGATCTGTGTGAGGAACAAAAACAGTACTTGTTTCCACTTTCGGCTGTTCTGGTAATGTTATTTCTTTTGATGGATGAGTGATTGCATGGAAGAATATTTGAGAGTTTGTTTGGTGTTGTAAATTATATTCTTTCGTCATTTTAGGCATCATTTGAATTCTGTGATGTTCTGATTGTGGTGCTGCTGTTGTGAATGTCATCATTTCATTTAATATCGGAAAATTGAATGAATCAGGTACTTGTGGCACTCCAGGAAACGGAATTGGTTTTCTAGCATGCCTATAGCCACGTGGTGGGATAGAAGATGGAGGTAATGGTTTGGCTGGTTTTGGTGTTATATAATTTAATGGCGGTGCCATTGGTGGCTGCTGATATCCCATCATTTTTTCAAATTTGAAGATCTATAGCTAGTTGTCACCTTTTTAAGATTTTTTTTGCCGTGTAAATTGTTTTTGACATTTATTGTTTTATTTTTTTATATTTATCATTGTAGAATATGTTGTTGGATGATACTATTGCAATCGCCAAATTTATCATAAAAATAAAAAATAAAAATGAGTGAAGAACATTTAGAGAAAGAACTGGCTGAAACCTCAAAATTACTAAAAGAAAAGGCTAAACATCAAGAAGATGGTGAAGCCAACCATGCAAATGAACCAAATCATGCTACTTCTGAACAAAGTAGATCGATTAAGGCTTATTTGTATGGTTTCTTAACTCTGTTAGTATTAATTATTCTTCTTGTTATATTTTATCCAAGAAGACCACCGCGCTCGCCATATTTACCAGTTCCATACGTATGGAATAAGCAATATCTTAAAGAATTAAAACACTTTACGAAATTTACAGGTCATGCTAATGTTTTAATTGCAACAGGACCTCCAGGAATTGGTAAATCAAGTGGATTATATCGTTTTGCAGAATTAACAAACAAAACTCTACAAACACCTTTAATTCTCGATTGTGAAATCATATCAGAAACAGCAAGTGTTAAGGACATCGGAGCTATTTTCCTTGATTTCTTAATCAAAGGATTTGAAGATATCGACGGAAGACCAATAAATCTTACAATTTTAGCCAACAGTATTCCTGAATTAAAGACAATTAAGGCACCTACACATCCAGATACTGCAAATCTTAATGATAAGTCGCTTATCAATATTGCAAACTACGGCGCTTCAATTCTTAGTCATATTGAACAAGATCCTTCCTCCTCAATCTTCAACTTCATGGAATTAGTTGATAGAACAACCGAAGTCCTTGGAACTTTCTTATTTATAATAGAACCTTCTAAATTAATGAATCTACAGAACTCTAAAGCCAGAAAAGCAGCTGATGGCTTAGTTTACTTCATTAACAACTTTAAGCAAGGAAATTATAGAATTCCATGCGTTGTTACAGAATCAAATCTTTTATCAAAGAATTCTCAACAAGTATATCAAGATTTAACATGGTTTAAGGTAATAAATGTTGAAGAGTTCGATATACAAGATGGCAAGACTATTTTAGTCAATCAGGAAAGAGTTTTTCCAAAGAAATTATATTTCAATCTTTATTCCAAATTCGGAGGTTATGGTCAGCTGTTTGTCACAGTTCATGACCTTATTCGCGAGAAGGTATCAAATCAAGAGACTTTGAAGCAAATTTCAAATTATAATTCTCTTAATATCGCAAAAACTGTTCACCAGGGAGCAGACGGTAATAAGACTCTAATAAGTGATCGCTATAGCTTCTTAAAGAGACTCACAACTCTTAAGATGGTCAAAATTACTCCTGCAAACCAACATCTTGTTCATCACTTCTTGGAGCATGGTGTCGTAAAGCTAACACCTAAAATGAATGCTGTTGTACCATCTAATCGTCTTATTAAGTCCATTATTAGAGATGCCATTAAATATGCTAAGAAATAAATAAAAAAATGTATAAAAATTCTTTTTATTCCCTTTTTCTTTAAAATATTTCTCAGTTTTACCTAACTTAGTCTATTTTTTGAAAATTTTTATATCTCAAGATACAAAGTTAGGATTCCGTTCAAACTAGTACATCTGTACCATATGGGACCTAACTTGCTTATATTCCAAGTTTTAGACGACGGACACACTCTATCTTTTCATAATAATTAAATAAGGGACTAATTACTATAAGATCACTATATAAAGGTTTATGGCTTATCTGAGTTTGATTCAAGACAGTTAGATATTATCAAACCCATATTGATCAATTAAAATCATATATGAAGTGATGTAATCGAAATATTTGATCCCTCTGATGACAACTTATAGGCTCATTGAGTTAGTTCATCAATAGAAAGATCATTTGATTAATTTTTTTATATTTTATGGAAGAAAGAAACACTGCTTTGCTTGCCTGGTTGAATAAATACGCCAAATCTGGTTCAGAAGTAACATACATTAACACATCATGCTCCTCTGAGAAATTCATGAGTGTTTTTAAGTCTTTAGTTCCACAAGAATTATATCCAACAAAAAATGATAATTTAACATTCATTTCCATTGTTATTTTATCAATGATAAGAGAGCAAGGCTATTTAAAGGAGATTCCAAACTATCTTTCTCAAGATGAAGGAAAAAATAATCAAACAACTTTATTTTTCCTTTATGTTTTATACAGATTAAAATTCCCCAACGACAATGTAGAACTATCCAAAGCAGAAACAATGTTCGAAAAGTTCAGAGATACAAGTAAAACAAATGAAACTACACCATTTAACTTTGAAGCACTTCAAAAGCAATTAGAAGAGCAAAATTCGGAAGTTCAACAGCATATTGACATATACCAACAAAAATGTCAAGAATTACAAACACAATACGATGAAATCGAGAAAAATGTTCTCGCAAAGTATCAATCCAAGCTTGAATCTGAAATGCATGAAGCTGCAGAAGCAGAAAAAGCGCATAGAAACCTTTTAATTGAAAAAGAAAAGTTAGAAGAGCAATTATCAAAATTCAAAGAAGATAGACAACGTCTTGAGGACAAATACAAAGAAATACAAGAAATAGAAGACGAAAATAAGAAATTAAAAGAAGAATATGAAGCTTTAGAAGCAAAGAACAAAGATTTCCTCTCAAAGGAAAGCGAAATGAAATTATCTAGTCTAAGTAAGATCAAATACGAAGAACAGATTGCAGAAACATCAAGAGAAATTAAAGAATTAATTCATTCCAAAGAAATGCTTAAACTTGACGAAATTCCTGAAGACGATGCTGCCCTACAAAAGCTCCTGAATGAAATAGATGCTCTTGAAGAAAAAGTAAAGAAAACAGAACCAGAAACAATAATTGCAAAATGGAAATCCAAAATTCAAGCGGAAATTAATAAAGCCAAAGATGCAGCAGAGAAGACAAGGCTTATTATTGAACTTGGCGAATCATTACAATAATATATTTTGTTTGAATGTTTTTTTTTAAAGATTATTTCATATCAACTGTGATATATTTAGTCCTTCTTTATTTTGAATATATCTTTTTATATATATTGTTGATATAAAACATTTATAATTTAGAAATTAATGAACACCACTATTATTATTACATCTTTTAGGTACTTTCATACTTAGAATTAGCATGTTTTGCGCTTTGCCTTTTGTTATCAATTCTATTGGCGCAAAAATTTGTAAAGACTCATCAATTCCATTATATATAAGGGTTTCATGAAGATACTATATATGTGAAGGAGCTATAAAGACATTTTGGATAATTAATCTACAACAAACATCCGATGTAGTAGAGAATTTAGATTTTCTCAACATAAAAAGTATTCATTAATATGTACATTTTTCACAGTACCAGAACCATCGTTTTCAGGAAAAATATAAAATTAATTTTATATAACAAAATTCTGATTGAATATCTGATTGCATTCGACTTCGATATTGTTGCTATGATATTTTGTATATATAAACTTAATTAAAATTTACAAATTATATCCGAAATCGTTGTATACATTGTTTTCGACAGCTATTTCATAGTGCTTTTTCATGTAATAAATTTTATATGAAAGAGAAGGATTTTATAAAAATAAAACAATTTGTAGCAAGTTATATCCGCATTTTCAAGCGGATTATTCATTACTTGAAATGTGTTGTTATCACGGAGCGGCTGATTGTTTCAAGTTTATAAGAACAGAATTTAACTCAGAAATAAATCAATCATGTTTAAAATTATCATTTTTAGGAGGAAATTCAGAAATCATCAGTGAATGTCTGAAATATTCATCAGTTAGAGATTGTATGGAATATGCAATTATATCACACAACATTGATTTTGTTACATTCTTGATGAATGAGTACCATATAAAGATCGATTTAGAATATTGCGGAAAATATAATAATCTTGAGCCATTCTTAGTTTATTTCGATCAAACAAATGATATTAATAAATGCTTTATTTATTCATCGATATTTGACATATCATCAATTTGCGAATATTTCCTTTCAAATGGTGCAAATATCAATGAAAAAGATAAATTTGGTCTAACTGCTCTTCATAATGCAGCAGAATATAATTGTAAAGAAACAGCAGAACTTCTTATTTCTCATGGTGCAAATGCTAATGAAAAAAATAATTCTGGGGAAACTCTTCTTCATATTGCAGCAAATTTTGATTGTAAAGAAAACGCTGAACTTCTTATTTCTCATGGTGCAAATGTCAATGAAAAAGATAATTCTGGAGAAACTCCTTTTCTTATTGCAGCAAATTATAATCGTAAAGAAGTCGCAGAATTTTTTATTTCTCATGGTGCAAATATCAATGAAAAAGATATAAATGGAAAACTGCTCTTCATCATTTAACATATTTTTATTATAAAGAAACAGCAGAACTTCTTATTTCTCATGATGCAAATGTCAATGAAAAAGATGAAGTTGGAAAAACTCCTCTTCATTATGCAACAGAACATAATAGTAAAGAAACAGCAGAACTTCTTGAGTATAAGTTCAAAAGTATGGCATTCCAAACGGGAACCGCGGTTGGTTACCATGGATTTCCGTCACCGGTCACATTTTAAAGATTTTTAAAGCCTTATAAAAATATGCTTTGTAAATCATTTTTTGTAAATCGGCAAAAATTTGGTAATTTTCTTCAACTAATAAATCTGCGAATAGCATTTATAATACAAGAACAATCTTTTAAAATGCGTTTGATTCATTTTTGTATAATTTCATATAGGCACATATATTCTTCCGGGACTTTCCGTGATTTTACCGTAAAATCATTAGTTTACACCAATTTTTCCGTATTTTGAATAGTTTACTGCACTTTTTCCGTAAAATTGAGTTACGGGAATCCGCAAAATTTCCGGACCTCATTTTTCATAGAATATAATAATAATATTTGATAAAAAGATATATTATTTATATTTTTGATTTTTGAATTACGGAAAAAGTGAATTGTTAACTTGATTTTTTTATATGGTTAATTTTTCAAATGATATTATGAAGATCTAAAATATTAAAAGTAAAAAATTGAATTACGGAAAAAGTGAGGTCAAAAGTGAAATAAATTTGCAGAACAATTTTCATTGAAATAAGACATTGAGTATCACACTTTAGTGAATCAACATCTATAAGAATGAAGTGTTTTGAAGCTGAAATAATATTGAATAGAAATTAATTTTTTCTGAAATTTTGAATGAAATTATGGGAAATAAAAAAATTACTAAATATTGTATTCATACAAATATATTATTTTAAAGGAAAAATAGATGCTGATAGAAACGATGAAAATTTTTGAAAACTTTACAATTAATTTATGTTCGTTAACCACAGAGCTTGCAATCCAAAGCTCACGTTAGACTACAAGAGTCATGAAGTCTCATACTAAGGGATATCCAACATATATTTTAATAATCTAATGTTTGTGACAAATATTCAACATAAAATTAAGTTTTCGTTTCGTTACAAGGCATTCATACTTTGGAGATATCATATTTAATGTACAGAAAAGTTAATATTAAACAATACATGCTAAAGAATTAATAAATAAGATAATAAAATAAATTTATACGTAATTACTTTCATTTAATATGCTTTATGCTGTATAATATTGATTAAGAGGCATTAAAAGGTTCCATAGTCTGCTTTTATAGGCAGGATTTTTGATAAAAATTTAAAATTTTGAAAAATGATGAGAAAAGGAAAAAAAAGGTAAATGAGAGCAAGAGGAGGGAAAAAAAAGAAAAAGAAAAGAAAGGGAAGGGAAAAATAAAAGAAAGAAGGACATATAAAAATTTAGATGCGCATTCTTAATGCCGAGGCGGCTTGCCGCCGAGGCGCGATTTTTTTAGGCCTCTACGGTAACCCGGCAATGTTTTTTTAAATCTTGTACAGCCCTATTCAAAAGTGAAAAAAATTTTAAACTAAAAGTCTCAATTTTTTTTCAAATTAAGGGTGCACCCGTATGTACGTTTATTTGAGAGGAGGAGGATTACCCTCTCAATTTTGAGGGAGTCGTTAGTTTATTTTCTCAATGAATATGCAATAAAATTTGATTTTTACCTTATCAATATACTTCATATAATATACACATGTTCATGTAAAAACTTTTTTCCAAAATCCTCAGGAATTAAGGGATTTTTGAATTTTAAGAATTTTTTTTCGAGTAGGTGCCAAAAGTGCTTACTCTTAAACAACCGTCGGATTTCCGGGTGAAATCGTGACACACTTTCGTCTTTCGTAGGCAGTGGTGGTTGTTACAAAAGGTAACTTCGAATGTAGCGTGAAATCTGCAAAAAAAATTCTGAAATTTGAATGGAGAACACAAAAATTGAATAGTTTACGTCAATAAAAAAGAGAAAAATGAAGCCAATGTGTCTCGAACCTAGGACTTAGAGCAGCAATCCCACTGTTTATCAAATTACACTACATGCATCTCTCACCTCAGTGAATGAGATCAACTATATGATAACTTTTTCCCCATTATATTCTTGTGGAAAAGTGACAAATAGCAACTTTGACCCTCTCTCATTTTTTTTCGAATTTTTTCGAAAAAAAATATTTTCAGAACAGCCTTAACGGCTAAGATTTAGGAACAATGTTAAGTATCAAAAAGAAAGGAGGTCTGATATAGACAACATATATCGTTGAAGGTTGAAAAAATCTCTAATATTTGAGCCCAAAATTTCAAATTTTAATTTTTTGAAAAAAGAGGCCACCCGTATGTACGTTTATTTGCGAGGAGGAGGATTATATTTTTGAAATGGTGAAACATTATGAATATGTTAATTATATAATAATATGTATTATTATAAAAAGAAAAAATAAAGCACGTTAAAATTTTTCTTTCTTGATTTTTTACAAAATCTACTTAGAATTATGCAAAATATGACTAAATAATTATAAATTTCAAGTTAAATTTTAATTTTGATAAATAATTTAAATTTCAAAATATCAAGTTCAGTTCGACTATGTATGTAGTAATTCCTCAATAAAGTGCCAAAAACCTATTAAAATATATGAACATTTTCAACATTTTAATGTTTTTATTTAAAAATTTGTTGGAATATGAGCTTCAAACAATTATTATGTAAATAAAAATAATTAAATATATGTATTTATTCGTATTACAACCGTAGTAAGTCGATTCTTCCTTTCTTCTACTGAGTTTTGAATTTGATTTCGAATTGTAAAGAGATTCAAAGGGAAAATACTAGCGGATAAAAACTACCTCCATGAAAGGGTCATAATGGACTCAAGTTGTATTTTTTGATATTTTTTGCTTTTCGAGCCTAAATAGGTAGCCAAGATAATGCCTAAAAATAAGGTTCTAAATTCTGAAGTTTACATGATCCTCTCGTGTGCACCCTTAAACAAATGGTTATAGGAAAAATTATTTTTTGTTGAATGTTAGGCAATGATCAGAACTCATCCAAGGGAAGATCATAATTGATACGCACAAGATGAAATATAGTATATACAAATTATATTTATCATATTTGGATAAATATAAGCATTTATATATGGGTGAGGTCACACATGTGTTTTATATGAAGTTATTCAAATGATATATATAAAATGGACATTCGTCTCAAAATTCGGCCCTGAGGATTGTATTTCAGGCGTTGGCCTTTACCAAAGCCAGATCTTCGTATTTAATGCTTTTGAAATGTGTATTAATTTTATGAAATATATGAATTATATTAAACATATGAGTATACATATTCCTCCAAAGTTCTTTCAATTACATTTAAAAAATCGAGTTTTTTGGAGTTCGGAATCAACTCGATGAATCTCAAATTATTTTGTCAAATTACAAAGATTTAATGCTATCCCGATAATATACGAATCATTTCCTATCATACCCTTAAATGGATGAACTGGAAATTAATTGTATAAAAAGTTATTCAGCAAAAAAAAAAGTTCACATTTGGAAAAAAATTCATGATACTAAAGTTTTCAATTTTTTTCGGCGTCATGACGTAAATCATTGAAAATTGAATGGTTTACGTCGGGATGCCGTCATGACGCCGACACCAAAAAAATACCACATTTATTTTTTTTTTCTCTAATGTCTATTCTAATTTTATATTTTTAAACATACACATATTCAATCATTAGCAAAAGCGTTCAGTTTAATTAATGTATAATGAATAAATTTTGGTTGCCAAATCTCAAATCAAATTCGGGACAAGGAAATAGAAAGATGACTAATACAGATGAAATAAATGAAGAATCTACGTTTGTTTACCAAATAAGACAACATATTCAGGAAATTTTCGAATTAAAACAAGAAGAGATAGATAAAATCCAAAGATACTTAGAAAATATGTATAAATGCATGTCATGGATAGATAATTTACCAGAAGATTTACTAATAAAGTATCCTATCATCAATAAATTAATGGAAATAGCGTCAATTGAAATTCCTTACATCCAGAAGCTTTCCTTAGAAAATATATATAAAATTCTTAAAAGCACAGGGATTGGGCTTCAACAATTTTCAGAAACAGATTATGTAGGCTTTATTAACTATTTCATGAGCAACAACAATATTACAGTATACAGACAGATATCTCTAATATTGCTTATGACCTTATCTGATGAAAATATGAGAAAAACACTAATAGAAAATAATTTTATTGCAAATTTAATAAATTTTGCCGATAACAAACTCGATACGAATACTCTCAAAGATAATGAGTTCTCGTGTCGATGTCTTGTAGCCCTAACTCAATTGTTTGATGACTTAGAAGACGAAATTTTTAATGAATACTTTGATCAAATCGTTCAAATCATTACTAAATTGTTCAACATTGATTTCCCAGAAATAGAACCATTTAATAGATTCCTTTTAAGCGTAATTTCCAGAAAACAAGAAGATATCTTGTTTAATACTGACATTTTTAGAATTCTAATTGAATATTTTAGTAATAATTCAACAGTCTGCAATCGTGTTATACTATCTTGTAGTTGTCTTTCAGCTCTTGTTCAAGGAAATATTATTATTCCACAGAAGTACATTGATATATTCGATCCAAGGATATTTATTGACTCCTTATCCCATTTCTACAGGAATCGCGATGCTCCGATTTATATTTATAGTTTTTTAAATAGTTTCATCGCAAAAATTCCTAAATTAGTCATGGATGAGTTCCTTAATGAAAAAGTAATAGCTATTGTTTCAAATAACTACGAAAATATGAATGCTGAAACAAAATTGGAAATGTTGACATTTTTGTGGGCAGTTGTCCGTTTTATGCCAATTAACGATAAGATTCAGATATTAGATATACCTGTATTTGAATTAATGCTTGAGATCCTTCAATTTGATTCAGAAAGGGTCGCATTAGTGATGAGTACTCATATTTCATATTTTGTTGATCATGTCAAGCGGAATTTTAATGTAGATGAGTCAGCAGGATTTACAAAATTGATAGAAGCATTAGAATATTGCTTAGATTCGCCAATTGAAACAATTCAACGAGAAGCTGAAACTTTACTGACATTTTGCACAGCCAATATTCAAAATGATGATTGATAATGATTATTTGTATTTTATTGTTCTTTAAAAGTTGTGATATATTTCATGTATAATTTTTTATAAACTTATGCTATAACATAATTAATATTTTCAAAAATTCTAATATGTTTCTTAAGATGGACATTATTGGATGTTAGATTCGAAATGGCAATCTGATATTACTAGTCATTCATTAGATACTTGTCCTGATTTAGGGCAACAGAAGGTAACTTTATGGAATCTATTTATTCATCAATAAATATGATCTCAAAGCTAAAAACAATGTCTCACTTATGAGGAAAAAAAAATCAATTCAAAAAATGGAGATGGGGGGAATCGAACCCCCGGCCTCAACTATGCTAAAGTCGCACTCTACCACTGAGCCACACCCCCTATTCAACTTTAATTTATAATATTATGTTAATAACTACATATTTATATTTCCACAACATATTTGTCATTTATTCTTTTATAGATATAAGGGTTTCGTTTTGTTAAAATTGTCACTTTTATAGCATATTTGTTTTTGGATGTTTTGCGAAACCAAAAAAAAACTATGATATACAATGTGTGTGTAAAGAAAATACTTTATTTACTAGTTAAAAAATCATTTGGTATTGATCAAGTTATTTTTTCTGGATAAGATATTATATGGATAATTGGATAGAAAATACAATTATATAATCTTGTACCTGGTTTAATTAAGCTAATTGTCATCAGAAACTTGTAATTTTTATGAATTTCAGATTTTCTTTTCATTACTGCTTTTCTTAATAGGTCAAGTTCTTATTTACGTTATAAAGTATGATATTTACAAATATCAAGTTATCATGTTTTTTGAGAAATTATGAGAAACAAACAAAAATGAAAAAGATAGGAATAGCAATGAATATTGATGTGGGTATAGAAAATGTAAGAGATATGAATGCAAAGCAATCAGTATTTAGGATATTGACCATAGATTTCGAAAAAAAATGCTGCATATTGAGCGAAAACTATGATTATATTATAAGGCTGTCATTTAAAGCATAATGAAACTATTCCCTTTTCATTTTAATCGAATAAGATACCCTACGTTCCCAACTTCTGGAAAACGGTTTTTCACCCTTATGATCAGTTTCAGACACTTTGGGAATCTCCCAAACTTTGATATTTTGCATTATGATAGAGAAACGTGTCTAGTTTAACGCACAGTTGTTTTAAAGGCAAATGATGATATCACATGAAATTATCAAATTATCAAATTTTGAAGTACCAGTCCAAAGGGTTAATTAGATCCTACACAGATGTGCGATAGTGAAACATATGTGTTCTTGATTTGAGAAGTCCTACTGATAGAGGTATGAATCTCACAGCTTTGTGTGAGTGTGTCTGACACTTGTATAGAGTGGAATATGCGCCGACATATATTATATAATAACATGTAGTTGATAATTATGAAAAAATAGAATTTGATGCGAATGATATTGAAAGTTGTTTTGTAATTTGATATTTTTCTTATATGTGTTAATTAGTAAATGGCTTGTTTGTTGTGATCGTACTGTGAAAAATGAAAGGTATTTTAAATTAAAAAAATGAGATTTTGAGATATCTCTAGAATTAAGAATTTATTATGTATTTGACTTTTATATAACTATGTGTAAAGGATCTCGATGTCTATATGCTTTAAATAAAATTAAATAAAATGAGATAAAAAATTAAAATGGACAAGAAGATATATGGAAATGTAATTTGTATTGTATTGGTTGTTGGCAAAATGATTTTAATACAGATTTAAGGATTTGGAATGGATTTGAAATTAAATGATTTTTATTCAAGGAATAATAAGATTTTGAACTGGTTTTTATTTTGAGAATGTAAACTCCTTCCATAGGATATGTATTAGAAAGATCAATGTAAACTTTTTGAAAGAATTGTTTTTTTGTTGAGTGATTTTCTCTCATTTGATAATATATTTAAGTTGGCGTATCTTACGCCCTTCCAAAAATATGTATTAGAAAGATCAATGTCAAACTTTTTGAAAGAATTGTTTTTTTGTTGAGTGATTTTCTCTCATTTGATAATATATTTAAGTTGGCGTATCTTACGCCCTTCCAAATATTTCTTAAAAATTTAAATTTGTCTCATCTCCTACTCTTAATTTAAAAAAATTTCAAAATCCATAATAGTAAACATTTCTTATTTTTATTTAAATCTGAAAAAAATAAATTTAAACAATTTCTCTACACACGACGGTTTCGGCGGTTTTCAGAATGGTTGACAACTGAATTCATCAGGATAATGTCGGTTGGGGTGCCCTTCTTGGCCTCCTGAGTACTCACCAAGATACCCCCAGCTCCCGCAAAACACCTCCCATAGGTGAGCATTAACTGATGAAGTTATTGACAACTTTATCTGATTTTTTTCTTTGTTTTTTTGTTAAGATTTCTTAACCAAAGACTCGAAAACAAAACTTCGCTTCAAGTTGCTGTCTTCCCAGTTACTCTGTCGCAATCTTTTGTCTGATTGCGTGCAAAGTTCTGCTCCTTTGAGACTTTGCCCGACAGATGCATCTGGGAGACAGCACCCAAGCAGCTTATCGCTTCAAGTTGCTGTCTTCCCAGTTACTCTGTCGCAATCTTTTGTCTGATTGCGTGCAAAGTTCTGCTCCATGAATTATCAAATATGTGCCATTTCAGGAGAGATAACAAGCTCATGCCTCCTGGAATGGCGGATTGTTCAACAATCTTCTTCTGATTGCAGAACTTTCAACCGACAAGAGTGCACAATACACTCTTGTCGGTCAAAGTTCCGCATTCAAGTTATGAATGGGGAACTTGATATCATTCTGGGAGACATGCAGTGACAATGTCTCCCGGAATGAGACACTGTGACCGACAAGAGTGCACAATACACTTAATGTTTTCAAATTTTCAGATTTAAATTTAATCTTTATTTTCATCATCATTTATAGTCTTGTTCCTTTATACAGTTATAATAAATTATCGTCAGATTCTAATATTTAAGATTCTTACTACTCAATTCAATATAATTATGTTAGTCACTCATATTCAGGAGAATAATTTAAAAATCTATAGCTCATATTTTGATAGTTATATATTTAGATGATATATATTGCAATTCCGGTTTCAACACGATCAAATGCCAAACCAAGACAAAATATATATGAATTTTCAAAATATCGATTTACATTAGAATCTATATCTAATTTTATCAATACACAAGTAGGGAATGTTCAATACATCTTTGAGCAACGTGAATAGCACAATTTTATAGGATTATTTGTTGATTATATAAAATATAAGCCAAATCGAATCTGCTGTATAGTACTTTAGTTTATCATTGAATGTTAAATGTGTTCAGATAAATATTTGAGTCAGATATCGCATTTTCTAATTTCAAAATTTATCTCATGAAGTTAGAATTTATTTGATCATACAACATCATGTTAGTCAATCTAGAGTTCAATGGCGATTCTAAAATGGAACAAATGCTTGTTTTATCAAATTGTTAAAATATTAATCTAAAAAACTTAATATCTAACCAAACCATTCTAGAATTATTATATACAGGTATGGGCAATCTAAATGCACACGGAATTCTGAAAATTAAAAAGAATATTTATGAGATTATTAAATCTTATGTAATTCAATGAAAAGTAGATAATATGAATATCCATAGGCTATATATCAACATATGAGTTTTTGGTTTGACCAATACTATACTAATGTGATCAAATTAATCTGATTTCTTAGATTTTCATTTGAAGCATTTGCAGTAGTAGGGGTACCTTTATATATTAACATATTAAAAAATTGCGCTCCGATTCGCAGTTTCTTCATGATTTTGAGATTGCATTAGATTTCGCGATGCAGAAAAAAATCACTTTAGATTCCCGTCAAACTCTAAGTATAAGCATGTCTCTATATGTAGAAACTGTCTGCGCTATTTATTTCCCGGCTCAAAAAACCACGGTGTCTGTGTGAGTAAAACCAAAAATAATTGTTATAATTTAAATGAAGAAGTAATTTAAAACGATTTTATTTATGATCAAATTTTATATATTTTTTTGGATCAAATCCATTTTAATAGAATTTATATACTATTCATCTATTAGTAAACACTACCGTATATTATTTTTTAAGCTATCTTATTTTTTGAACTTTTATTCAAATCTTTGGTCGCAAGAAGAATTGCATGATAAATAAAAACATTTAATCAAAGTCAATTTTATTTTTCATATTCAAATGGACTGAGTGTTAACATTTAACATTTTTTGCTAATTGTCGTCAAAAATTAGGCGTAAAGCAAAAATTGATATTTCATATGGTTTTATGATAGATAAGCATTATATTCCCACTCATTATATTCGTAAATTTTGAGGTTTATCCTTCGCTTTTAAGATCATTGAATTTGATTTTTATATAAAATAGTTATATATTAGAAAATAATATGAGTTTATGTGATATTATTTTTCAGAAGATTTCATTCTATATGCCTATGAAAAGTACTCTCAAAACTAACTTTTTCCTAATTATAATTAAATCTAGAATATTGTATTATGCTTAGTATTATTTCATTTTTCTCATTCAATTTAGAATTTACAAATGTCAAAAAATTGAGAGCTGTCACTTTTGATGAATTTCTGTTTATTACAGACCTATTAAGAAAAGCAGTAATGAAAAGAAAATCTGAAATTCATAAAAATTACAAGTTTCTGATGACAATTAGCTTAATTAAACCAGGTACAAGATTATATAATTGTATTTTCTATCCAATTATCCATATAATATCTTATCCAGAAAAAATAACTTGATCAATACCAAATGATTTTTTAACTAGTAAATAAAGTATTTTCTTTACACACACATTGTATATCATAGTTTTTTTTTGGTTTCGCAAAACATCCAAAAACAAATATGCTATAAAAGTGACAATTTTAGCAAAACGAAACCCTTAATTTTATATAATATTCATAAAGATTTTCCAAAAATATGATACCGCAAAATTAAAAAAGTGACGTCTTGAGTGGAGTCAAAGGTCGAAATTGCTAGCTAAATGTTTTTTTAGCGAAATTGCGTATTGTATGTTTTTTCGCAAAACGAAACCCTTAATAGATACGATAGGATACTCGTAACAATGCAAATTTTTGTATTTTAATTTAAATTCTAATTTACTCATATTTGTCACTTTTTTATTTTTTGGCGGCAATAAATGAACTTTCAAGAATTTAATCCTGATGAATTTCCTATTTCAATCAAAACATCAGTTCCTGCCGTCATATTTGATGAATTTAATGAGCATCATACTGTGATTAAAGAGAGAATTGCGCTAGAAAAACTTGATGCAAACGAACAAAATGAAAAGCACATTGTAAATGCTACACATGGGCAAGGATATGTTCCAACTCCAACTGGAAATAGAGTTGAACATACTTCTTACTCGAAATCTCGTACATTTTGGAAAGCTCCAACTCGATGTTTCGTTTACGATACAGATTTCTTTGAAAAAATGGAATATTATGCAGATACAGATGATATTGAATTTGTTCAAAACTTTAATAATACCCATAAATTTATAAAAATGACAACAAAACAATTAGAAGATATATTTTTAGTAATTGAATCTATTGTTAGAGATGACGTAACAGAGATACCAGAAATATCGCAAGTTATGTATTTACTTCCTGATAATGCAGTACCATATCCAATTATTCAAGCAATTTACGACTACTGGAATAAAAAGCCAAAACTTCGAGGTTCAGTTTTACATATGAAAGAATATCCGCCAGAACACTCTGGTATCAGATCTGAATTCGTTAAAAAAATCACTTCATCGAAGAAAATCACAAAATCTCCAGCAAATTACATCAAAAAGCTACATTCAGAACTAGAAACTATACAAGCAGCGAGATTACAAGCCATTGATATGGTAAACGAACAATTAAAATCTCGCAAAGAAAATATTGTTTTTCTAAGAAGTATAAGTCGAAAATTAGAAAAAGTATCAATACTTCATTTCTCTATGGTGATTGAACCTCAACTAAAAGACATTGAAGCGAAATATCCAGAAGAATCTCAAGAAGTTAAAAACATCAACTTACCTTTAGGTATTTTCCCTACACCTCCCGAAACACCTGCATTCCTTTCTTGGTGCCAAGAACAGCACACTGGAATTTAATTTTTATTATTTTTTTTGCGAATTTTTCCCCATGAAAATTTTCATCTTCAAAAAAATCATTTCTGTTTGAATAAATTAATACTATTACTATTTAGAATACTATTAATTACAAAAATGTTTCTTACCGTGATCATTTTTTTAGATTAAAAACGGATAATGAAGAAGAACTCAACTCGATTTTCAAAATGATCAAAACTGTCTTGATTGATTCAGAGGAATGTCCACCTGACAAAATCTTCAAAGATATTTTAAAAATCATTCCATATAATAACCGCTATATGAAATCATATTTGAAACTGGCGAAGCTAATAGTTGATTATCATCATATACTCAATAAGTTAGATTTCCCAGAGTTTCTTAGTTACCTATTTTATAAAGAATATGGAATTAAGTTAGGGAAGGATAAAGAGTTCCAAATAAAAATAACTAATGATTTCGATGTACATTCATCAAATACAATTTACAGAGCAATTATGGATAACGATCTAAAAAGATTCATATATTTCACGGAAATGGATGGATTTGATCAAGATCAAAGTCTTGATAACGAAATATATCCAGATTGTTTCTTTGGATATTCATTACTTGAATTATGTTGTTACCATGGAGCAGTTGATTGCTTCAAATTTTTAAGAACGAAATTTAAATCAAAAATCACTCAAAAATGTCTAGAGTTTTCATTTTTAGGAAGAAATGCAGAAATCTTAAGTGAATGTTTGAAATGTCGAAAACCAGATGATGGATGCATGGACTTCGCACTTATTTCGCACGACATTTATCTTGTTTCTTTCTTGATGAATGAATATCATATAAAGATCGATTTACAAAAATGTGGATGTTATAATAATCTTGAAGCATTTATAGTTTATATGGATCAAACTAAAGATTTTGACATATGCTTTGTTTATTCACCCATATTTGAAATTCCATCGCTTTGCAAATATTTACTTTCATTTGGTGCAAACATCAATGCAAAAGATATTGTTGAACATACGGCGCTTCATATTGCATCACTTTATAATTGTAGGTTAACATCCAAGTTTCTAATTTCACATGGTGCAATTCTCAATCATAGAGATTTTTATGGACATACTCCTTTGCATTTTGCAGCTTTAAATAATTATAAAGAATGCACCAAATTACTACTTTCAAATGGTGCAATTTGCAATAAATCTGATGAGACTCTAATCTCTGTATTAAAAAGGATGTTTCACGTAAAGAAGTATGATATGATATATGATAAATTTAATCCTAAGTACGATATGATATTTCCCAATTTATTGTCTCCATCCACAGAAAAATTGTGATTAATGTGTTCAATTTTAGACTCGAGATTTTGCGAACATTATAATATTAAACAAAAAATTAATTTTGATTAATTGTTTTCTACAATCCATCCATACAACAACGGTTCTTTTTTCTGGCCGTAAACTATCTTATTTAGAGAATAAATTTGAAAAAATTATGAATTGCAGACAAAATTTCTAAATAGTAAGTTATTAAATATAAAACTCAATAGTTTTGAGTTTAATTATGTTATCAGAACAAAAAAATGTATCTTAATTTAAGGAATATGAAAATCATATGTAATAGTAAAAAATAAATAAGCATATTTACTTTAGTATATGTGTCATTGTAAATCTTGAAGATTTCTTTGGTATTAATTCTGAAATCTTTGCTGCAATTTGGTTAGCAACATCTTCCATCTCTTGTATCTGATGCTTTAGCTCATTCTGCATAGTATTAATTTGGATAAGTCTCTGTCCGTGCTGGTCCAGCTTTTCACGGAGCTGATGTATATCTTGAGATCTTTTTTCTTGCGCGACAGCAATTTCGTCGAGTGTCCTCTGCATTGACCTTTGCTCGTGGAGCATATTCTTGTCAACAATGAGGCCTCTATGCTTTGTATCTTCGCCTTCTTTCTGTTGAAGGATTTCGAGAATTTCTGGCTTGTCATCCGCCTCCGCGATATTAAGAATTGTTAAACCTAGCGCGTTTTTGAGTTTTGTATTAGCGCCAGCGTTCAATAAGATTGTAACTACATCCTTATGGTTATTTTGACATGCAAGGTGCAATGCTGTATTTCCTGACTTATCTTGATGGTTGAGAGGTGCGCCTTTCGAGATTAATTCTTGAAGTGATGGTACATTACCAAACCAAGCAGCAAGATGGAGAGCTGTACGACCGGCATTATCTATAACATCCGGTTTGGCGCCTTTAGCTAATAAGAGTTTGACAATATCATTATGACCGAACCAAGCAGCGAGATGGAGGGCAGTACGACCAACAGGATCTACTGAAACCATATCAATTCCAAAATCTAAAAGAACTGATACGGCTTCGAGGCGTCCATAGCGTGCCGCAATCAGTAAAGGAGAATAAATAATTTTCGCACCCTTTTCAATCAAGAACTTTAATACTTTTTCGTAACCAGCTAGCGATGCCCAATGAATGGCGCTTGATCCTGAGTTATCAGTAGCATCAATATTTGCTCCCATACTAACAAGATACTTAACGCAATCAAGAGATCCGTATGCAGCGGCAATACAAAGAAGAGGGACATTAGATCGGCTATAAAGATTGAGTTTTATCTGAGGTATCAAATCACTAACTTTTACATGCGATGGAACTAAAGTTTGAAGAAGCGTGATGTTGTTTCTCTGACAACTAAACGCGGCCTTCCTCAAATCATCATTCATATTTTTTTGAAAAAAATTTTCTTGTCACTTTTTAAAATCAAATTATTAGAATGAGTCTTTTCACAGAAATTCGTGCAATAATTGATGAAATAAAAGGGATGTGCGAGGTTGACAAAGACTGTGAAAGACAATTCTATAATTTGTTGAACGAATTTAAAACAAATCCAGTAAATTCTAAAACAATTTACACGAAATTGCTGAATTTATTTAGTAACAATGTCGATTTACAAGATAAAATACGCTTGACAATAGAAAAATTCAAAGAAAAACCAGAAGAAATAACAACAAGAGTAAATTCATTCATAAATTATGTAATGGAGAACTACAAACTTGACAATTTACGCATCAAAATAAACAATATCGTTTCGTTCCTATCAGAAGATCTAATAAACGTTGATATCGCAGAAGAATGGTTTTTACGAAATTTTCCAGATATTCAACTCTCTGTGATACAAGAACAATTACATCTACTCACATGGGATTTGCAAAGATCACGTGCTCAATTTAGTCATTCTTTATCAAGCGGATTCCCTGTTTTAAGTCTTTTACCAGAAAATTTTTATTCTTTTCGATTTCGACAAATTCCACGCGAAATCAAGTTCATTGTATCAGCAACGCTACTCAACAAGGAGCCAGAAACACAGACATCGATCTACAAACTACTAAAACTCTTTGGATCACAAGTTATTACAGCAGAAATTGCTTTGAATTGGATGAACGAAATTGATTCTTTTTTAACTCCTTATTTTGAAGAATTAATGTTTACAAATGAACCTTTATCGTTACATCCATCTAAAATCATAAGATTATTCCAAACTTATATGGCAGATGAACAAATTCAATGGGCGATCGGAGATCATATGAATAAACTACTTCTGACCACAAAACAATTGAAATTTGTTTGCCCAATGGCTGCTTGTGCTGATAAATCTATGAAAAATCAACCAGAAATTAGAACTGAAATTGATATCGACGATATTCAATCGGCTTCGTATATTATTGATATGAGATCAAACAAAATGTTTAGATTTGCTAAAGAAATCGTTAACCAACCGCAGCAAATTTTTACGAATTCAGCTTTAGAAAAAATGTATGGAAAAAATGTACCAAAATGCGACCAACAGACCAAGAAAGATTTATTCTCTGGTATTGTGTTGAAAAGAAGCCTAGAAATTTGCAAAAATTGTGAAAAAATGAAATTTGATTTTCAAAGACAAATTGAACATGAAGTTCCTTGCTCTTCTCCTTTGTTTAGAGGAAAATACAAGCAATATATGGAGAAACCATCAGCTTTGAGAGCTTTGGTTAACCTCGGTTTGCAATCTAATCTTTCTGAGGTTTCTATTGAAATAGCAATAGAATGTTTGAGATCGATAGCTGCTAAAATTGTTGGAATCGAAGAAATTTTTAGTGAATTCATCGAAAAAACGGTTAGAGAATTTGATATTAGATATTTAAGTGAAGATGCGGCACTTGCATTATATTATTTGATGGAATTTGCAAGATTCGTTGAAGTTGCTGACTCGGGTTCCCCAGTTGATGAAATTGGAGATTTAATTTTAGAAGAAAATCCTCCATACAAAGAATTTGGTGAAAAGCCAACATGTAATGCTGATGTAGTTGTTAAAAAATTCATGGCATGCATAGGAAATATATCAAAATTAGGAATTGACAAAGTGATATCACAAAATCCATCGGGTATATTCATTTTAGGGGAGCAGTTTTGTTTCATGTTAAAGCCATCAGATAGCGGAATCGTACTAGATAATATTATTAATCCTTTCTGTAAGCAAAATGTTTTGTAATTTTAATAAATTGTTTATATTATGTAGCAATAGCAACTATTTATATTTGGACCTATAAATTATGAAAGAATCGTTTGAGAATCAATTGATATGATTCTGACATGAAAAAATCTGTATTGGCACTGTCACAACTATATAACTTCTTAAAATATGGAACAAAATATATTACATATCCATATAAATTAGTATTTGAGTGTCACAACCCAAAAATATCAACCTGTTGTTGTCTGATATGTTTGGTTTCATATTCGGATCAAGCAATTCAAGTTTTCATATAATAAATAAGCCAATTTTAGTTGAGATATTACAATCATATTGGAGGAATGGAATTTCCATATAGATCAACCCCAAATTCTGTTATATACGAAAACGATAAAAACAGTTTGACAGAAAAGTGACAACTTTACGTGTCAAAAATATAAAAAGTGATATTTTATTCATCATTATCTTCTTCATAATTTATTTCATATTCTTCGTCTTACCAACAAAAGATGGGAATGTGAACAATTGCGGGCAATTTTTAGCCATTTTGGCTTGGAACTAGAGCCTGCGAGGTACATGGATAGTATCAGTACCTCACAGGCTCTAGTTCTCTATATGGCGCCGAGAAATTTTGGTGAAATGTGGTCGCATTTCACCAAAATTTTTTCGGCGCCATAGGATGAATTGGAGGGTGAGAGATATTATTTCATACAATACTACTCTCACCTCCAATTCCCAGCCAAAATGGCTAAAAATTGCCCGCAATGTGAACAATTGCGGGCAATTTTTAGCCATTTTGGCTTGGAACTAGAGCCTGCGAGGTACATGGATAGTATCAGTACCTCACAGGCTCTAGTTCTCTATATGGCGCCGAGAAATTTTGGTGAAATGTGGTCGCATTTCACCAAAATTTTTTCGGCGCCATAGGATGAATTGGAGGGTGAGAGATATTATTTCATACAATACTACTCTCACCCTCCAATTCCCAGCCAAAATGGCTAAAAATTGCCCGCAATGTGAACAATTGCGGGCAATTTTTAGCCATTTTGGCTTGGAACTAGAGCCTGCGAGGTACATGGATAGTATCAGTACCTCACAGGCTCTAGTTCCTATATGGCCCGAGAAATTTTGGTGAAATGTGGTCGCATTTCACCAAAATTTTTTCGGCGCCATAGGATGAATTGGAGGGTGAGAGATATTATTTCATACAATACTACTCTCACCTCCAATTCCCAGCCAAAATGGCTAAAAATTGCCCGCAATGTGAACAATTGCGGGCAATTTTTTAGCCATTTTGGCTTGGAACTAGAGCCTGCGAGGTACATGGATAGTATCAGTACCTCACAGGCTCTAGTTCTCTATATGGCGCCGAGAAATTTTGGTGAAATGTGGTCGCATTTCACCAAAATTTTTTCGGCGCCATAGGATGAATTGGAGGGTGAGAGATATTATTTCATACAATACTACTCTCACCCTCCAATTCCCAGCCAAGATGGCTAAAAATTGCCCGCAATGTGAACAATTGCGGGCAATTTTTAGCCATTTTGGCTTGGAACTAGAGCCTGCGAGGTACATGGATAGTATCAGTACCTCACAGGCTCTAGTTCTCTATATGGCGCCGAGAAATTTTGGTGAAATGTGGTCGCATTTCACCAAAATTTTTTCGGCGCCATAGGATGAATTGGAGGGTGAGAGATATTATTTCATACAATACTACTCTCACCCTCAATTTTAATTACTTAAACTCATTCTATTTTTTTGACATGTAAATGTCACTTTTACTGAGATCTGACACAATGTCAGATCTCTTTTTTTCGTATATAAGATTAATACTCAAATGCAAGTCATCCATTAAGGGTGCACACGAGAGGATCATGTAAACTTCAGAATTTAGAACCTTATTTTTAGGCATTATCTTGGCTACCTATTTAGGCTCGAAAAGCAAAAAATATCAAAAAATACAACTTGAGTCCATTATGACCCTTTCATGGAGGTAGTTTTTATCCGCTAGTATTTTCCCTTTGAATCTCTTTACAATTCGAAATCAAATTCAAAACTCAGTAGAAGAAAGGAAGAATCGACTTACTACGGTTGTAATACGAATAAATACATATATTTAATTATTTTTATTTACATAATAATTGTTTGAAGCTCATATTCCAACAAATTTTTAAATAAAAACATTAAAATGTTGAAAATGTTCATATATTTTAATAGGTTTTGGCACTTTATTGAGGAATTACTACATACATAGTCGAACTGAACTTGATATTTTGAAATTTAAATTATTTATCAAAATTAAAATTTAACTTGAAATTTATAATTATTTAGTCATATTTTGCATAATTCTAAGTAGATTTTGTAAAAAATCAAGAAAGAAAAATTTTAACGTGCTTTATTTTTTCTTTTTTATAATAATACATATTATTATATAATTAACATTATTCATAATGTTTCACCCTTTCAAAAATATCCTCCTCCTCTCAAATAAACGTACATACGGGTGGCTCTTTTTCAAAAAATTAAAATTTGAAATTTTGGGCTCAAATATTAGAGATTTTTTCAACCTTCAACGATATATGTTGTCTATATCAGACCTCCTTTCTTTTTGATACTTAACATTGTTCCTAAATCTTAGCCGTTAAGGCTGTTCTGAAAATATTTTTTTTTCGAAAAAATTCGAAAAAAATTCTTAAGGGTTGACCGACGTCCATTCAATTTTTGAGAGGGCATTCAAAATTTATTGATATTAAGTATCAAATATCTCGTTATCTATAATTTTTTAAAACATGGTTGTTTCAGATAATGTTTTACCTTAATGAGATGTATGCAACGAGAATGAATTTTCGGTCACAATATTGTTCTATAAAAATTTCAAAATTTTTCGATTTTTCTTTCGATTGGAAAAATTTTTTATGGATAAATTTTTTACAGAAATACTATGGAATTTTTAGATAAAAACAGTGACATATCATGCATTATTGTACCCTTGATATAATGCAACAGATAAATCAGAAAAATAATGAGGTCGAAAAAACTCAAAAACGTTGACCGACCTCTTTTTATCAAAACACCGCTACACATCATAGATCATTTTGCAACAGCGCTCCTCCGCGGATTCGACATATTTAATAAATTAGCAAAAAAAGTATAAATCGTACTATTCGAATAGCACAATAGAAAGAATGAATATTAACAATTGTGTTTTTGATGATTAAAGGTTTGAAAAAGATAGTTTGAAAATAAATTTTTTTGTTTTGATTTTAGGGATGCGACGGTTTTACGCCATGACCGTTTAAAAATAGAATAATACGCCATTTTTGGGGCTGAATGGCGGGTACGAAGTAGCCGCCATTCGGCCGAATAACAAAACAATAAAAAATTATCGCCGTCCTTTTTTTCTTTCTTTCTTTCTCTTTTTTTTCTCTCTCTCTCTCTTTCTTTTCTCTTTCCTCTTTTTACTCCTCTTTCTCTTTTCATTATTAAACGTAGAAAGATATATTAATATTATTTTAAAATTAAAAAAAAAATAAAGAAAGTATAATAAGTAATTATTTAGTTATCGATATATATATGTAAAGTGATAATCTGAGGATAATCTGAGGAGTTTGAGGATAATCTGAGCATAATCTGAGGAGGAGTCTGAGGATTAGACCGATGAGTAGTTTGAGGATAATCTGAGGAGGAGTCTGAGGATTAGACTGAGGAGTAGTTTCAGGATAATCTGAGGAGTAGTTTCAGGAGTAGTCTGAGGACTAGTCTAAGGACTAGTCTGATGAGGAGGACTCTAAGGAGTAGTCTGAAGAGTAGTTTCAGGAGGAAGATCTGAGGAGGAGTCTTATGAGGAAGATCTGAGGAGTAGTCTGATGAGAAGGGGTCTAAGGAGTAGTCTGAGGATGATGAGTAATCTGATAATGAGTAGTCTGAGGATGATCTGAGGATAACCTGATGACTAGTCTAGGAGTGGTCTAATAAAAATGTAAAATATTTTCAAAGAAAAAATTCTATGAATTTTATATTTTAATTCTTAGCATTATACTGAATAAAATAAACATAAATATCAAAATTTGAAATTGAACACGCCAAAAAATTGATAATCCACATTCAATATTTTGTAAGTGGCGTACTTTTTGAATACTCGCCATACGCCTTGGAGTTCTCAATTTTGAATTCGCCTTTATTTGGGCGACCTCAGAAAAATACGCCATTAAGAAAATATTGTATGAGATTTTAAATTTGAACACGCTCTACCTTAAGGAATTAAATTTATTAAGATATATTTATATATAATAAACGATTACTTAAAAAAAGTATTTCATCGCTTATGTAAGTTTCAAAAAAATCACGAAAATAAAAAAATCAAGATTAAGATTTTATTTTTAATTTTTGAATTTCTCAAATGGCGAAATTTTTGGGCGAACAAAAAAATGTACGCCTGGTCAAATGGCGTGTTTAACGCATCCCTATTTGATTTTTTTCTATAAAAATTTTCTTTATTTTTAAAAAACTCCTCCATTTTGGAATGTTGCTAGAATTACAAACGGCAAAAAGAATTAATTATTGCTGAATATATATTTATTCCGTTCCAAATTGAAGTGTTTTGCAGAATGAGAATAATATCCCAAAGTTTTTTTGTATTAATCTTATAATCAAAATATTGATTCCTAACACCATATATCCATGTGTAACAGATTTTATAGAATAGTAATTCAAGCTGAATTATTCAGATATTGAAATCTGATCAATATCTAATAATATAGATGGTATATTCAAATAGTTGTTTAAAAATGAATAGCTTCTTTGTATAAAAATGAATATTTTGTCACAAAACTTTATATCATTCCCATTATATTTATTTCAGTAAAATTTATTGGCACTATATACAATTTTGGAAAATTGAATATCATTTTATTACATATGTACTAATTTAATAAATGATCAAATTGCCAAAATCTTGAAATCGATTTCTAAAGTTGCTCAAAAATCGGAATACGTACAATTAATAATATCTTCATATGATGTTATTTGATTTGGTATACGAATTTTTTTCGCCGACATACCTTCCTGAAAAGATACGAACGATTTCGTTAATTTTTAAAAATTTGACATTGTTTATCTTAGCAAATGAATGTTAATTCTATTTTTGTAGAAATTATCATCAAAAAACTGTTTTGTAAAATTCGATTTCAATTGGAAAAAGTAAAAAAAGAAATATGCATCAGAAATGAACCAAGTTTAGTTGGTGTCTAAATATTTGCTAGCATTGATTTTAACAACTGAGTTATAATATCGAAGCTGATGCGCGAGAATTTCAGATATTTCATGATTCACCATCCAGTTTCCATTCTTTGTATAAAAATAGGAGATTAGAATTTTCATTAATACTCCTAGTAATTTAAAAATAATAAAAATTCTTTTGATTTTTCAACATAATGGAAAAAAATATTAAAAATAATCGAACAAATTAGTAAACAAGACATTTATTTCACAATATTTCTCAATATTTATAACGCTTACTGCGAGAATTCTAGTCAATGTATTTCATTCTTGGGAATAAAACAAATAAATTTGGTATTTTAATAGTTTGAAGCAACTACATTTAAAGAGGTTGCACGGGTGTTTTGCAGACAAGAAATAATAATCGCATGGGATTTGTAAATTTTAATTATATGAAATTGATTTAGACAATCGCGGTTAACAATAGAACAATCTGCAAACAAATAGTATGGAAATCATTAACAATATGCAAAATCTAGAATGGATTGATGTTTATTGTAAATTTTATTCAATTACAGTAAATTTTGGAATTTTACGTGCTAAAATATATTGCAATCTAGGATTTGTAGTATTTGATACTAAAATAACGAATATTTTTGCTTGTTTTCTCGCATAATTTTAATATGATTGTAAAAAATTATGAGTTACGATCCTGAAAATCAATAATTTAACACCTCTCGACGAACCCTTTTAAATGGACACAAGTCAATTTTTTTGAGTTTTCGAGGGTATTTTACCAAGGCTGAAAATGAAAAAATCGGGAAGATTACGTCCTCTCAATTTAGGGAGATTGGGACAAAGTTGCAATTCGGCACTTTTTGTAAAAAAAATGGGGTCATACTCATAATGAATAGAGACTTATAGCCAAGTCTTGATATCATGCAGGGAGAATATACATAGATAAGCAATTATATTTTATAGTAGTAGTATTCAGAAATTCTTACAATTTACAATACAATTTTCAAAAATGGATAAAAACTTATAGCCAAGTCTTGATATCATGCAGGGAGAATATACATAGATAAGCAATTATATTTTATAGTAGTAGTATTCAGAAATTCTTACAATTTACAATACAATTTTCAAAAATGGATAAAGACTTATAGCCAAGTCTTGATATCATGCAGGGAGACTCTCTACAAATACAAAAATTGATTATCATAAGGAAATACAAATTTATCAATTTTCATGTGAAAATTACATAAATTTGTTCTCCAATAAATAGCAATAATACTTTGAATGTTATATTAAGTAATATAGCTTCAGATAAATAAGCTTACACTTCAAAAATATACTGTTTATTCATTAATTTTAAAAAAAGTCCAAATTATCTAATCTTGCTTACTCTTCCTTTAAACTTCTTTGTGCCAAATTTAATATTGCCTTCAAAGATGGAATAAGGACATTAGGTTCAATCCTTCGGCTTTCGACAATTTCCAAAATGTGTTGAATTAATTTCAAACATTCATCGTGTTTTGAAGCTCTTTGCTCAACAATCTGATTACCTGCCCTTGTAAGAATTCTTACTGCTCTTTCTTCATTCAAAACATTAGCGACTTGAACCTTAATAATCGCATTTGGAATCACAACAGTGATGAGAGTTATGACGATGTCATCAATGCGCTCATTTTTCTTACCCAAGAAAAATGTTTGCTTTAATTGATGAAAGTGTGATTCCGCAATGTTATTCGTGGAATCACCTTCTCCACGATATAACATCATCCAATGTTCTTTGGTTCTTCTCCATTGTTTATCGAAATACTTCAAAGCGCGCGGTTCTTCTTCTTCTAACATTGTTGTCAAGAACTCATATGTTTCATCAGACTCTTCAGCCAGCTTTTCTGCATTCGTTGCATCTGCACGTAATGTCAAAAAGTCCATTGCTAAATAGAAGTTCTCAAAATTCTGTGGATTGTCAAAATAGCTTCCAACTTTTGCACATGCGCGTAAAACATGCACAGCGCACCAACTGAGCTGCGCAAGAGGAAATCCGTCCTCAATTGCGCGAGCAATGTTTAGCGCACAGTCAGCGCTCCAATGCTGTGGATCCAGGTGCGCAAACTCACAGAATTTCACCAAACATTCTTGAATTTTTTCAGATGTCTGAGGGTTCACTAAAAAATAGCAAAAGGGGAAAATTGTGTTTTGACTTGTTTTCATTGTTACTGCAAACAATTGGATCTTTCCTTTAATTAAAGAATGAGTGGAATCGACGTGGAGAGGGTTATCAATGCTATGCACCAATTCTTTTGCAGCAAAAGGTGCATATATGATTGTAAACTCGGAAAAATCTCCATTGTAATCAAATTGAACGAGATCATCTGGGCACTCTTCCTGTAAATTATTCAAAAATGCTTCCAAAGAAGTGTAAGGATCGTTTGATAATCTTTGTGCAATAATCTCATCAAGGCGATAAAATTTGTGCTTTAAAGCATCAGTAGACTGCGCGAAAAGTTTCATCGTTTCTTTGTTATTCGTATCAATTCCGAACTTATCAAAAAATGCTTTTTGAGCAAGAAATTGCTTTCCACCGTTTTTAATATAAAGTTCGATCCATTTTTGATAAAATTTACTCGCGTAATGTGAACCCATTTCAACTCCTATATGATGGCAATGTTCTTCATTAACTTTGCTTATAGTAAACACTCCATTTTGTTCTTCAACCCTAAATTTTGCCTTGCATAGGGGATACGAACATGAATAAGTGACATATTGCTTTGGAGATCCCGTTCTTCTTCTTTATGGGACACCGCCCTTGACTTCCTGTTTAATACCAAAAGCAATAAGCTCCTCTAAGTCCACCGAAATCATAAAAATGAAGTGATTTTGAAAAGAGTTAACAAAATTCAAATCACATCAAAAACAAAAACACATAAAAATATTTTATTATACTCATTCGAAATTAAAATAATAAAATTTATATATATTAATTTCATTAAATCAAGGTTAAAAATCTCACCGGAAAAATAACCTCAGTGTGATAAATTTATCACCGGAAAAATTTACAATAAGGTTAATACCGAAAATATTGAAAAATCAACATTTAAGGTTAATTTAAGAGTATGCACTTTTGTCACATACTCTCAATTTAGGTCGGTCAACGAGAGAGGGTCAAAGTTGCTATTTGTCACTTTTCCACAAGAATATAATGGGGAAAAAGTTATCATATAGTTGATCTCATTCACTGAGGTGAGAGATGCATGTAGTGTAATTTGATAAACAGTGGGATTGCTGCTCTAAGTCCTAGGTTCGAGACACATTGGCTTCATTTTTCTCTTTTTTATTGACGTAAACTATTCAATTTTTGTGTTCTACATTCAAATTTCAGAATTTTTTTTGCAGATTTCACGCTACATTCGAAGTTACCTTTTGTAACAACCACCACTGCCTACGAAAGACGAAAGTGTGTCACGATTTCACCCGGAAATCCGACGGTTGTTTAAGAGTATGCACTTTTGTCACCTACTCGTCGGTCAACCCTCAAAATTCAAAAATCCCTTAATTCCTGAGGATTTTGGAAAAAAGTTTTTACATGAACATGTGTATATTATATGAAGTATATTGATAAGGTAAAAATCAAATTTTATTGCATATTCATCGAGAAAATAAACTAACGAATCCCTCAAAATTGAGAGGGTAATCCTCCTCCTCTCAAATAAACGTACATACGGGTGCACCCTTAATGGCTCCCTTCATAAAATGGGTTTCAATTCAAATATAAGCAGGAATGAAGCCGCAAATTACCTTATGAATGCTATTCCAATCCTTAGAGATGACATGCACGAACTACGTCAATGGACTGTCAGAAAGAATGTAAAGCCAATACCACTACCGATTTCACCACCTGGCTTTGGCCCATCCATAGAAGCGTTCAAAAAGGAAGTTCCAACAGAAGTTCAATTGAATGCACAGCAGGATAAACAGCTTCCTGTTCCATGCGTTGAAAGTACCACTGATAAAAAGCTGGATTTAGAGGAAGAAATGAATTCTTTTTCTAATTTACCAGATCCCTTGTTTTTGTTTGATAATTCGGATCAAAGCCAGTTATTAGAGCTTGATTTCATCTAAGTTTTCTTATATAGTAAAATAGAAATGTTTCACTTTTTACTTCACAATTTTTCCATTCGTTTTTTTGAATTCTTTTCAATTTTTCTATGAGTTATATGCAACCAATTAGTAGATATATTGTATTCATAGCCATAAAAAAAATTTCTATAGAATTTTCATTTTTTACTTTTGTATTGTAATAAAATGTTCGAAATTGAGATCTTACATCGGCAAAATTGCCATAACTTAGAAGAATCATTTAATTTATTACTTTTGGACAACATTTCTTATCGTTTGATAAAATTTATCGTTTTATCCTTCAACATACTCACAGTAGTATATGTTGAAGGGTTGTGTGACTTTTTTTGTAAACGTAAGAATTCATACAATATTGAACGATTTTGTATCATTTTTTTTAACATATGAAGTAAAAAATGTATGATTCTTACGGTTTTTATTCTTACGTTTTTGAATAAATCAAGATTTAAAAAATTGACTTCTTACGTAAAATTAAAACTAAGTTAAATTTATTTTTTTTATTTTTATTTTATAATAAATGAGTATAACAACTAATTCATTGAAATCTTTAAAGTTCACTAATTCAGAATTAGAAAATATTTTAGAAAATTTTGGAGACGGTTCTTATCCAACATATATGCAGAATGTGAAAGAGTTTTCCAGATTGTTGAATGAATTTAAATATAACGGACCAATTACTAAAAAGGCTATAATGAGATATTTATATCCCAAAAAAGTTGAAAAACAGGAGAATATTCCTCTTTATGGTCCAGAGGACCTGGGCTCAGAGAGCCTTGAAACACCTCCTGAATATTTTGAAGAAAAAATTAAACAAGATGAATATTATAACGATGAGATTGAGAAATTGGAACAATTAAGAAATGAAATAGATGAAAAAATTAAGGAATTGAGAAATGCTGAGAATGAAGTAGAGGGTTTAATGAATATCCCAGCTTCAGAATCAGCAGTTCAAAAATCACATGAGGAAAGATATAAAAATTACTTTTTGGAATCTACTAAAAATTTATTAGATGGTGATATTGACGAAACACTTTCAGAAGAAGGCACAAAATTTATTCATAAACATAAGTTACAATTTATTGACGATGGAGATTATCCATGTATATTACTTTCACCTCCTCTTGATTCTGAAAAATTCAAAAAAGCACTGAAAAATGTAACATATGCAACAAATACGATTAAGAAAGAAGACCATGATATTTACACAAATTATTATTTAAATAAATGTACAGGTGTTGATAAAGTTTTTGATTTGTTAGATAAAATATCAAAAGAAACAATTGGACATATAAAATTTTATGTGATTGTGGTTTCATTATTGAAGATACCAATAATGTTTCATATGAAAGAACAGCACCGAAGGAAGACGAAGTGAAAGGTCTATACCATTCGTTATTAAGAACATATAAAAGATATGAAAACTTATAAACATTATATTTATTCATTTATTTCAGAAAAAATGGAAGCAACCCATAAAACATCTTCATCATTTTATAGCTATTCATACATTCCTTTTCAAAGTTGTGAAATTAAATAAGACAGGAATTAGATTTAATGTATCAGGGTACGCATTCTTGAGTAAATTAAAATGTATTCGTCACGTCGCAGATGATAAAAATTTATGTGTTCTTAATTCATTTTATGGACTTTAGCCCTGGACTCTCTGAGTCTCGGACTTTAAAAAAATAAACTTTATTTTTATTTATTTTAATTTTTATTCTTACATAAATGAACAAAAATGGAACAGCTAAAATGAATGATAATCAAATAAGAGCCGAAGGTAGAAGGTTATTTAAACGCTTCTATAACATTCCTGATGGTGTTAATCCTAAAACTCGTAGAAGTTATTTAAATGAAGCCATAGATGCATATGAAGGATTTGACATTTCATCAGAAAGTGAGAGGTTAGCAAGAATGTTAAATGTTAATATTGATTTTATTATTGTGACCTCAACCAGAAGACGTAGACATTAACAAGGTAGACTTTCCATTAGTGGAATCAATAATGATAGATCCAGAATTTGAAACAGTAAATATTTTATTAACACAGAGTCCATGTGGAAAACTTCACGCTGACAGAATAACAGACGTTGAAGCACTCACAGGATATAAAGTTTGCCCCTTTTGCAAAGAAGAAGTATATTCTATCCGTGATGATCCAGAAAGGAAAAACCAAAGAAGATTTTTAAAACATTGTGAGAAATGTAAAGAAAATAATGGAAGATTAATTCAAGACGTTCAATTGCAAAACACACAACAACCATATGCACCACATATTACGAAACAGAAGATATATCAATGGCTATTAGCACATAATTTGCAGGAATATTATAAACCAAAAGATATTATATTACTTTTGACTTCGAAACATTAGAGACTAAAGAAGAATTACAACTTTCTGAGTGTGCAACTTTGAACGCTTACTTAAAACCATTCATGGTATCATCAACGGTTAAATTAAACGATAAAACATATACGAGGAATTTTTGCTTAACTTCGAGTGATTCTTTTATTTCTGATTGGATTGAGTTTTTATTTTCAACCTGTTCATTAGTTGCTAAATCAAATATTGAACAATATGAAGAATTAATGAAGTCGCAAACGGACCAAACGGCGGGGACTTTGTCTCATACATTAAATGAGAAACAGAAGGAAGCATTTAAAGAGCTTTTAGATGAAGAATTTAATAAAGTGAATATCATTGGTTTTAATTCAGGAAAGTTTGATTTAAATTTAATTCTTCGTGATTTAAACACTGCAAAATGGAAGATAAAATCAATGCTGGGTTCTTCTTCACAATTTAAGCAAATCATTGTAAAGAAAACAAACGTTCCATATGAATTAAGATTTATTGACATCAGAAATTATATAGCGCGGTGGAACATTAGACCAATTCACTCAAGATTTCGGAAACAATAAATCACGTGTTAAATCCTTTTTCCCTTATCAATTCATCACATGGGAGAATTACGAAGATGAATTATATAAAAGGAACCATTCACTCAAGATTCATTTTATTCAGCATTAACACAAGAAACAATATCCGATAGTGATTATCAAATATATCTCAATGATGCTAAAAATTTTGAGAATAGATTAGAATATTTTATTCATTATTGCAATAAAGACGTTGAAATTATGATTGACCCAATTGATAAAATTATCGAAAGAAACATTTGTTTATAAAATTGACATGCTTCATAATCTTTCTTTATCATCGAATGCATCAATGATTCGTTACGCGTTAGCATATAAGAACTTCAATCCTAACGAAACATATCCAGAAGAAGAAAATGTGGAATCAAGTTTTGAATTAACAAAAAAGTATTGGAAATATAAAATTGAATCATATAAGAAACAAGATGAAAAAGCAGAAAGGGATACTAAAAACAATGTTTCAATGGATGACTATCAATACTATCACGATTTAATCCTTTCATCTAAATGTAAAATGTGTGGTAAAGCGTTTACATATGCAAATAAACCAACATTAGATAGAATCGATAATGAAAAACCACATACCAAAGAAAATTGTCAGTTAATGTGTTGTTATTGCAATGTCGTAAAATCAAATAAAGATGAAGATGTTCAACGTTTAAGAATCAATTTAAGAAATTATGCATTAAAAAATAATTTACCAATGACTTTAGATTCAGTTGAAGCTTATCACATTCTCCGTAATGGAATTACTGGTGGTCTATCAAATGTTCAACATCGTGTTAATCTTAAAGGAATCACGCACATTAATAAACTTTCATATAATCCAGAAACTAAAACTGTATCAAATGAGGACACCACCAACATTATGACTCATTTCGTTGGAGTTGACTTTAATTCATTATATCCTTCATCATTTTCATCTAATCCTCATGATTTCATTCAATATACTGACCATAAAATGTATATGCCGGGAAGATTGAATGGTGTTATCATTTGTGATACAGCAACAAAGAAAGCAAAAGCACTGGGAATAATTAAGAAGAAAAATACTTTATTCGTGGCTGAAGTAAAGGGTCACATTGATGAAAAATACATTAATGATTACATAAACTTTTTACCGATAATAAGAAACTTAGATATTATCACAGATGAAAAAACAATTGGCAGTTTTATGTATAATTACATGAAATCAAACAATCTACCAGTTGACCAGAAACAGAGAAAATTAACTCAGTTAGCATCAACACACAACCAATATCAACCATTTTCTTCTTATTATCTTTGGTATCTAATAGACAGATTTCATTTTATCATCGATGATATTCAATCAATTTAACATTTACGAAAAACACTTGTTTTAATGAATTTGCGAACAAATTTATGAACGAAAGACAAAAGGCTGAATTAGAAGGAAATAAAGGAAAAAGTTTATTTTGCAAGATTTCACTTAATGGATCATATGGTTACGATGCAATGAATACACAAAATTACGCAAAGACTAAAATAATGAATGCACAGAAGGCACGCGTTGCATGTATGTCAAATAAGTTTAAAAACATAAGAGAAATAGGAGAGGATACATATCAAGTGATGCTTAAAGATAGATTTTATAGATGTGATACATGTTTACAAGAGGCATTCTTCACTTTAGATAATGCTAAATACTGGTATTTGGTTTTCATTTATGATTTTATGTATAAATGCATGGATGTTAATCGTTTTCATTTCATTGAAGGTGATACTGATTCATCTTATTGGGCAATCGCTGGCGACCCAAATCTTCCTAACACTCAAGCATTTCAAGCAATTGTTACCGATAAACAATTTTATGATAAAAACATTTTCAAATTCGCACCTTTTGATTTCTTCTGTTTTGATGAGAAATTTAAACCTAAATTAAAGAATAAAGCTGAAGAAAAAGCACATGAGAAGAAGTTATTGGGTTTAGCAATTGAGAAACAAGGTGATAACATGGTTGCTTTATGTCCTAAGTGTTATACATCATTCAATGGTTCAATTGATGGAAGTGATTTTAAAAAGATTGCACAAAAAATGAAAGGTGTTAGTTTACGACAAAATAAACAATTAACACCTAAAAATTATTTGGATATAATAAATGATAAATTGATATTTGATGGTCAGAATATTAATTTACAACTTAAAAACGGGTCAATGACTCGTTTAACAATCGGTAAGACTGCATTAACAGGAGCACACACTAAGGCTGTATGTTGTGAAAATGGATGTTGTATGCCATTTATTTAATAAAATACCACAGAAGAGACAAAAGGAACCGTTAATGATGGTTTTGATACTATGATTCAAAGAGGTGGGCACCCTTAAAACATTGATTTTATTTTTATATAAATGAATAACACAGATTTAAAAATTTTAATTGATGATTTAGTATTTAATCAAAATTTTCTTAATTATTATGATTTAAAAGCATATCTCCAAAAATATAATAAAATATAACGGGTGATGATATGGAATATTATTACCATATTATAAAAATGAAATTTTGAAATATCATGATAAAATAATTCGTTTAAGAGAGAAATTAAAGAAGAATATAAAGGGAAAAAGTAAATCACAGCTTAAACAGTTGAAAGATTTCAAAAATAAAGTATTAACAGAAGAAGATATTGATGAATTATATAAATTATATAATCCTGAGCCGCAAAAGCCAAAGGAACAAAACAAAAGGAACAAAACACAGTCTTCAGACCATAAATGATGCACAAGCTTTAATTTATGATTCATTAGTTAAACCATATTCAGCCCGACTTTTAAATGAAGATCAACTTTTGGAATTCATCCTTCAACATAAACTCGAAGCGGGAAAGTATATCAAACCTTTATATACAGCATATTTAAAACAAATGAATAGAATACATCCAGAATTAATGAAGGGGAATGAATCCAAAATCAAAGCAGATAAAATTAAACCACTTACAACACCAAAACCTCCAACGACAGTACCTCCTCCTCCTTCAGTTAATCCTTCATCATTCACTTTATTATATCCATTTCAAACATTAAAGAAGCAAAAAGATTTTAAAAAGGATTTCAAGATATTAAATAAACCAATTGACCCGAAAATTCAACCATTAAAGGAAAAATTTAGTCGACCTTCATTTGCTCCATATCCATATTCATACGAAATCGATCATCTGGAATATTCAAAAGGAAATTACTTATTTATTTGCCATTAACATTAACACTAGATATTTATATTGCATTCCGGTGAAAGGGAAAACAGAACAGGAAACAAGAAGAGCTATTCAATACTTACTAGATCATGAAAGAGTAGATAATATAAGGGGTGATGGTGATAAAGGATTTCAGGCAGCTATGACTCATTATTTCCCACAAATTAATTTTTACTTTCATCCTCTCCATATACGTTTCATAATAAAATAGTTGATGCAGTAATGAGAACTCTTAGAGATGCGTTAGGGGTTAACGGTCAGATATACTGGGATGGAAATCATGACTCCATCATACAGCAGTTAGTATATTATTACAATAATACATGGCATAGAACTATTAACATGAAACCAGTGGAAATGAAAAATGATATTTCAAAAGAATGGGAATATATTAGAAAGCAAATGGAAAGGTTAAATGATGTTAAACGTGAACAAATTAATTCGGGGCTCATGAATTTTAAACAAGGGAATAAAGTTTTATTCATCTCGATTATGGAAAAACTGATAAATCAATGACAAAAAGAAGACGAAGATTTGACACAATAGCTGAATTTGTTAGATATATTAACGGCAATGCATTAGTTGAAGTTGACAATAAATTAATAGAAATTCCGATTTATTTTATTACTCCATTATATTTAAATAATATTTAATTTTTTTTATTTCGTAAGAAATGAGTGACAACGAAGCAGTCAAGAGTCCAGACGATGAATATAAAAAGAAACTAAACAGAATTAAATCAAAAATATGCTATTACAAAAAGAAGCCACAATGTGATGGGGTTGAAAACGATAAAGAAATAATCGAAAAATTAGAAACTTACCGTTCAATCCTTAAACTGAGTGAAGCAAAAATAAAAGAATTTAATAGAATAAATAAATTGGTTGGAAGAGATGAATTTAATAAAGATGAATTTTTAAACTCAATCCAAATTTAATTTTTATTTTTCTTTGACAACATCTCTCTTTCCATCATTACTGCATAACCACATTTTCTCAGTTTTAGTGGTTTGTTATTTTTAACATGTTCTTGCATCATTTTTATCATTTCCTCCCTTGTTATGATTCGTGGTAAATTTTGAGCTTGTGGGGTATTCATTTATGATAAAAATAAAAATTTAAATTATGCCGTTCTAAAGTTTGTGAAAGAATTTGCGGAAATTCATGTCTTACATTTTTTGAATAAATGAGGGGTCCCTCGGTCCCTCGGTCCCTCGGTTAATTAACATCTTTTTGAAAATAGTGACAACATGACATTTTGACAACAGGGGAAAAAAAGGAGGAAATTCATGTCTTACATTTTTTGAATAAATGAGGGGTCCCTCGGTCCCTCGGTTAATTAACATCTTTTTGAAAATAGTGACAACATGACATTTTGACAACAGGGGAAAAAAAGGAGGAAATTCATGTCTTACATTTTTTGAATAAAGTTAGTTTTAAAATTATTTTTATTTTTTTATTCCTATATAAATGACAGCAACAAACAACAACAGCAACTTTATCATTTCTGATGAACAAGTTATTGATTCATTAGCTGAGGAATTAGTTGTGGCAGAAACTAAAACCCTCAACGAAAGAATTGGTGAAAACAAGATTGATTTACATAACTACCTCAAACACGATGGAGGAAGAGGAAGGAAAACTGGTATGGCTTTATTAGTAAATAAAATTCCAAATTTAACTATTATAGATGTTGATATCAATAAATCATACAATGATGAACTTAAAGAAACAGTAAGAAAAGATATTTTATCAAAACTTTCGGATAAAGATGTTATCGTTAAAACCGCTTCAGGAGGTCTTCACATTTATTGCAACACTAATTTCTTCTATTCAACCTCGAACAGAATGATTAAATGTTATTCCTGCAATGATTATGATATTGACATAATGACTTCATGGATGATTCAAAGCGTTCATTAGTGGTTATGGCTGATTCAAGAGTTCGCAAGAATGCAACAGAACCAATCAAACATACTCATTCATTCGTGGAAGTTATGATTCAACATTAACTAGAACAGTGAATGATATATTAAATGATTTGAATATTAAGGTAAGAGTTGAACAGAAGAACGAAGAAATAAAGAATATAATGAATGAAGACAAAGATGTAAACATTGACGATAAACTTGCCCAGAGCATAGTTGATGGCATCTGTGATTTTGAAGTACATAATGATGGTGGAAACATGAATTTAGAAAAAGAAGTTACATTATTCACACTGTTTCAAGCTATTAATTCGTTACCTAATCATTTAATTAATGAAGCATACGACAACGTTTATAACTTCTGCAGTTTAACAGAAAATGCAAAAAGTAATTTTGAAAAAGCACGTGATAGATATGCACATTTAATGACTTCTCCATTTGTTTTGGTGAAGATTCTAAAACTTTATCAAAAGGAATATTATGATGAATATGTTTTACCTTTATTACGTAAGCCAAAAATAACATTTGATATAAAACTTGATGACTCGTTTTTGATAACAGATATTAGACGTAAAGCTGAAAATCATCAGTATAAAAACAGTTCTGAAGTAATTGAGGATTTATCACGTGTCATTCGTTTTGTAGATTGTGGAAACAAATACTTCATTCAAAAAGACTATAATATTCATGATAAAATGAATCAAATATCATTCGTTCTTCAATCAAACATGAAAGAGTCACTCAAAATGATTAAATTATTTAAAGAAGAAGGTAAAACCATAACAGCATGGGACGTACTACTAAATCAATTATCCTCATTAACCGTTATGGGTGTTTGCTTTAAATCTGATTCCCCAGATGTTTTCTCAACGTTTCAAGGTTATAAATACAACGTTCTCGAAAAGCCTGATTACTCAAAAATTGAGATGTTTATGAATTTCATTAAAGAAGCCATTTGTGATAATAACGATGAAGTGTATAAATACCTACTCGGCTGGATTGCATCAATGATTCAACATCCCGGAATCAAGAATGAAACAGCAATTATTTTGAAAGGACTTCAGGGAATAGGTAAAAACAGATTTACAGACATTATTTCTGAACTTCTCGCTGGTTATTCATGTAAAAACATTACCGAAATAAGTGAGCTAACGGGTAATTTCAATTCAGTTGTTGAAAATAAAATGTTTCTTGTACTTAATGAACTCAAGAATGTAGGTGAAGACAGACTCGCAAACTTCAACGCTTTGAAATCAATTATAACGGATAATGAGATAAGAATTAATGAAAAGAATCAACCCAGAAGAACTGCTCAGAATGTTGCCAATTTTATTTTCGTAACTAATAACGTTTACCCTGTCAAAATTGAAGTTGGAGACAGAAGATACGTAGTTTTAAGGGTTAATGGTAAATTTAAGGGTCAATTTATTACTTCAAGAATTTAATGGATTCATGCACAAAGGAATTTTATGATAATTTACTAACATATTTTATCAATTACGACCTTTCATCATTTAATGTACGAATCATACCGATGACTGAAGCCAAACAAGATTTAATCGAGTTATCAACAAATCCTTTAGATGAATGGATAAATACACATTATGATGAATTGTGTGCAGGTATGATGTGTAAAAATGCTCTATTCTGCAAACCATCAGACATGAAAGACAAGAATTTTCAAATGAGTATTAAGGATAAATGTGAAAAGAAACAAAGAAAAACAGACGGTAAACATACGTGGTATTATGTTTTGAAAGAAGAAATGAAAGGATTATATAAACAGGTTGAACCAAACGATAATGAGGATTCATTTACTGACGATGAAATACCTGTAAATGAAGCTTTATAAAGTATGATTGGAATTTATTTTTGCATGAATCCCACTATGTTGTCAAAATGTCATGTTGTCATCATTTTCAAAAAGATGTTAATTAACCGAGGGACCGAGGGACCGAGGGACCCCTCATTTATTCAAAAAATGTAAGACATTCAATCCTTTTTTCCCCTGTTGTTGTCAAAATGTCATGTTGTCATCATTTTCAAAAAGATGTTAATTAACCGAGGGACCGAGGGACCGAGGGACCCCTCATTTATTCAAAAAATGTAAGACTTCAATACCGTTATAAGTGCCTTTTGTGAATGTTTCACCATTAGATTTGTTCGTGAATGTTTTTGCTTCGACTGACATTACTGTTCTTACATACAAAACTCTATATTTAGTTCATTCGGTAAGCCCAGACCTTTGGGTCAAGCACATTCAATAAACTCTATACCATGCGAATATAGTCATAAATGGTGGCATATAATCTTTACCCAAGCCTGTTGGATTTGTTGTGAAAGTATGGACATGATTTCCTCCTGGTTCAGTTGGTCGAAAAGTCTTTTTTGCCGAATGGTTATAATCTGGAGATAAAACGTCATTGCCAGCATAATATTCTGAGTTATATAATGGGTGGTCTCTTAATGAGTGACTATGGTCACCAGAAAAGTTTGTAGTTCCCGTATGAGTGTGCGGTGGAAGGTTTGCTTCTTTAATTTTCTTCGAACCTCCTGCCGTCTTTGAATATCTAGCACAGTATAAGAATTTATCTATAATCTGCTTCCATTCACCAAAACCTAAAACTGTTGCGGGATTTGTTGAGTTCATTGACGTATAAATAGAGCCTATAGGATATAATGTTTGAAGTATTTCTGTCTTTAATGTTTGAAGCTCTGTTTTGTCTGCTTTCTTGTCATATAAATCTTGAGCAGTGAATTTAATATTATGTTCATCCTTCATGACATAAACATCTTTACATCTAATGTTTCTCATCGTCGTTATGTCGTCATCCGATGTTAAACCTTGTGGAAAGTTAGGAGGTTTCCAATATAATACATCCCCATCAGGTTCTTCAACCGTTCCTTCAATACTTTCTATACCAACAGTTGTGAAGAATTCATGTGTATGGTTCTTATCTGCTTTCTTCTCTAACTCATCGTTAACATATGTTTTATCTGCTTTAAGGTCTAAACATCCTGAAACCCATCCTGTATCGGCTTTTGTTTTTAAAATCTTTGATGTCCATTCATGATACCATTCAACCATTTCTTTAATTTCATTATCTTTTTCATCAACATAAACCAAATTTGCTTTCTTCATTAATTCACTATCAACCCTTTCTTTAATTTCATTATCTTTTTCATCAACATAAACCAAATTTGCTTTCTTCATTATGTCATTTAGGAAACCTTTTATGAATTCCTCATTTAAATTAAATCTTCCAATCTTCAAAACTTTAGGAAATGCATTTAATGCGTAATATCTTTGTTCTTCTGGTGGAATTGATGTTATATCATCCGTTATTCCTTTAATTTTTGAATTCATAAATAAAATTTCTTTTATATTTGATATCACTGCACCACCTTTGCAAACGAATTCAAAATGGTCATTTTTCAATACTATCTCCAAATCTCCATATTTCAACCTTTGCGTTTGTTCTGCCGTCTTTGAATTATATGCATATGTGGCGTATGTAATGGTCTGCGCCTTAAGTTGCTGTTGTTTAATCATTTTATTACGATTTAAAAATAAATATTTAATCTGTTATCTCATCACCTATTTTTTCTATTTGAAATTGCCATAATATTTCATTCATGAATTCTAAATCACAATCAAATAGGTCGGTTATTCTAAATTTAATATTTGATAAATCTTTTGAATGAAGAATAAATGAATTCCCGGATAATTGAAACGGATATGATAAAGAAAATATGTTTAAGTTGATGGATAAAATGTTTTGTATTGATGGGTAAGAGTTAGGGTCTAATGTTTGATGTGAAAATCTCATTGGGGTATTAACTTTATCACATTTGATTAAAATGAAATTGGAACCAGTGTCAGAATACAAAACATCCCCAACATCTTTTTCAAAATTTAATATCCCCAACAATGAACGAAGAAGGAGTACAAAATTTAATTTTCAGCGGAAATTTAATAAGGTTATTTATTTCATCAAGTTCAAAAAGTTTATCAGGTTTTGATTTAAAATTTTCTTCATACCATACGATAAATGATTCATTTAAATAACTTAAAATTGTTAATATCCCATTTCGCTATCATTATTTATATACATATCATACGTTTTTTCATGGTCATCTTTAATAAATGATATATAATCTGAAGGGTCTAAAAGAATGGGATTAAATTTACCACTCACAGAAACGAGAGTAACATTATAAATTCCGCTAACTGTTAAATTTAATTCACAGTTATTATTCGAAATAATATTGATAATTGACATTTTTATTACGATTAAAAATATGGTAAAGCGTTATTTTCCAGTGATAAATAAAACTAGAATAAGATTACCTCAAGAATTCATAAATTCAACGAATAAGAAATTCATTCATGTTATAAATTTTAGTGTTTTCAGAAAATATGAGTCAATGTCATATTCATCATCGGTTATATTTCACTTCATTCAAATTTAGTTCAATCAAACCCATATAATGACCATTTCATAAGATTTTCAGATGGTATTAAAAATGTAATTGATAGATTAAAATATGAACAGATTGACAATATCGAATTTTTGGAATTTTGGTTTAAATATCCCGATGGAAAAAAGATTGAAGTTAAAGATAAAGCTGATACTATAACAAAAACAATTACAATGACCGATCCAGATAGTGGGGAACAAAAAGAAATAAAACAAACGATAGAAACTGGTGAAAGGTCAATTATTATTGATTATGATTCAAAGGATTATTATTCGATAATGTTAATGCTTGAATATTAAATAGCCTTAACAAAGAATTTTTCAAGTGATATTTTATATTCATCAACTATTTTATTATAAATATCATTATAAGTTAAATGAAGTTCAGTTGTTGTTCCGTTCTTTGATATCTTAATTGTGCTAATATCCTTTATAGGATTTATTTTTGCAACTGTTCCGCAGCATGAAACCTCATCATCTATGAAAAATTGAATCTTAACGTCTGAATCTTGAACATCACAAAGAATGGCGATAATGTGAATTAATGATTCATAAGGTAAAATAATTAAACCGGATTGGTCAATTAAATTTATTATTGAATCATAATTATCAGTTATTATATCACGGTAAATTTTCATTAATTCAGAATTAATGTCTATTTTATATGGCGCATTGCGACTGGAATCGTAGATTCCTGGGTTCTCGATGTTTGATGAAAGAGGCGGGGGGTATGTTGGATAAGTGGGAATTTCAACAGGTTCTTTACCGGGTTCATCTTCTTTTTATTTTGCCCTCCTCCTTTTTCGGTAAGTCACGAGTTAATAAATTTGGTTGAGTTGCTGACCTTGTTAATTCAGGACTAACATTAACTTTAACATTTTGAATAATTCGTGATTTATCATCATTTACGTTATAACCAACCGTAATCTCTGCTTTTGCGTTAGTGTTCTTTTGACTAGTGAAACGTCTTCTCATTTATAATCGAATAAAAAAAGAAAAATATATTTAAAGTTTTATTTAGTTGTTACGGTAATATCCCAAGGTTCATCCTTGTTTGCTTATACTTTCTTTGTAACTGCACCAATTATGTTATTGATATTGCTTTGAGTTTCTTCCAGTCTTATTTTATCATTTACAATATCTTTAATCATTTCATTACATGCATTCTTAAAACCATCTGATTTTTCTAATTTACGTCTATCACTTTCTTTAATTAAATCAAAGTTATAACCTTGTTGAGAATAAAGTGGTTTCTTTATCAATTCCTTGAACGCTTCTGAAAGTGAAGATGAAGAAATTCTTGCCACTTGAATTGGTTTAAATTCTGCTTTCATTGCTTCTTTCTGTTCATTGAACACTGGATCGAATAAAGCAACTTTAAAGAATTTCTTAGCTGGAATTTCAGGTCTCAAATATGCATATTGACCATCAAACTGATTAACATATCGTGGTAATCCATCCGGTCCCTCTTCAACAGCATTTAATTCTTCATTGAAATAAGAATATGGAATAAGATGGTATGAATAATTGGACCATTTTCACCTTCTCCAATGTATTGTTTAACAGCTTTTCCATTTTCATCAAATTGCATAGGATAACATTCATTATATGCTTTACGTTTAGGATAATCCGTCATTGTTAATTTATACCCATTTATGACTTTAATATTTCCTTGACCATCAGTAACGAAAACTTCATTTATACCATCAGGTTTTCCATTTGGTCCTGTAATGTCTGCTTCATGTGCTTCCCAATTTGGTCCATGACGTTTGGCATATGCTTGAGCTTCTGGTAATGTTAAAACGTTTCTCATTTGTTTAACATCTTTTGAAGACCGGCAACAATGTGGACTAATTCTTTCATTCCGTCTGGAACTTTCATAGTTCTATTATATGCACCCTTTTTGTTTGTCCTTGTTTTAATGGAACCTGTAGAAGATTTGCTATTTCTGTCATGTTTAATTATAAATAAAAAATAAAAATTAATTATAAAAAGTTAATCAAATTTAATGGAACCTTTATTTAAATCAACTATTATTTTTCCATGTTCACCTAATTGTTGATATTGTGTGTAAAGTTCATTAATGCTCATTGGTAAATTCACTTGATAAAGCATAACGTTCAACTGTTGACGACTAAACCACTGAAAATGAAAAGGGTGGACAGGTTTGATTTAATGTTTGTGCTTAATGCTTTAAAGTATTGAACAGCCATAAAGAATGAACACTGAATGTGTCGACATTGAGTTAATAATTGATTAAAATATGATTTCTCATTAGTTATTAGTTTTGATTTCACGCATCATCTAGAAAAATGAGTGAATGCAAAAATTCTCTATCAAAATTTGAAATAGAAAGTGTTTCAAATAATTCATCCCGTTGTTTATCAATAATTTTATCCTCTAATCCTTGCTTCTTGATTGTATTATATAATTCTTTATACATTAAAAAGTTTTTTAAATAATCTTCTGCTTCTTCTTGTGATAAATAAATAATTGGAATTTTGATTAAATGCTTTAAAGATTCAAATGTATCATCTGAAGGTGAACCTGAACGGTTGATATAAATTAACACATGTGAATGGGGGAAGTGTTAGCAATAATGATAATTTGTTTTAATATCGTTAATGTTTTACCTTTATTTTGTTTACCAATTGCTGCAGTGATTGAATTTAAGTAACATTCAGAATATGGAATTTTCATTAATTTTTCCTTAGATAGAGCATTTTTATTATCACTCAATGCTTCATTAATCATATCATCTACGTATGTATTATATACATCTGTTAATTCTTCAGAATTGAATTTAAATCCATTTAATCAAAAATAAATTTATAATTTTAAACATTTCTATTCATCAATATTTCATCATATGAACTTCTATACTGTGGTGGTGTACCTGTTGGATGATATTTCAAACCTTCATCCGGTGTCCATGTCCAATACGTAGTCCTAGTAAACCAAACCTGAGGAGGATTTGTCACTTTGAACAGTAAGTGTCATTTTCACCCTGAATGATTGGATAAGCTTTCACTTGTACTGTAACTTGTGAGTTGAAAGTTTCTAATCCATCAAAGAATATACCCGCTCCATCACGTTGAACTGGAATAGTGCATAAGAATGAAGTTTGGTCTTTCCATGTTCTAGCTAATGGTATGCCATTATCATCATTCAGTGGTCTAGTTAATGAGTCCTCGTATTCTTCTGTGCATTCATTCACTCCATCTAAATCAGAAGCTTGAAGCATACGTGTAAAGAATATGTCGCCCACTGTGGTCATCGCTTGATCGGGGAAGTTTCTGGAATCTATAGTGACCTGAAGACCTCGAAGCATTGGATTTTCTAAAACTGTTCTTTGCATTGCATTCTTTGGAAATGTTAACACAACATCTGTAACATTATGAAGAGCGTATGAGAAATCTGAGCTAATACCTTCAGGAGTGATGCAACCTCCATTTAGTGAACGAACGTCAATATGTTGAGCTGGAATCAGGAATGGATCTTCCTTACTAAATAAACGTGGTATTGCTTTAACTGATTCTTCAATTAAACCGTATCCTGGTGTAATGCATTTATCCTCTAAAACTTCCATCTTTGTGCATGAAATAATAACGTCATCAACTGTTGCGTCAGCAGATGTAGCGGCTAAGCTTGTAATTAATTTTGGCAGGAAGTCCGATTTGTTGGAATTTGCGATCATATTTATAAACATGATTCATAATCTTTTCATAATTTTCATCAGTTATCTTTTCATAAACGTAATTTTGTAAATCAGCAACTCTTAACGGGTCAACCTGACAAAATACTAAAGTATCCCTGAAAACATAATATTTAAGAATGATTTCACCAATGATTTAGGATAATCATCGAACGCCTGAAATGCTAACAAATCATTTACCGGAATAATCATATCAAAAGTGACATCAACTTCTTCATTTGCTTTCTTGAAAACTTCTGAAGGGTCAATATATTTACCACATACTGAGTTATCATATTTTTGAACATTATTATATAACGAATGAACAAACTTTTTAACTTTCCTTTCTGATTTTGGTTTATATGTTGCAAATGCAAAAGATTCACGGGCGCAATCCATCTGAAGATAACCGGCATCACCTCTTTCAGTTTCTACTTCTAATTGTTTAAAGTTTTGATTTGATGATTTGTAACCAATGAATAAACGCATGCATTTAAAAGCGGCATCACATGTGAAAGCTTTATTTGAAACTAGAGTTGCTTTAACTTTGCGTTTAATATATGTGTCACCTAATTGATTCACATCATGAGCTGGATTTGTAATTCTTAAATGAGTTTGTTTATCATCAAAATATGGAGTATCAGAGTCATAGCATGAACTTTCAAGTTCTCTATAATATCTTCTACCATCATTCTTCGCGAATATTTCATTTATCTTTTCGAATGAATGAAACACATTTCCATTAATCGGTTTAGTGTTTGGCACCAAATAGTTAGTCGTCATTTATTATTAAATAAAAAAATCAAAATTAAAAGATGAAAATGAATTTTTAATTTTAATGAAATAATCAACTATGGCTGCAGGTATATTTAAGAAACTGTGGATAAAGTAAAAAGAGGAGCGCATAAAGTTTGGGAAACAATGAAGAAAGGAGCAAATTGGATATTTAAGAATAAAGAAGCAATTAGTGACATTGCTGAATCAATAACACCAAAAGCCGCCCCAATAAGAGAAATATTAAATAAAGGAGAAAAAGTTTATCAAAGACTACAACCGATACTAAGATAAAAATAATATTTATTTATTTTTCCACTATTTACCTCCTATTTTATTAAGTATTCCTTCAGCAATTCCACCAATTGCGTTACCTGCTTGTGCTCCCATCGCTGGATTACCTGCTTTAGTACCTAATACTCCACCTATGATAGTTCCTGCCGTTTTCGCTACTGGTGCCAAAAAGTTTGCAACGGGTTTAATAATCTTTTATAAACCCAACCCGCAGCTTTCTTAATTCCATTCCATAATTTTTTAAAGAATCCTGCCGCCATTTCTGATTTAATATTAATTAAAAATATATTTCATCACTTATATTCTAATTTTTATTTAATGATAAATGAAACCAATTTTAAAAATAAATAAAACAGAGGAGGAAGAAATAAATGAAAGTGAAAATGTTCAACAAAAAATAAACGTTGTTAAACCAATTACTGAAATAAAAATTTTTTCATCTGTTGAAGAATTTAATGACTATTATGCTAATAATAAAAAATTATTTGAAGAATTGACAACATGTAAATTGAATAAAATGTTTAAAATTGATGGATTCAAAATTTCAAAAATATAAAGGAGTGTTAGTTTGAAATCTATTCCTCAATCAAGAATCACCTCATTAATGAAAATAGATGATTTAACAAAAAGAATAGAAGAGATTGAAGAAAGAGTAAATCAGATAATTGATTTCATAAATCATGACTCGTTGAGCCCGGGTCCTTAAAACCCATCACTGAGTTCAAGTTATATTCATCAAATATTTCATTATTAAATGCAACTTCTGCTAGTTTATTTATTTTTTCAATACGATCATTTGAAAGTTCTATCGTTTAATTTTTTCTGAAGTTTTTCATTTTCTAGTTCTGAAACTTTATTTGGATGATATTTAAACCCGTTAAATTCTTTTTCCTCAGTTTGATCATTAATTTACAAAGAACTTTTGTGGTTGGAATTCGTTTAAACCATTTATCATTAATATTTGTTATAAATTCAATATTCGGAATTAATTCCCAAATTTTTGCATTTTCAATTAATTTATTATCAAATGCAAAAGCAATAGGTTTAATATTAAACTTACCTTTATAATATAAACTTTCTACATAATCATCGAAATAAACATCTACTTGTTTAACATTTTCAAGAATTGGTGAAAGAGCATCCATTAATTGATTGACGGTTACGAATCTTGATCCACTCATTTTCTTACGAATTAAAAAAATAAAAAAAAATAAATTTAACTTAGTTTTAATTTTACGTAAGAAGTCAATTTTTTAAATCTTGATTTATTCAAAAACGTAAGAATAAAAACCGTAAGAATCATACATTTTTTACTTCATATGTTAAAAAAAATGATACAAAATCGTTCAATATTGTATGAATTCTTACGTTTACAAAAAAAGTCACACAACCCTTCAACATATACTACTACTCACAGATAATAATATTATTTTAGATAAATCAAAAAACATATGGACCTTTTCATCAAACAAACAAATATCAGTTTACTAAATAAATTCTTCCAATAATAAAATGAAAAATAATTAATTATTTGCCGAAAAGTTCTTTTTGTAGTTCGTCATCATCAATCGATGTGTTTTGAGGCGGAGCTTGCTGCTGCGGCTTCTTATTTAGAGCACTTAATAAAGCATTATTTAATATTTCAGCGATTTCACCCTTTGTAATTGCTGGGGTCTGTTTAGGCTTCTCTTCTTCTTCCTCTTCTTCGTGTTCTTTCTTTTCATTCTCCTCATCTTTTCTGGCAGATTTGATTTCGTCGTCTTCGAAGTCGTCATCACTTTGTTCTTTCTTGTTAAATAGGCCGGTGAGTGTTGTATCTGGTGATTTTGGTGGCTCCTCAAAATCATCGTCATCTTTCATTGGCTCAACATCCGAATTATCGCTTTCGAAATCAGAAGAGTCATCATCTGGTTTAACATCTTTTTCTTCCTCTTCTTCATCGTCAGGTCTTGCAGAATTAGGTGGAACATAGTTTGCAGGTATTCCTCCAACGACATCCTTGAACGAAACCCTCTTTTGCAATGAAGAATCGCTGCTTTGTTCCTTAATTCCTTCAGGGCTTCCGAGTTTTCCAATATCAATGTTTAATTTCAAAGGTGTTTTCTCTTCCTTTTCTTCTTCGAAATCATCTTCAAGATCAGATTTGTCTTTTTCTTCTGTTTCAGAATCTTTATTTTCCTCTTCTTTGGGAGCTTGAAGTTTTCCAATATCAATGTTTAAAGATAAAGGTTTTTCTGGTGATCTTTCTTGAGCAGTTTCATCCTTTTCTTCTTCTTTGTTTGAATTATCAATATCTTCGACTTTTTCCTGAATTAATTCTTTGGATTTAAGCCTTGACGAATCTTCTTCCTTTGATGGCTCTGGTTGTGTTGGAGTTAGTTCTTCATGATGTTCTTCTGCTTCTTTTTCCTTTTGTTGCTCTTCTAATTGCTTATTAATTGCATTAACAATGGATAATGATGGAGTTTCCGGCTTTGGCTCTTCTACCTTTTCTTCTGGTTTAGGTTCCGGTGTTTCTTCTTTCTTTTCTTGTTGGTTTTCGAGTTGATTATTAATTGCATCGACAAGAGATAGTTTTTCTTTCTCTTCTTTAGGTTCTTCAGTCTTCTTTGGCTCCTCATCAGATTTGTCTTCATTTTCTTTCTCTTCTTGGTCTTTTTCAAGTTTTTTGGTGATAATATTCGAAAGAGAAAGGTTTTCTTCCTCATGTTTAGATTCCTTTTCTTCTTGCTTTGGTTCTGGCTTTTCCTCTTCTTTTTCTTGTTGATCTTCAAGTTGATTATTAATTGCATCAACAAGAGAAAGTTTTTCTTTCTTTTCTTCTTTAGGCTGCTCGTTTTGCTTTGGCTTCTCTTCGGAGTTTTCTTCGTTTTCTTTTTCTTCTTGTTTTTCATCAAGTTTCTTTGTAATTACGTTGGAAAGTGATAGATTTTGCTCTTCATCCTTTGTTTCCTTTTCATGGCCATTATCTTTAGGCTTTTCTTCATTCTTTGCTTCTTCTTCATGATGCTGTTTTTCTTCATTTTGGTGTTCTTCTTCTTTCTTAGGCTCTTCAAGCTGGCTTTTACTAGATTCAGCTTTGTCGGCAGTTTCCAAGGATGGATAGATCTTTTCTGACTCTGGTTGATATGCATAAATTGCAATTAGAGGATTTCCCTTGAATTCTTTATCATTAAGATCTGCTGCAACTCTCTTTGCCTCATCTTCATTACTATATTGAGCACAGGCTGTATGTAAGTCATCTGTATTCATTGTCAAACCTTTAAGTTGATAACCGTTTGATATAAGTTGTATCAATTCATTCCTGTCTATTGATGGATCAAATCCATTGAATAATACCATGCATTTTTCATCCATCTCAATATTTTCTATTTCAGGAATTTGAGGTGTGGAACTTAATGATGATTTAGGCCTTGTAGCCTTCTTTGGTGGTGGCTTCCATTTCTTCTTTTCTTCTTCTTTCTGTATAGCTGCTTGTTTCTTATTTTGTTCCCTTTGATGATTTACAATTTGACGTTCAATTTGCTCTTCGTATCTGTAATTTCGCATAATATTATCCAATTCAGCCTGTCTTTGTTGTTGGTGATTCTTTTTCTTTTGAAGCTCCCGCTTTAAATCAATAATTTCAGGTTGATTTTCAACATCTGTAATTCCAGCTTTGAAAGTCTCTTGCTTTTGTTTAAGACCAGTAAATTCTTGCATTCTTTTTTGAACTTCGCGTTTTAAGGCTTTGATATATTGACTTTGTTTATCAACAGCTTGAAAGAGTTTGGATGTCTTGAATTCTTCAACTTTACGTTGGAATTTAAGTAAATCTGCTTGTTTTTGTTTGTAAACTTCGGTCTCTTTATGTAATAAGGTTTGATAGTCTTCAACGCTTTGTCTGAATTCCTCTAGTGCAGTTTTATGCGCAAATTGTTGTAATTGCTGTATTTTGGTATTTTGATTTTCGCTTTCTTCGTTCATTGCAGATATATCTTTTTGAATTTGGTCTATTTCAAGTTGTAATTTCAATTCTTTTGATTCTGGAAAATGTTGAACATATAATTTATCCGAACGAGTTTTTTCTTCCATTGATGAAAGTTTTGAATTTACTTGTTTTTGTAACGAAGCAACTTCCTTTCTTAATTTCTTTACTTCGGCTTGTTCTGATTCAACCTCTTTCATTATATATTCTTTTTCGTAAAATACCTTTTTTTCAGCTTCATATGGACTAGATGCTGTTGATTTAAGGCTTGAGTTGCGCTTTTTTACAACTACTGCTCTTCTAGCACTACTTGGTGATGATGTCCGGCTGGAAGGTTGCGAGAATGTAGGATCTGACCTATCTCTCCCCGAAAACATCAATAATGTACGTTAAAAAAATTCTAAACGCAATTCCAAGCCATATCATATGAGAAATTGGACATTGTAGATAACTTTTTCTTATAAGCACATCCAGTGATACTTCGTGCATCTGTATTGAAACAATAGAATGACTGTAACGCTAACCAAATTAAATATGAAGGAATTGCAGATTGTTTAGGTAGTATCTTCATATGAATGTCATACTCAGGTGTGAGTTCCTCTTAGATTGCGTTTCAAATCATAAAATTAAGACAAATATAATATATATCCAAACTAAAAAGCAAAATTAATAGATAGTAATTTAAAAACTTGTAAACAGTAAATTTATTTAAAACATACCAGCTTTTCGCTTATTAACACGCTCATATCTAGCTAAAGTACTCTCTAAATCTTTGTTTTCAGATACTAATTCCTTAATGTCCTGCTCAATTATAGCAATATCATTTTGCACTTGTTGTAATTGCTGCTCAAGGACATGTGATTGTGTAATTTCGGTCATAGTAGATTCAATAGCTGATTGATCACGAGTTTTGATTGAGTAAATAGTAGTTTTCATTTTTTCATTATCGTGAATAGCAATTGAAAGCTGTTTTTCATGCTGCTTATCAATTTGCTTTAATACTCTTTGGAGAGCAGAGTATTTCTTATCTGATGTTTCAATAGCCGAGTTATATTTAGCTTTTTCACTTTCATATTGTTGTGTTAAAGCTTCAATATGCATATCATAGCTTGCACTTCTGACTTTGATTTCATTTTCGTAGTGAGCGATTTCATTTTGATGCTCTTTGACTCGAATATTGTATGCTGAAACTGTTTCGTTTATTTTGGCTCTGATTTCTTTGAGTTCTTCACGAGCTAAAGAAGTTAATTCGCCAAGTTGGTCTTCCAGGTATTGTATTTTCTGTTCGTTTGTCATTGTCGCCGCTTTAGACTCTTCGAGAAGTTCGAATTTAGTTTTAGTCTTGGAAAATTCTCCTTCTGCAAGTTTTCCTTTAAGAGAATCAAGTTCTCTCTGTAAGTTTTGTAATTCTGTTCGCTTTTCAATAACAATTTGATTTGCATGTTGCTCAGCCCATGATTCTGCTTCTTTTAATTGTTTATCGTAACATTTTTCAAGAGCAGAAACTTCTTCCTCATTATCTGCTTGTATTTTTTGAACTTCTTGCTCTTGTTTTGCCTTTAAATTTTCAATTTCGTCCAGCATATCAGGAGGAAGTTCATCATCAGCTAAATTATTATCAGGAAGTTTTGGAGCATTTATGATTGTTTGTAATTTGTTCTTGACATCGACAAGTTTCTTTTCTGCCTTATCTAATTCATCATTAAGTGAATCAATTTCTGCATTTTTTTGATCAAGCAACTCCTTTGCTTGCTCGTGAAGCTGTTGAAGGGCAGTTTGATCTTGTCCGCCTCTCATACGAGAGCTTCGACAACTTAAATCCATTCTTTGTAAATTTTAAACGTAAATTCCTCATCACATGTATAAGATTTGCAATCTTATCATATTAGAACATATAAAGCCAGGAAAATCATTTAATACTGATTTCATTTCAAAATATTAAGAAGAAGTTGATTCAATTTATCACATTCTTCAGAATTTTTATCCAGATCTTATGTATTGGTGTGAAATCCTAAAATCTTTAAAATCGTTCATAATTCATATATGATTTCTTCGAAATTCCAGATAATTTTTGAAATTTTTAAATATAACTTTGATTTCATTCAATCAAATATTAATATATTTTCTCTTTATTCTAATGTCTATAGATTTAAATAAATTTAAAAAGCCTTAACTTCACCATTGTACCAAACAGCAACTGGCTCAACTTTATAAGTATCCATCTTAATGTTGAAATGCTTAAGTAATTGAGCTTGGTTCTTTGTAAGTGGTTCACCAGCTGTGCAAACTTTATGATCACGAACATTGAAAATTGTACCATTTTCAAGCTGAACAGGAAGGCCTAATTCACGGAGGTAACCATCCATAGAGAATGTGAACTGTGGAAGTGGTCCCTCTGGAACTGTGAAATCTTCTGTAGCAATAAATCCGGCCTTTGCAAATTCTGGCTGTGTCATTGATTGGAGGTATTCACGTACTGTATTGTCGTCTTCATTTGTCATGAAAAGGCCGGTATTACCTGCAAGATATTGAAGAAGGCCAGATAAACCTGGACGAGCTTCTGTTTCTGGTGTAGCACCAATAGAATGTGATATAATTGTCTTCTTGTCACGGCAGAGATTTGAAGAGCGGAAATTACGACGAAGGGCTGTCTGTGGTTCTGTTGATTCTGAAGAGAAGCGGAGAACGTAAATTCTATCGAATTTAGTAACTGCCTCGCGGATTGCCTCACCACGTTGGACTTTCTCCTCCTTTGTCTTCTTCTGATTTACGCGTCCAGTCTCACGTCTGCTCATTCTTTTTGATTTTGTTCTGGTTCAGAAAAAAAAATTATGTCTTGTAAAAATAATTAGGGGTCTAACACCGCCGATAAATAAAGTATTCAAATAAAATTTTATAAATATAATTGAAGAATCAAAGATGGTTCGAAACACAAGCATTAGAATGTCTTAATTTCATGATAAAATCGATTTTTTTGGCTATGATTAATCGATTTCAAAAATAAAATCGATTAGTTTATTTGTCGTACTATACAGCGTGATCACAAACTTTGTATGCAGTATATTGTAAATGATTATGTTCGCTGATACATCTCAAATTTAATTTGTATTTAACTTGTGTTATATTATTATAATTGCGTATATGGATAATCTTTTATTGGCATACCAAGCATATGTCCTCATTAAACAAAGTTTGACATTTAATTTATAAGAAGTTTCAAAATTAAGAATAATAAACGCAATATTTCAAGCAGGCAAAGGTGGTAAAGCATAAGACAGTTTTTAATAGCGCACATTTTTGTAAACAATGTCTATGGAATCAAAAAGATTTCAAATAGAAAGTTATTGACTCGTTTTTATTTCCTAACAATTAAAACAAACTACTACACTTGCAAGTACATTTATGTTCTAAATCTAAGCAAGTATAAGTTAGCTAAACCCCACTTTACTACCAGATGAAAATTCGAAAATAAAAATAGGGTTATAAACTATTCAAATTCATTCTTTACATTGAATATCAAATTTTAATTAAATACTGATATTTGTAGGATTCTCAATTGATCAAACTTTTTGAGCAGAAAATTAATTTTCCCATAAAATGTCACAGCGAAATCAGATTGAAGTTCAAACATATACAAAAATTGGCACTGGTCGTCCTTCGCCAACTGGTGAATACCAACCAACAATCACATATAAAGGCCGTTTAAAAAACTCGATTAACTATATCGCAATTAAAAGTATCGATATTAAAAGGCAAGACGACGCCTACAATTTATACAACTTCCTGAAAGATCAAAATCATCCACATATTCTTAAAATTTATCACTGGTATAAAACTGCGAATCATTTTTGGTATTATATTGAATATTGTCCAGGTGGAACGCTTCTAGATCTTCTTGAGCAAGATGTACGTCTTCCTGAATCAATTATTAAGATTTTTGCCGTTGACATTTTAGATGCTTTATTCTATTTACACACAAATGGAGTTATTTTGAAAGATATGCAACCAAGAAATATACTTATTAACGAGTGTGGAAGCCTAAAAATAGCAGATTTTACTCGCGCCGAATCAATTGATAAACCACAATCTTTAAATGTCATTGTAGATGAAGATATGATCGAATACTTAGCACCAGAATTATTACTTGAGAACGGAATCGGCTCATTTGCTTCCGATTTATACTCATTTGGAGCATTATTATATCGAATGGCTGCAGGACAAGTTCCTTTCAAGTCGTCACTTGCTCGTGACCCAGAATCTGCACTTTTCCATGAAGCGCCACCACTTTTACCCGGATATTCTAACGATTTCAATGATTTAGTACAAGCATTACTACGTAAGAACCCAGCAACACGTCCACAATGGGCCGAAGTCATTAAACATCCATTCTGGGAGGATCTACTTACTAATCGTTCGAAATCAAGCTCTCCAACCGAATTTGATGTTTCTAGATTGCCAAAGAACCCAACAAGAGAGCAAAACAGACTTGCTGGCAATCTTACAAGACGCGCTTCAGCAGTTGCCATACCAGCAAAGGGTGTAGAATCAGCCAGAATTTCAACACAATCATCTCCAAAAACAATTGAGTCGATGATTATGACTTCAGAGCTATTTGAACCTCAGCAACTATTCCTTAACACTACAATAGACACTGTTAACATTCCTTCGTTCAAACCCGAAGAATTAGATTTAAAATTCGATATCAACTCTTCCATCAAGACAGAAGTGATCAATGTCTTCGAACAATGTCTTAATAACATCAGAGATGAAACACCAACATCGAAAAAAGACCGCCGCAAATACGGATACATCGCATATCTTATTCAAAAAATTCAAAACGATTTTGTTGCTGACACAATTGCAGAAACACCTTTATTTAGTGAGATCCTTAAGATGGCATTAGAACTCAAGTCAGCCTCCGCATCAGGGCTATTGATTTTATATGGCGGAATTGCACACAACGCACATAATATTTCACCATCAAATTTATCAGAAGAAGCTCTCAAACCATTGAAAATTCTTGCTGAAAAAGAAGAGAAAGTTTCGAGAAAAGCCATTTCCGCTTTTGGCGAAATTGCTTTTTACATGGCCAGTGCAAAGACTCCTTTAGTTTTCCCATCATTCTTCGAACAGATCATCATGACGAATCTTCAAAACAACAAAGACGAAATCATGCAACATTACGTGTATCACATTGTTTCTGGTATCGTTCCTTTACCAAAATGTTCGTCACTTTTTGATATAAAGAAAGTTGAAGAGTTAATGATGAAATGCAATAATTTTCCACCGGAAAGACCTGCGATGCTTGAGAGATACGCGATTGCTTTATGCGAAATCTACCAACAGATAGAGACATCAAACAAAGAACACGTTGAAGACATAATAATAAGATTGATGTCGATGGGCGGAAATTCATCAAATACTTGTAGACAATTGTCATTGATGTTGGCTAGTTCTGCGAAAATGTTGTATGTTTTGAAGGATGAACTCGGAAAGTGTTTGGCTGATACGTTCGAGAATATAAAGATGAAAGCTTTGTTGAGTGTTTGTCTTTGTTTTGGTGATGATTTGAAGAATTTTCTCGGACTTTCAAGTCGATTTTTGTTTGTTTTGGACAAATTCGCACAAGATAATTGGAATGAAGTTGACGCGGTTAGTAACTGGTTTGCGCAGATTGCGTGGAAGATCATTAAAGGTAATGATTACAGCTTGTTCCAGATAATTACTCCTGCTTTGATTGTTAAAGTTTGCAGAGAAAAAATGTGGACAAATTCATTCCAAAAAACATTCGGAGAAAAATTGTTGCAAATGGATTTCACGAATCCAGATGCCGTCTACGCTTTGCAAGTGTTGGAAGCTGCTGTTCATGAAGGTGTTTGTTCATTCGAACTCGTTACTTATATATCAAAAGCTTTCGAATCTCCTGAAAAAGATACACGATTTTTGTCATTGAAAATCGTTGCGGATTTGAACTCAAATGCTTCGAAGAACAACACAGAATTGGCATCATTCGTGCTTGAGAAAGTATTACCATTGGCACCAACAATACTAAATAACTCAAAACAGTCAGAAGATGATTTAATTTCGGAACAAGTTTTGAAAATTTTGTCATTCACAGCAAATAACGACAAAAACTGCGTTCCTGTCATTGCCAAGAAAGAAATCTATCCGAGAGTGTTCGAGAAGATGTGCCAGAGTCCTTCTGCATTGTTGTTGACTTACCATATCATTCAATTCTCAGGAGACATAATTGATAATTTTGTTGAAAGTGGACTTTTGGAAGCGATTTCTGATGCCGTGAAGAAAGAGAATATTCCGGATTCATTCGATGTATTGTATGCTATACTTAACCCTTTAACAAAACAACTCACGAGCTCCCCAAATAGCCAACAAGTTCTCTCAGTAATCTCAAAAATTTCTAAATTGGCCGAACTCACAAAAATTTGTGCTGAACGGTTATTTTTGGGAACTACAAAAATTTTGAATTGTTTACAAGTGGAAATTTACATTTTCTCTTACCTTCCGAACGCTATAAGGTGTCCATTTGAAGATGCTTTCCCTGCTCTTGCATGCCGAATCAAGGAAGCAAAGTTTTCGCAAGAACACGCTAATGTAGCAAAAAGATTTATAGAAATGCTGTTTTACGTGTCAACAAAGAGTACTCAGACTGAACTGGTGAAACAAGCAATGAGAAACTGTAGTGATTTCATGAACGCACTCTTTGAAGCTTCTGAATCTCCAATCATAGAATTATCTAATCCTTCGAAGTCATTATTGCAAATCATTAATGCATGATAATGTATATTTTTGTGTTTTAAGAAATAAATAATATCAGTTTAATTTAGAATTAAGTGAAATTACAAATTCATATTTTAAATCGCTGATTACATCAAAAATCAGTCGTTACTGAATCATAATGGAAAATTTAGGAATGCCTTTGGTTTTAGAAATTCCCTTCTTCTTAATTTGTTAATTAAATACCAAAATTTAATAACCAAAACAGTAAATAAGTAGACATTTTTAAATTCAAAGACATTTCTTTTATAATATTAGACATTTCTATAAGATGGCAGACATTTCTATAAGATGGCAGACATTTATTTAAAAGGTGGAAATGATTTATTGATAAATCAGAAAATATTATATAAAATCAATTTCTGATAATAATTAAATAGTTTTTTATATCTTTAATATTTCTGAAGAATTAAAAATTTTCTTCCACTTTGTATGCAATTTAAAAATTCTGAAAATACTCAATCATTATTATGACTGCAACACGTGAACGCGTCGCAGATGCTCTCAGGTTCATGATTAGTAGAAGAAAGTTCTCTGACGATTTCGATCCCAAAGAAGAGACTGATCTTATACTCAACAATCCACAAGCTGTTGTTGAGCTTATTAATGATGACGAAATACGTCCTCGTAAAAGGGCACAATGGATTCGTTTCATCAAGCCTATAATAACAAATTATGTTAGAATGAATCCAAAAGATGAAGATGCAAACATCAATCTCATGATTGAAATGTTTGAATGTTTGATCAAAAACTCAACTTCAGTCAACATACAAATATCCAATGCTGCAAGTCAAGAGTTCAATGCAATTACTGAACTATCAATTTTTCCACTAAAATTCATTTCCAAACTCCGCAAACACTTGATTCAATTAGTTTCCAATGAAACAAGTCAATCCCATATTACTATATACATATCATTGCTTCAGAACTTGAAACCATCAATGCAATTCCTCTTTAACATGCTACCATCAATGTATTTCTGCAGAGGAACTATCCTTAAAGCTATGACGAAAGCAAAATTCGATATTGCTACAGATGATATTGAAATATTTGTGAATACCATTGTAAGCGAGTATTTCAATGATTACATTGAGGAATGTAGCAAGATTCTTGGAAAAATAAAAAATGAGTCTCCTGATCTTTGTGCAAGTATTAGTAACATCTTTCATCAATTATTATTGAAATCAACAAAAGCATTATACATCATTGATGCTTTTCCAATTCCATCAGAAGTTGATGCCTTAGAATTGACAAAATATGTTATCAAGGTTCAAATCGAAAACTATGAAAATAACAATAAGCAAAATCAAGGATATGATTGTGAGAAATATCATAAGCTCACAAAAGATCTTTTAATGTATCATAATTCAATATTCGATGATACAAATAAAATCGACTATCAAGCAATAGAAGACTGGCTTATGAAAAGGTTGGACAAGTCATACATTAATCAGCAAAATTCTGAAGATAGATTATATCCAAGAGTTTGCTTTCCTGCAATGATGTTAATGAAATTACACCAATATTTATCACCAAATACAATGGATGTTGTATTGAATTTATTTAATGACAAAGATAATCCATACAAGTATTGTGTTTATCTTTTACTTCTGAGGAAGTACTATCTTAGAAAAGATAATGCAGAAGAGTTTCTTCCAATCATTCAAGAAATATATAATCATGATTCTCCATTAATAAGAAGTGAATGTGATTGTATAATCGAAGAAATAGCAAAATGCGGATCCAACGAAATAGTTTTGAACATTTTTAATTCCTTTGTTGAATTACTCAATGGAAATCCTGATGAAGAGACAATGAGGCGCATATTTGAAAGTATGCGTGTTCTTATTTTAAGGATTGATTTAGAATCTGCCAAAATTCGTGATATCATCTCATTCATTCAAAATCAGCTTGAGACTCATCCAAATTTGAAGGATTCACTCGGTCATTTGTTCCAGTCTTTATTGAAACAAAATTCCATTGATGTTGATTTACTCAAGGATAGTTTCGAGTTATTTGATTTTAAGAATGAAGACGCAATTAATTGCTTCAATTGTTTGATCGAAAAGCTCAGGAATTTTGTAACCAAGCCAAAGGATCAAATCATGAAATTATACAATATATTATTCGACAATATCAATGAGCTCACAGAAGGATATATTTCACAATCATTATGGAAAGAGATTTCCGCTAGCTTCCAATATATGTTTTTGGATTCGCATGATGATCAAATTGTACCAAAAGATCTTGTAAAGAAAATTGCCTGGATGCTTACTTGCATTTATGTAAATACAAATATTCAGGATGAAATAAGAGCAGAAGCTTTCTTTACATTTTCCAAGTTTTTCAATATGGTTATTTACAAAAATTATGATTCATACAGTGACGTGATATATGATTTGCTAAGTCAAGTTAGAGGTGCAGACTTTCCTGAAAAATGTGAATATAAAATGGATAATTTTGATGCACATTGGACTGTATACCACTTGGCTCAAAAATCAGATTCATATAAAGAACTTCTAAGAAAGATCTGTAGAAAGTTGCCAGAAGATGATTCTGAAGCAAGGCGCTTCAAAACTTATGTGATCAATAAATTTGGGTTTATATAAACAAACACTATGATTTAAGTATTCAATTGCTCATACTTAAAAAACATCCATACACGAAGCAATCTAAATTTTATCGCTCGAATAAAATTAATTTTTATTAATTTTTACATATTTATTATTTACAATACAATCACATATCAGTAATATATGCGAATTTAAGGGCTTTCATCACTAAATAGAATTTGCATTCTTAAAAATATCATCTAGTTATTGCCTATAAAAAGTTCGTTATGGTTTAATGCAATATTGTAGAATAGTTTGCTGAACATAATGTTAAAGAGTCAATTACATGCTACATTTCACAGAAAACAACAACGATTTTAATTCTATTTAAATCATGTAATTTCATCACAAATAACATCCACTTTCATTGATATAACATTAACCCAAATTACTGACAACAAGCGTTTCATGTCTTAAGCAAACAGAAAATACCAAATATGATTGGCAACGGAATTGATTTTGAATAGGATTGACCACTCCTTATTTTGCGCTAATCGATTTTATCATTTGGAATTGCATTTAATTTATAGCATCATGATGCTTTGCTCTAATACGGAATCAAAGAAATGCTTTGTGTTCAGTTGGCGTTAGGTATTCAAGCCTGTTAAGCCTATCAGTGAAACCAAGGTTAACAATGTTATATTATTGAACGAAACATTTGCTTGACAGCCAAATCCCCAAATGTTTCCTGTATCTCTCATCTATTCGAGGAAAGCTTTCTGTTCGTGCTATTGAGTACGCATTAGAAGAAATGAACTATCTATTTCAAATCCTGTCAAATTGCCAATATTTTGAATGGCAGTTAAATTTTGAATTATTCACTTGAAATTTTAATTATAGCAAAACAAATATTAATAACAATTTGTGCCAATACTTTTCAGGTTTGCAATATGAAAATCAAATATAAAAATAATGATGAATCACATCGATTAATAAATATTGTTAATACAAAATATTGGGATGATGTTTTTAAAATTCAAGCAACTGTTTTGGACTTATAATACGTAGTCCATTAATTTTTGCATCTAAATAACCCTTGGTTTGATTATATCTAATATCAAAAAATGCACACTTTAGCCAAATCACAATTAATGAAAATAGTCGTGATTCTTATTTGCTGAAGTCTTCCTACGAAGAAAGTTACCATAGTGTGAGGTTCTTTGATAGAATATGATAAGTTAAATATGAGTTTCTCCACTGTTTCTTTCCAAATTTGAATCGTCCCAATTAAGGATATTAATTCGTCAAATCGTAATAACCTCTTCTATGTGCCGATACATACCGATGATTATATCGAATATGGATAATTTTCAAAATTTTTGGATTTTTTTTTGTAACTAACTCAATTAGCTTTATTTTAACTAAAAATAGTCATGCTTAGAGCTAGTTATTTTATAATTGATAAACAAATTTCCAAAATTATATATGAAGTATTTGCACTATATCTATATCGTACTTTTTTTATTGTTGACATGGTTCGAAGTTTCGTTTATTGCTGAATTTCGTTATATGCTTCAACTTCATGATCCGAATTATATAAAATCCTTACGAGAAGAGATCAAATTCGAATTCAAAAATGCATTTAACGAGTATATGGAAAATGCACTAGGCTATGATCACTATTCTCCAATAACTAGACATGGATATAGTCAATTTGGCCTCAAATTTTCACTTTTTGATTCCTTAGACACCTTATTACTGATGAATTTAACAGAAGAGTTCGAAAACGCATCAAAATATGTATTACAGACTACTAATTTCACAAAAAATTCTACAATTTCAGTATTTGAATCTACAATTAGAGATATTGGAGGTTTAATCTCAGCTTATGAGCAAACTGGCCAAAGAAAATTCTTAGACTTAGCCGAGAAGCTAGCGTTAGTACTAGAACCCGCATTCAAAACTCCAACAGGATTTCCATATGCATATATAAATCCCGGGACTAATTATACAGAAGATCATATCTGGAATATACAAAAATCATTACTTTCAGACATAGGCAGCCTTCAAATAGAGTTCTATTCTTTGACATATCATACAGGAAACATGAAATACTGGAATCTTGTTAATTACATTGAAACAATAGCCAATAAATACATATTACCAAGTATTTACTTTAGCTATCAATCCACTTACTCCGAAGTACCTACATCTCTTTCCTTTGACGCATTTGGAGATTCATATTACGAATATCTTCTAAAAATGGCATTATTAGCTCCTCAAAACAGTACCCTTTATTCAGATTATTTTATTACAGCCATAAAACAAGCTTCAAAGCAACTTTTGGTCACATCTCGCCATAAACATTTAGAATTTTTCAAAACAACAGTTTATGGACAGTCCAAACACCAGATATCCCATCTATCATACTTCCTTCCTGGAATATTATACCTTGCGAGCCGAGAATACCCAAACTTTAAATTATCCGAAGAATTAGCTGACAGATTAATGGAAACATCAGTCAAACTCCACAAAATGACCAAAACAGGACTCAGTGGTGATGTTTTAGTGTTTGGAGAGAACGGAATGACTTGGGAAGATTCGACATACAAACTCAGACCAGAATACATCGAATCATTGTTTTACCAATGGAGAGTTAAACATAAAACAATGTCAAGGAGATTGGCAGAAGACTTTTTCAACAGTTTGAAGAAATATTCGAAAATAGGAAATGCTTATTCTTCTGTTTCAAATGTTGACTCTTCATTCCCTGGTTACGAAGATCAAATGGACTCATTTTTCCTTGCCGAAACAATGAAGTACCTTTATTTGATTTTCTGTGATGATGATGTCATTTCTCTCGATGACTACGTCTTCACAACTCAGGGACATTATATAAAGAAAAAAGATCATAGAAGATAATTATTATAATAAACTTGTTGTTTTATCTGTTTACTTTTCTTCATTTATATATACATACATATTCTTGAAATATAAAACTTTGTGTTTTATTTATTTTCTTCATTAATAAGAAGAGCCATCGTTAAAGTACTTTCTGAGACTACATTTACCAGAAAGTATGCATTTGGTCTTTTAAAGTTTTTAACATTGGGGGTTTTTGTGTCAGAAAGTACTCAATTTGTTAACTCAAAAGATTATTTTAAGGGCGCACTTCCCACTTTCTGACATGCTATGAAAAAATCAACATATCTTTATTATAATAGCAGAAAAGTATAGCAGCCAAATTAGGTACTATATAATGATTTACTTGTGTGTCAAAAAATTTGAGAGAATATCAGAAAGTGGATTCTGACAACCAGTAGCTCCCTTTAGTAAAAATGCATAACAGATTGCAAATATATTTTATGACACCCTTGCGCAGATTGAATTATAATATAAATAATCTTTTGTTGGAGCACGCACAACACGCACACAAACAAACAAAAAAAATCTTTTATCAATATGAAATTTTATTTAGGAAATTGTTATATTAATATAATGAATTCAATAACAATTATTTGCAATAGAAAATAAAATAAGAGATAATAAAAATCTTTTATTTTGCACTAGATTGAACTAAAATATTTATGATTTTTCTGTAGTTTTCATTTTCATTTTGTTTTTCTTTTGCACAATCAAGTGGAGTTTTTCCTTTATTATTTTTCTCACTAAGCTGAGCATGTATTGAAACGAAAAATTCAACAACTTCAAAATGACCATTAGATGATGCATAATGAAGGGAAGAATCATTTGTGGATGTTTTATCATTTTTATTACATCCTTTTTGAATCAGATATTTAACTATTTCAAGATGTCCATTTGCTGATGCTGCAATTAATGGAGATGCTCCAAATTTAATTTTTTCATTTGGATTTGCTCCAACCGAAACAAGATACTTAACAACATTAATATGACCATTTGATGCTGCCATATAAATGCAATTTGCATTAATTTTTTGTTTGGAGTTGGCATCACAACCAATACTTACTAGATATTTAACAACTTCAAGATGACCATATTGTGAAGCAATAAGAATTGCATTAAATTCTTGATTATCTTTTTCATTTGGATTTGCTCCAACCGAAATAAGATACTTAACTACTTCAAGATGACCATTTTTTGAAGCCATGAAAATGCAATTTGCATTATCTTTTTGTTTGGAATTTACATCACAACCAATACTTACTAGATATTTAACAACTTCAAGATGACCATTTTGTGAAGCGATAAGAATTGCATCAAATCCATCTATTTTATTTCGCCAATTTTTGCCAATGCCCATTCCAATTAAATATTTTACAATTTCGAGATGACCATTGAATGATGCTGCAACCAAACAATTATTTCCATATTTATGAACTGCATCTCTGTCACAACCTCCTTCAATAAGAGATTTTGTTAATTGAAAATCTCCTGTTGTGCATGCATAAAGAAGTGGAGTATTATCAAAACTATCTTTCTTTTCACTTAATCCAGCTGCACATGAAATAATCATTTTCAACTTATCTCCATTATTTGAAATTTGTTTAAGGAAAATGTAAACTGTGTTAAAATCAGATTTCAAATTTAAATTTGTAACTTCATCAATTGTTTGGCGTATTTGATTGTTTTGTGATGTAATAATGTAATCATGATCATTATGCATCATTGCAAGCTGTGACCGAAGATTTTGTATCTCATTTTTTCATTGAACGATTTTTTCTGGACTTTCTGTTCCTTCATTATTGTACTTCTTTAAATAATTTATTAAAGAATGAGTTGGTCTGAGTTGTAATAGTTTTTCATAACTTTCTAAAACAATAATTGCTTCTTCGAATGAATTAACATCAACATTGCACTTGCTAGCAAAGATACGCAATTCTTCTGTGGTATATTTTGATTTTGCAAGAGTAAGAAGAACATTGAAGGATTTTGGATTAAGCTTCGCTTCTTTTAAAACTTCTGAAATGATTTCTTCTTCAAATAGATCAAAAAATGTACCTTGCTCGATATAAGTATGAATGTTCTTTGTGATGTAGCCTATGTCAACACTAATACTACCACTCATTTTATTTATTTGAAGCCCTCTAAATTTTTCCAAAGTTTCAAAGAAAAAAAATTCCAGAAATTTCAAAAAGTTTGGAAAAAATTCAAAAAGTTGAAAATCGTGTTCCACAAATATTAGACATTTATTTTTTAAATTTTCCAAACTTTTCAAAAAGTGGCAAGGGCTTTTGATGGGATTTTTTTTCTGAGGTTTCTTTTTCATATACGTTTCATTTATGAAAACTCAAAAATGGTTATTTATGATATCTTAAGAGAAATAGTTATGAAAAATATGCATAATATTAAGGAATTATGCAAATAAATGTGATTTATTGATGTTAATCTAAATTTCAAATTGGATTATTTGAAGTCTATCTCATCAACAGGTATATATATAGAGTGCATTTGTGCAAAGGACATTTCCGGTGTTTTGCTAGATTCCATGTTGTTTGACATGGAAAGGTCCTCAAAAGATGATGTCATCTCTGGAATACATATGAATCTGATAGTATCTTTGACAAAAGCATTTTGATGCAGCACCTGGCTTCAATAATGGTCTATGGCATAAGAAAGATGCGTTTAATGATCTATTGATCGCCATATTCTTCTTCAAAGAATTTGATGATTGTCTGGGTGACAATTCGAACGAGATCCCGGCTAAAAATGAATTTCTTAGCCCTGATGTAATGTAAATGAATCTAGTAAATCGTTATTATCATAATTATGTTTGAATTTATTGATATCATTTCATTGTAGTCAAAAAAAAAAAATGGAGAAATTTGAAACTAAGTTTAATCAAGCCAAAGAAGAATTTGAAAAGGGTAATTACGAAGAGTGTTCAAATTTATTTGGCAAACTAATTCCAGAATCCAAAAAAGTTAAACGAAATGTTGATGTTTTGCTATTTTTGGCCTTATCAAATTACAAATTAGAAAACTATCAAAAATCCACTGTTTTCTGTACACAAGTTTTAGCAATTCAACCAAATAATGTTGATGCGCAACTAATTTTAATTTTATCAGCGCATTATTCTAAAAATTCTGAAATAAATTCATATGTCCGCAATTATATTAGCAAAAATAAAATGAATCCTACTAATTTCGAACCAATTCTCAAAGTTTATTCAAATTTATTTGATTCCACAACACAAGAACTAATAGCTAACACGTTAGAGAAGATGTCTTTAGACTTTCAAGCAAAGTACATTCCAATTTTACCTAAAACTGAAGCAAATAACAAATGTATTAACAATTTTTACTTATCTAATAAACAAGTCGAGATTCCACCAGAAATAATACAAAATATGTATAATGCTAAAATGTTTGATCAGTGTTTAAAGTGCATTGAGAAGCTTCCTGCAAATGATTTGTTTAGATTACAAATTGAAGCCCAATTCGGGCCAAATCCAATTGAATCTGCAACTAAACATACAGAAAAAGGTGGTACACTATTCAAAAATTGGTTAGAAACCGTAAATTCCAAAAATTTAATTTCAATCATGAGAGAAATTCCAAAAATTCCAAACTTTTTTGCCGGATATCGCCACTTCACATCACTTGACATTCCAAACGAAGTCAAATTGTTATGGGCGCAAGCAATTGCAAATAATTTTCCGAAATTCGAAGTTGCATTAGAATATTCTATTGATTTAATGGAACAGATTGGAAAACATAATGATGCTCTTGAAGTTATCAAAAAATTGGATGAAATTTCCCCAGGAAAAGCGAAGATTAAGAAATTTAATGTTTATATGGCATCAGGACAAACAGATAAAGCCGTAGAACTTAAAGATTCAATGAATGATATCAGTGGTGAGGACAAATATAAGCTAGATCTTGAGATTTGGAAGAAAACAAGAGATGATCAAATTTTATACAAAATTCTTGACCTCGAAGACACGAAAGAACTGGCTGTTATCAAGTCAAAAGCCGTCAACATGCTTGGTCCGAAGCTCGAAAAAGACGTAGCAATTCAAAAATTTACAAATTTGCTAAAACTCGACCAAGAAAACGGAATTCTCTTTTATCTTTTCGGTAAATACATGATAAATGTTGTAAAGGACACCCAAAAAGGTGAATTTCTCCTTAAAAAGTCAATTGATTTAGGATATAATTCGGAAGATGGCTACGATGTCTATACAAAGGATCTCATAGCAAGTGGAGAACTCGATAAAGCACTTGAGTACTGCAAACGAGCCAAAGCAAAGTGGTCTTCGTTCAGAAGAGGATTAATTTTCTTCAAACAACAAAAATTCAGTGAAGCCGAGTCCGAAATCCTTGACTACCTGAAAGATAAAGACGAAAACGCCGATGCCTGGGTAATTTTGGGGTTCATTTATTTATCACTCGGAAAAATGATGGCCTGCTCACAAGTGATTGAGAAATTGGATATATTAGGTTCTAGAAACCAAGAATTGGTCCAAAGATTCGAATTTTTCTATGAAAAATTAATTCTGACATTTCCTCTCAAAATCGAACAATTTGAAATTGAGAGGACACCCTATTTATTCAATATTTATTTGAAATTGATCATAGGAAAAATCAGAGAATACAGAGTATTCAACAGAATTGAATCAATTTCATTGTTTATTGAGAATACAAATCCATTCATTGAAATTTACTTGCAAAAATGGGGACACTTAGCAACAGTCATGAAAATTGTTAGTGACTATTACATTGAAGTGTTCAAAACCACAAAAGACGCATCAATTCTTGAGAATTGCCAAAAATTATTAATGAAAAGATGCGAAAACGACAGAAGAGGCGAATCATTCATCGATCTAGCACGAGTCATGTCTCTTAGAGGTGCCGATAACCACGCACTTGTTGTATTACGTAGAGCTGTGAAAGCATTTCCAGATAATCCGAATGTTTGGCTCAGTCTGGCCATTACCTTCATAAACAACAACAGATATGACTTTGCAATGCATTGCCTCACAGCGGCTTCCAAGATTTCTCAAGAAAAAGAGAAATCAGTTGCATTGTCAATGATTTCAGCTCTTTCTTACCTTCTTCTCGATGACCACACAACTGCTACAAAGGCTGTTGAAGAGAGCTTGGTTCTTGACGAAATGAACAAGTTCGGATGGGAAATGAAAGCAATAATGAACAAAGAAAATCCTTTGAATTTCTTAAAATTGGCTTTTGAATATGGTTCTGAAAAAGTGACAAATAATTTGGCCGATTACTCATTATTAAACAATGAACTAAATCAGTCACTTGGCTACGCATTCCTCTCTAATGACAAAGAAAAAATTTCGTTGGCATTAGAAAATCAAGGAAATTATGAAATGTCACTTTTGTTTACAACTAAAGAAAGTCAAAAACATCATTTAAGAGACTTAGAAAGTAATGATGAGAAAGATGCAAGCAAATACATACAAATGAATAACAAATATGGAAATTTGGGTGTTGCTTCTTGTTTGTTGAGCCAAGGAAGAAAAGAAGATGCAATTAAAGTATTGAACAAAACAATTGATTTATTTGACAGTATTGAAATCAAGGATATGCTAATTAACATGACAAATCAGTTGTCACAGTCTTCTCAAATGAAATTTAATCAAAAGAATCCTTTGAACATTTTGAGAATTGAATTACTGAAATCTAATGATAAATTGGATACTTACTACCACGCTTTCTTAGAAGATAAACAGAATATTGACTTTTTGAGATTGTTTATTACACAATGTTTGAATTCTGAAAGTATTCCTAAATACATGGAAGCAGATTTAGGTTTGGCAATTTCAAACATTGGAAAAGTTTCTGCATCAAGAGATTCCATTTATTTGCAAATTATTTATTTCATTAGATACGGAAAGAAGGCTAAAGCTCGCCATGCCATCCAAACTCTTTCTGTTTTATCTCCTACAAAAGCTAGATCACTTCTCAAATTGATTCCGAAATATCAATTATATTAAATTTATTAATAAAGATTTTTTTAATAAAAATATTATTTATATCAACTATAAAAGTGTTATGACAATCAATTACAAGACGAAAAACATATTTCAAATTGTTATTTCTCTTTAATAACAAGAATTTTTTTGTTCTGAAGAAAAAGACGAGATGAAGGAACGGCTCTTCATATTGCAGTAAAATAAAATAATTTATAAAAATTGTATTTGTAGAGTAAATTCGGGATGAATTTGATGAATTTCAAGCTTTTTACAAGGATTAAATTATCGCCATGTCAGAAAAGTGGTTTTAAATTCAATGAATATATACAATTTTATGAATGATGTTTTTCCATTATTATTTTATGAATTTGAGTCAATGATGTGGGATATATTTTACATTGACTCAATGCTAGATAATCTAATGCGAAGATCAATTATGTATTTTGGATTTACGGGTGTGTAGCACCAATAATCTATATTTAAAATAAGGACGATAATAAACGTACAAAAATGTCGAATCTGTATAATAGAAAGCTTGAACAATTTCAAGCAAAACTTCAACAAAATCTAGATTTGGCAGATGAAGAAATCGATCGTCTTACGCAATATTTGCAATCTGTTAAACTCGAAATTATTGATACATCCGACCAAATTCATCGCTATGAAACTCAATACATCCAAAATAAACAAGAAAAATCTGGTTTTCAGCTTAAAATGATTAGTAAAAAGAACGCAAGTTTAGCAAAAATGGAAGCAGAACATCAAAATTCAGTTGTTGAGCTAAGAAAGGACCATATTAAGAAAATGAATAGCTTACGCGAAGACTTTGATAAATCTATGACAGATATTAACTCACAAGGCGAAAATGTTAATGATAAAGAACTTCAACAATACGATCTTGAAATCAAACGACTCGAAGCAAAAATCAATAGAACATCTACTCGAATTAGTGGTATTTCTTCCGAAAATGTTGATGACGATGGAGATCAAACCTCAGATCAATTAAATGACGAAGAAGCTACATATCTAAAGCATTCACTCGATCTTCAGAAACAGAAAATTAAATATTTACAAGGAAATATCAAGCAGAGAGATAGCGAAAGGCTTGAGGCTCTTCAAGAGGCAAAAGATCAACTTAATCATGCGGTTTCAACACTTGAAAGCCTTGAAGCACAGTACCTTGCAAAGATGAACAATTATAAAGAATCTTTAGAGAACATGGACAAGCAATATCACAAAAGTATTTCAAATTTAGAAAAAGGACAACAAAAAACAATAATTCAGGTCAAAAAGAAGTTAGTCAAATATAACCAAAGGATTTCTGAATTGAGAAAGAATATTAAAAAGACAGAAGAATCTCAACAACGCAAAATTTCTGAAATGACTGAAAAACGTAACAATTTTATTGCCCAATACACACAAATTGCAAACAAGACAATAGAAATGCCAAATACAGAAGAAACACATGAAGTTGAAAGACAATTGGACAATCTCAAAGTACTTTTAACACAAAAAGAAACAGAATTAGATTCAGCAAGAGCAGAAAATCAAAACTTAAAGCGAGAAATAGGAAGAATTAACCATGAAAATAAAATGGCCAAACGAAGAGCAGCTTTAGGCCTTCAATAATTTCATTTTGTTTATGTTTTTTTGAAATTATAATAAAGGATTTAATATCTATATTATAAAGCTGATGTTTAAATACTTAACATCTCTATAATGGCAAATTTATTAATAATTCTTATATTTCCCCTTATATCCTGTTTTCTCCTAATTTAAAGTTTCATTTTGTTAGACATAATCATGAAAGTGTCAAGATATTTAACGTATAAGTGAGTTCTTAAATCGCAAAAATGCCTTATTCAGTTTATTGAATTAAATTTCTAAAAATGGCAAATAATGTTATTGAAATGGGGTATCATAGCTCAGTTCCAAACGATTTTTAATTGATTTTATATCTAATTTGAGCAAAAATTACAAATATTAAAAAAATACAAAAAAAAAAGTTTGGAAAAACTTTATTTAATCTATGCTTGTACTATATTTATAATTTATTGTGCTACAGGTTGGGCTGGTGGAACAATTTTATCAATCACTTCATTAAAGAATGAAAGAATGACATCACTTTTCTCACCTTTATCAGCAGCTGATGCAGCTTGTGGTAAGAACGGTATTTTAGCCAAAATATCCAAATGAAGCTCTTCACTCATGATTTCTGCAGCTTTATCACCAAGTAATGGTGAAACTTGGTTGCAACATGGGCAGACAACACCACAGAAGTTCTCAATGATGCCAATAATCTTTGCATTAACTTTCATGCAAAGATTAATTCCTTTACGTACATCTGCAACAGCCAAGACGTTTGGTGTTGTAACGATAACAACTGAATACGGGAATCCATTCTTGTTCAAAATTTCGAATGTTGAGAGATGTTCGTCACTTGTGCCTGGAGGAAGGTCAACAATGACTGTATTGCAGTTCCAATCGATCAATTGGAAGAATTGGTTGATCATTGCTGACTTCTTTGGTCCTCTCCAGATAACAGCATCGTGTGGATCGGAAAGCATAAGGCCAAGACTAACAATTTGTACGCCATCGACAACTTGTGGGACCATTTTACCGTTTCTGCTTTTGATTTCTTTGTCTTTGATACCAAAAAGGGTTGGAATGGATGGTCCGGTCAAATCTAAATCGAGAAGACCGACTTTTCCATATTTGGCAGCATATGCACGTGCTATATTAGCTGCTGTTGTGGACTTTCCAACTCCTCCCTTGCCAGACATGACAAGGATGAAATTTTGCGTGCTCATTCTGTAAAAAAAAATTTGGTGAGAAAAATTGGAAAAGTGACATTTATGGGTATTGACCTACTAAAGTACTCACAAAATCTAGATTGAGAGGCGGTCAATGACTTTTGAGGGGAAATTAACGCATGGAATTTAATATTATTTAGGTTGATATTCTTGCTTATTATTTCAGGAAAAAATCTTAAAAATTTCAATATGAAAATTGAAAGCAATTCAAAAAAATTGCTAACATGTAAATTTTAATATCCTATGCATAATTTCATATTTTGAACATTTTTTATTTTTGTTTAAAACTTAAAATTTTGCGAATTTAATATAATTTATAAAATATAATACGTATATATATTTAAAATACACTAAATTTAATTGTTAATTGACGTTTTTGGGAATGAATTTTATCAAAACATGCCTGAATCCGAAAATTTGAAAGAACGAATTACACAATCATATATGTAGAATTCAAAATACAAACTTAAAGATTGTATACGTTTAAAATTATTCAGATTGTGTTTGATTTCCACTCATTCTGTTTTTTTTGAACTCTAACACTAACATTTCATGATGATTACATGATCCATTTATACATGGTTGAATTGTTCCAGATTCTATCAGAAAATCAATCCAAATTTCTCAATGCATTCATGTTGATTGGACAAAATTTAAAATTTATCAGCCTGTTTCCAGAGAAACTCATATATTCCCTAATGAAATGTAATTTTTCCTACATTTATTTCAATCAAATTTCAAACAATTGACTGCAGAGCTTGAAAAGGTGATGAATCATGTTGTTATTAGATGTACATATTAGATTTACTATTTCCAAAAAAATGCTCAAATTTGAATAGTTTTTAGAAAATTTGGAATTACACTCCTTACATTATATATAATTAAATGTTTAAATTTTATTTATTTTTCCCTTTTAATTTTATAACTTGCTCTATCAAAACTAACCTCTCAATTGAAGGCCACAAAATCTAAGTAGTGAGGGTACACAAATTTTGTATGGAGTACGGTTCAATTTTTGAGAGCCTCACTACTTAGATTTTGTGACTACCTTATATTCCAAAAGCCAAATTTCTGTTGGTTCCATGTAGATGTGACATAGAATAGTAAATATCATCGCGATTTCAATCTTGGCGTCTCTGATTGATTGTAATTTTGAGATTTCATTAATCAAATCAACAAGAAAATGTTACCAATTGATAATTCGGTCGATACATTTGCTTATAACTCATACCAATCAAAGAAATATAATATATGGAAATGGTGTTACCCCCTTGATTTATAAATTTATAAAATTTGATGTCTACAGGTAAAGCTAAAGTCTGGGCAATTAGTGATCCTCATTTACCAAGTGCAAAAGATAAGAAAATGGAAAAGTATGATCCTGTCTGGACAGATCATCCAAAACACATTCTTGAAAATCTTCAAAAGGTTGTAGGACCAAATGACGTTGTTTTAATACCAGGAGACATCTCTTGGGCCGATAAAATAACAGAAATGGAGGAAGATCTTAAGTTATTAGCTGCTATTCCTTGCAAAGTTATCATATCAGAAGGAAATCACGATAGATGGGCTTCTAAAGCAAGTGCAATTAAAGAATTACCTTCTAACGTCACATGGACTGTTGGAAAAATGCAAAGAATCGGAAATTTAGCGATCGTATCTCAGAGATTATGGGATATTGAAGGGATTTTCCCATGGCCAGGACATATAGCTTCAAAAGGAGCAAGCGAGAAAACACCTGCAAGAGAAATTAATCGTTTAGAAACTCAATTAAAGTTACTTCCTCAAGATAAAGATATAATACGCATATTAATGGTTCACTTCCCACCGGTTGCTTACGACGGATCTCCAGGAATCCTTACAGATATGATAAACAAATACAATGTTGATTATTGCATTTACGGGCACGTTCATGGTCAAAAAGAAGATCCAAACCTTAAAGCCCATGACATCGTTATAGGCTGCACCCATTTCTACCTCACATCTTGTGATTGGCTAAAGATGATTCCAAAAGAAATTTGTGAATTCACTCCTTAAACTAAAAATTACAATTTATTTGTGTATTTTTAAATACTTCATAGTTTTTTCTTGAATTTAAGAAAAAAAAATTATAATATTCAAATATTCTTCAAATTTGTATTTAATATGTTTGAAAATAAGGATCTGGTTTGGAGAAATAACAGCTGGGATCTCCAAATTCCAAAATATAATGAGAAAAATTCCAAGTTAAATTTTAGAGTTGGAGAAGATTTTTCTCCATACGAGATCCTTATTAAAAATCTTGTAAAACTAGTGAAAACAATAAAATATTTGAGAACTCTTCATTAATCGGAAAATGAAAAAAAATAATAATTTGATATTACACAAAAAATACAAACAAAATTTAATATAACAAACAAAAATATTACATATTACTTTCTAGCAGTTCCCTTCTTAGTTTTTGTTGAAGATTTAGACTTGTTTGACTTCTTTGATGATCTAGATCTTGTTGTTGATTTCTTCTTTTCAGCTGAACTACGAGTTTCTTCAGTAACAAATACAGATGTATCTACATACCATTCAGGTGGTACATAATTCATTAATTGCTCTTCATTTTGCAAAAGTGCCAAAATTTCTTCAGTTTGTTTTTTATTTTCTTCAATTTCTTTCAAAAGGTTTTCTTTTTCTTCTTTAAATTTTTGTTGTTCTGCTGAAAGAGTTTCTCCTTCAATAGAAATCTGTGTTGTAACACTTTCAATGGTACTTTCAAGAATTTTTGTTTTTTCAACAGTTCCTTCATAAAGAACAACTGAATCATGTGAACTTTTCTCAAAATCAGATCTCATTTGTTCCATTTCTTTCTGATTTTGAATAATATTAGATTCTAAACCACTTATTTGTCTCTTGATATCATCAATTTCTTTATTGGCTTTTCTTACAAACTCGGACATTGAGAAATCCGTTTTCATGATTTCTCCTGTTGTATTTTCAAATTCTTTTTTGAGATCGTAAAGTCTGGCCCTTGCCTCCGGCATTTTTGTCCTCTGTATAGACAGTTGAATCATTTCACGTTTGAGTGGCTGCAAGTCTTGTTCGTATTGAATCTGCTTATTTCGTTTACAAATATCGAAAGCAGCCTGTATAACGAAGTGGTCAATTTGTGTGGAAGTAAGATTGATCTCTCTGAGAATTTCATTGACTTTGAAGATACTTATTAACTCATATCCTTCTTCCCTTGTCAAAAAGTTATCGGCCAAGTTTAAATACATCAGATTCTTATTAAAAGCAACAGTCTCTGCAATAGCAATGGCTCCTTCGCCTGAGATTTTGCATGTTGAGAGATCTAATGAAATTAAACTTTCATTTTTAGCAAGAAATCTAGCAATTGCAAAAGCGCCTGGATCACCAATAGCACTGCGACTAATGTCTAAAACTGATAGTACTGCGTTTTCATTCACTAAATTTAGTAAAGATTGAGAACATCCATCGTCAAAGTTATTATATGAAGCATATAATTCTGTAAGATATATGTTGTCTTTCAATGCATCTAAAATAGCTGTAAAGCCTTCTGTTGCGATATTATTATGACTTATATCTAAAGATATAAGTTTTGAGTTTTTCAGGGACCTGGCTAAAGCCTTTCCAGCTTCGTCGCTTAGATTACAGTAGCTGAGTTGAATTCTGCGCAAATCAGTAATATCTTGAATTTTTTCGCAAAATCTAGTGCCAACAGGATCAATTAGTATGTTATTACTGCATTGTATATATACCAGACGAGGATTTTTTGCAAGCCCTTCCATAAAAACAATATCTGCATCTTGAGGAGTAAATCCGCAATCGGCAAGTGATATTGATTTCAGAATAGGGTATTGAGCTATGAATCCTGCAAAGTATGACGCGATGCTTATTCTTCTAGCACCTTGCCTGACGCTTAATTGAATTCCTGATAATCCTAAGCATTCGATTCTGTTACTTTCATGAATAGAAAGAAGTAGATCAGCACATGCAGCTGTTGAAAAGTTGTTTACATGCCATGCTTGTCCAACTATTCCTAATTGTAAACTCGTTATTTTTGTTTTTAATATAATATCTTGTAAACTTGGAATGCCTTGATTTGACATGTCGTTACAACCAATATTAATTACTGTAATTCTCGGATTTACTTGAAGTAATTGAAATAACGAGTGTAACCCATGATCAGTTATGTTATTTCCATAGAAATTAAACTTTCTGATATGAGGTGCTGTACGCAAAACTTTTGTTAGTTTTGTTAAAACACTCATTCCGATTTGCTGGCACGAAAAATCGAGAACTCCGTGTTTATATGCCGTGCTTATTTGCGAAATGAAGCGATTATAGTCCTTCTCTGTATACTCATTACCGCTGTCATGCAGCTTTGACGTATAAAGAGAATCAAATAATTGCTGCACAGACATTGTCACTTTTTCAATTTAATGCAACGGAAATTTTGAGCAAAATATTCGTATCAAACAAAATTATTTATTCATATTCTAATAAACCATCTTAGAGGCAACATCATTCAAAATAGCATTGAAAGCTTCGTCAATTCCATTTTTATTTTTAGCACTAACGTTAAATGGCATTATCTTTCTCGGAGCATGCTGTTGTAAGTCCAAAACCTCGTTTAGATCTTTAACTGAGAGACAATTTGGTATGTCTGATTTGTTTATTAAAATTGCCCATGTAAGTTGGTTTCCTCTATCTTTGGAAAGCGCATTTTCAAACTCTTTCTTGAATTCTTCTAAATTCTGATGATCTGTTCCATCTAAAACGAATACAACTACATCGGCACCATCAAAAAAGCTGTGCCATGATGCACGAGTTGATTGTTGGCCTGACAAATCCCATAATGATAATTTGTAATCACTTCTCTGTTCATTTGTAATAACAAAACCTTGTGTTGGAGTTATTCCATCAATCGGCTTCTTTAAGAAAGAAGCGATAACAGACGTTTTTCCAGCACCTTCTAAACCAATGAATACTAGACGAATTTCATGTTCTCGTGCTTTGATTTTCTTGAGTAAATCTTTTAAACCCATTTATAATGTCACTTTTGGATGAAAATAATCGTTTAAGAGTCCTGCGCGCCTGTAATACGTTGATTTTCAAAAACGGAAGATGAGTTTCATGTTTTAAGCATTTACGATGCAGTCTTGGAAGAAGTGAGTGGAAGTTCTGGAATTTAAACAGATGAAATTGATATTTGTTCTTCAATAAAAAAAGGTAACAAAACTAGGCATATCTGCAGGATAGGCTGACTATAGGATTCTAAAATAACACTTAAAGATCAGTAGACTGAATGGGTAAAAAAAATTAAGTCATTTATATTATTTTTTGACGCTTCTGTCAAAGATTTGAATTTAGCCGATCATGTTTTGAATGCATTTCGTGGTCAAATTAGATTTCATTAGTATTTTATAGGATTGCATGTAAATGGGCACCAAAAGGGAAACATTTTAATTAAAACACAGCATAGTAAATGTTCATATTCATGTTAAAAAAAATTATGACGAAAAGTGGGCGGAAATTTTGGTGAAAAGTGACAGTCGCCAAATATGAATATTGCTAAAATCTTCGTTGATGATGAAACAATTACATCATCTGTTGATATGAGTATGCCTCTTACTGGCCTCACAGCAAAATTACGAAACGATAATAAGATTAGCAAGCCAGATTCTGATTTTTATGTAGTTTACCAAAATTGTCCGCATGAAATCACATCAAATATTCGTGTTGGCGAAGCTCTCACACTTGAGCATCTTTTATTAATTATTTCAAAAGATAGGTATAATAAAATGAAAGGATTACGTGGTATCTTAGAATCAAGCATTGCAGCAATGAACGACTTACCAACCGAAGCAGATAACATCATTGCATCAATCAACCATATGAAATCATTCATCAAACACTACTATGAAGCAGATGGATGTTTTGATAAGTTCTATGAAAGCATGCCATTAGATTTACTTCAATCAGAATCTGAAGAAGAGAATCTTAAGACATTAACTCATTGGTTCAAGACAGAATTCTTTACATTTATCCATACTCCGAAGTGCCAGTGCTGCAACAACGAAACAAAAGGTGTTGGAAGCAGCTTTCCAACACTATACGAAAGCAAAGGCTTAGCATCAAGAACAGAGGTCTTCAAATGCTTTAAATGCGGCGCAATGACAAGATTCCCACGATACGACTTACCAGAAAGACTTCTTGAGACAAGATGTGGTAGATGCTCAGAATTCGCAAATGTTTTTACAGGAATGCTTCTTGCTTTAGGCTTTGACGCCAGAATTGTTGTTGATTTAACAGATCACGTTTGGTCTGAGGTTTGGTTAGAAGATAAACAGCGCTATGTACACGTAGATCCATGCGAAGATATTATCGATGCACCATACACGTACGAAGTTGGTTGGGGCAAGAAATTAACTTGGATTTTCGCCATTGGCAAGAACGAAGTTTATGATGTCACTAGGAGATATACAAAGGATTACAACGCAGTGGTTGCCCGCAGATCAGCCATGGTTCCTGAAGATGTTTGTGCAAAATTAGTTAATTTAAGAAACCAGCAGTATCAATCTAAATTAACACAAGAAGAGAAAAACGAAATAGCTCATAAGAATGAATTAGATCAGAAATCTATGCTTATCGATCGCGATGCTGTAAAACCAGAAGAACAAAGAACTAGAATTAGCGGCAATGAATAAACTTTTTTATATACTTTATACTTTTTTCATGATTTTTGTTTGAAATGTTTCAAAATTTTTCATATTATTTTAATGATGTTCATTGAGATGCATTCTAATATTTTAAATCATAAGGATGCAGACTTGGCAATACTGAGGTCATTTTGGCAATTCTTAATCGTCCGAAGGGCGCCAATTTCGCCCAATGTAATTCATATATCATAGTTAAAACTATTTAATTTTAGAACCTAGGTCATATATCATAAACATATAAAACAAGTCTTCATATTGCGATACTATTTTGATTTGAATCTTATTTGCATTATAAAATTATTGAATTTAGCATATTATTGATGGCGGATGCAATATATAATCTATGAATTTTATGCCCTTAACTTATATTGTATTATTATACCCTTATATCAATCAAATTATCTTAATTAAGTTAGCTAATTTATATAATCTTCAGAAAAGAAATGTCATAGCAGCAATTTTAGAAAACCAAGTGGAGGTCTGATACCGATACCACTTGCTAATTAAGGAGAAGCATATTGATTGGTCATATTATTGGCTGCATAACATCCAAGAATGCGGATAGTTGGCTGGACTACAGTTATGTCCCGCAATGAGATTACCTCTTAAAAATCATGAATTTATTAGACTATTATTTAAATTTATTCAAAATTATTATTAATCGATTGTGTTTTGAGATTTCCTTTTTCATCATAATAATTATTATAGCCATCAATGATGTGGTTCTTAAGAGTTCGATAGTTGAGGATAATTTCTTCGCAGTATTGATCGAGATTGTCAAAAGCATCTTCGATGTATGAAATATGTTTCTTTTCTTTCGGATCCTGGCCTGAAGAACTTTTCATCTCAAATCCAATAAGTTCTGCATTCGTTCTGTTCCTGAGAACGGGCAAGTCATCTCTGTGTTGGAGAAAGAGAGATTTGATTTCGTTCGCCTTTTCACTCAACAAAATCATAAGTCGAAATTCATCAGCATTATGTAAACTGCCTTGATTCTCGAGAGGTACCAAATTTCTTAAGCATTCTTGAATGCTTTGAATTGCTTTAAATCCCATGTAATATTTCTCTTCTTTTGACTTGTCCTTGAGCACATCAAAGATAATAGAATATCCTTTATAGTTTAAATTAAAATCTCCGGAAAGGAAATCATCGAAGTAGAGTTTTGGAGCTATTTTCCTAACTCTAAAGTCAACAATATAAGGTTTAATTTGAACATTATTATTGAGAAAGTTTTCCAAATTCAATTCGTTACAACCCTTTAAAGCAAATCCAAGATTTCCTTTGCTCATATCTGTTAGAAGTAAAATCCTAACAATAATGTCAAGTGTAGTAATATTAATATAAAGATCTTCAGACCTTTGCTTTTGAAAATTCCGGCAGAACGAATAAACCAAACGATCAAAGTCATAATGAACATTACTAAATAATTCTTTTCCAAGTTCCATAAAGATCTGATTTTCATATGTTAAATCTCGAGTTGCAATATAAAATCCGCGAGAAATGTATGGATTGATGATGAATTCGACATGATGACCCATGCCAAAACATTCAAGAAGTTTGTATGCAAATGGTTCTCTAATGTTTGGACGCCTGTAATAATATGGTTCAGAACAATCTTAATCATCCAATCCATCATCGAATATCCAAATATCTTGGGAACCTCTCGCATAATTCCTAACTAAATATCCTGTGAATCCTTTAATGAAGTACCGTGTAATTGTTTCATCTCCTTTCTTCAGTGAAAGAATTTCACCAAACTCAATACCAGTCTTCTTTATTTCGACTGTCGCTTTGAAGTTATCATTGAATTCGATTTCTATTTTATCAAAATCAAACGATTTGACTCCAGCCCTCAAATGTTCAGCGAATTATGGAATCTGTTCGATTGCTTGATCTTGCAAAAACATTCTTGAACCCCAAAAGAATTGCTTTGATTTACGAGTTAAGAATTCTTGGTTGACTTCATACATATCGTATATTTGTTCACTAAAACTGAAATCCATCAATGTTCTTACTACCGCAAGGCAATTGTTTCTCACTTCTTCTGAATTTGTTCTTGCAATAAGGAATTCAGTACCGCTAGAAAAATCTTCATCAGTATTTAATTTATCTTGAAAAATATTTCCTGAGATCTTACCAAAAAATGTTGGAATTATAAAATTCATAAAATCATAAACAACTGAAAATTCATCTTGTTCTTCCTTAGTGTTATTTATCTCGATAAATCTAGGATAGATAGATTTTTCAAAAAACTGCAAGACTTTTCCATCTTCTCGAAGACATGATCTAATCAAATCCATAAGGATGAAAGAATTTGGTTTGGAAACAATAATTGAATCTTGGGCTGTTGTACTTGCAGAAGAAGAATATCTTTGAAATGCATAATTGCAATTCATTTGATCTGATTTTTCTTTAATTTCATCACCGAAATTTAAATTATCTGATGAATCTTGAGAGTTATCGTTGATTTTACCTTGAATGTTATTGGCGTTTTCATTTAGATCGGTATGCTTGCTTAAATATTGTGATATATTCACGTTAAACAATTCCCCCATAAGAAAAAATAACGTACGTTTTGAATTTTAATTTCAAAAATGGATTATTGATAAGTATTTGATTTCTTCAATTCAAAATAGAAGATTATATAAATAATCTAACTTGAGGGATCACCGCAACGATATGTAAACTTTTTAACACTTTTTTACATAAGTTCATTCCGTATAGAAAATCAGCTATAATATTTTAATCTCCCGTGATTATTACTTATTAACATTATAATTGTATCTCTTCTCGATGTCAATTAAAAGATTTAATGGATTTCCTATTATACTATAAGATTGTTCAACCTTACTATATAGAACAAGATATATGCAAGTTAATGAAACGTTTATATAGTTAACATCTTTGTTTTGTACAAATTCTAGGTTCAAATTTCTCGAAAAAGTTTCCAAAAGTATTACCCAAACCGGTATGCTTAGGTCAAGTCATTGTTTCCGTAATTGTTACATGTATCAATGCATTATTTAGCTATAATCACGAAATCGAATGAAAATTTTTGAAATTTGACGTATTTTTCATTTTGTATTAATTATTATTGAATCATTCATAAATTTATATCAATTTTGATTTCAATATAGAATCATTATGCCCTTAGATATTTCAGCGATAGTGGCCACCAAAAAGTTAAAGGTGGAAGATCCAAAATATTCAATCAGAGGATCTGACATGATAATGCAAATCACATCTTCTACAAATTTTATCGTTAATCCATCAGCTTGGTTTATTTTTAGTTTAATTTTATCAACGTTCAACTATTTACTTACAATATACTTAGAATCAAAGGTTCTGCGATTCATTATTGCTATTTTAAGTTCAATATTTACAATTTTCTTTCAACTATTAAATGATATTACGATGAAGCAATTACTCAATAAGAAAGACTATACAGCACTACTGATTTTCCTTGACACAACATACCAAATTGTTCAATTCACTCTTGTTTCACGAATTTATTTGAATTTAGTAAAATGTGATAAATATTTAATGAATGTATTAATTACAACAATACCATTACTCGGATTTTCATTCATTCTGTTAAGAAACTTCATCAAAAGAATATATACACTCTTATCATCAGATTTCAATTATATTTTCGGATTTTTAATACTTATTTATCCTATCACAAGCTTTTTTTCAATTCAGAAACTACTGGTATTTGCTTTACTACTCCATACTACGTTAATTTTCGTTACAGTTTTGGGTGAATTGATGCCCAGTGTAATTAGAAGCAGTATTACGAGAAAACGATTTCTTCTTACATCATATCCTATATTTGTCAATGTTATTGTGTTTGCTTTACCTTATTTTATAAGAAAAGAAGATATTATTTCAAATCTTTTTTATAGACTTGATTTCTTAATAATGGTGACCTACATCAATATAAGACTATGCATTTCACAAATGGTTGATTATTCTAAACCAAGTGAAATTTATCTTGATTTAGTCATCCCATGGGCAGGAGCAATACTTGCCAATGTTGTCGAAGATGGATCCATCTTCCCAAAGTATTGGTTTGGCCTTTTTTTAATTGAAATTTTAATATTAATAATAAGAATTATTAGTTTTGTCAATTTACTATTGGAATCATTCAATCTTAATCTTTTTGGAAATAAGGCAGAATGATTTTATATCATTTATGTAAAATAAAAAATAAAATTAGTTTGTTAACATTTCTGAACATTTTCTCTATTACGAATTAATATAAATATCGATAATATGCATCAATGAAGATTAAAATTTGATTATTTTCAAATAAAAATTCAAAATCGTTATTTGATCTTTAAATTTCAAAATATAAATAATTTTTACAAATACAAACAAGCACATCTATAAAAAAATAGATAGTTAATTTTGGATATAAAAATATGAAATTAAATTTCTAGTTTAACAATCTGCTGTAATGTTCTATTCTTTTCTATAAGTTCATCTCTTTCTTTCAGTAGACTGTTGAGAGTTTTTGTTAATGGTTCTATACTTTGGAGATTCTTTTTATGCTCTTGAGCGCGATCATTATTATTTTCTTGTGAATTTGATGGTTTTCCTTCTGATCGAAGTTTGCTTTCTTTTTCTATATCATTTTGTAAATTTATAATTTCAGTAATCAAGTCTTTAATATATGTTCCAATTAATGGATTATCTGTTAGTTCCGAAAATTGAACTTGATTAAAGTATTGATCCATAATATCTTCGGCTTTCATTCTTTGTTCTTCGCAATATTCCAATTGCTGACCAATCAAACCAGAATCTATTGGCCGTACTGATGATGTTGAAGGCCTTTCAATCTTTTCATCAATATTTTGACTTTCTTCAGCACTAGGTACAATTCCCATTTTTGAAAAACTTGCGTTTTCAATTAATTCTATCGGTGCGAAGCCTTTGGGGATTATTAATCGAAGACTTTGGGAAATTATTAATCTACGATAAATTAGGTTCTCATTTTTATATTTTTTATGACTTAATTTTAATCCTATTTTAAGGCTTCTCACAGACCAAACGGTCTGTATCGTCCTTCATATTTCTGCACTTCGAGACGATACTTAAAAAGATTTAATTGGAGAAGTATGAAGTTGTATATGCTCCACATAATTACTAAAGCCTGGTTTCTGATTTTAATTATCCCGAGGAATATTCTTTTTAATCAGTTCAACATTTTGATTGTAAAATGTTCCTTAAGTCCAAACCAGTTTAAAAATTGAAAATTATTAAAATATAAAAACATCTATTTTATTATTTACATTACAAGACAATTAGAGTATATTATGCTATTTTCTTGTGGTTTTTAAGTAGATAATCTTCATCCCTTATGCAATGAAATGGAGCTATGCATTTATAATTTGTGATATCGATGATTCTAACTAATATATCTGGATAAATAGTTGGAACCATAGTTGTCCAGTTATAGTTCTCTTGAATTTGTTTCCAAATCATCCTTGTGCAAGTTACATATTTTAATCTTGTGCAATTTGTGAACATATCAGCTCCAATGGATGTGCATATCCTTCCTAGTGTAACATTTTCTAATTTAGAGCAATTTAGGAAAATTCCTGCCGACATATAAGTTTGAGTTTTGGGAAGAATACAAGTTATCAATTCGGTACAATTCTCAAATATATTTGATCCTATAAGAAAACTATTTGCACCTGAGAGATCGGCATGCTGGATTTTTGGCATATCAATAAAACATTGTCTGTAAAATTGAATAGCGGTATTATAAAAAACGAACCCTTCGGTGTTCGAACCAGCAAATGCGTATCCGTATATTCCGCATACATTTTCAGGTATAGTTACAATAGGATTTGGATCTGCATGAGCATGTGTAAGAATTGTGGATATTTGTTTGAGAATTAAGCACGAATTTTCGAATGAAAAGTATTTGTTATCATCGATTTGAAAAGTTCTGAGTTTTGTGCACCATCTAAAAGATCTTTCTGCAATCGACTTAACTTTAAAGGGGATTGTGAAGCTAACAATGCTTGTGTATGAGAAACAGTCATTCATAATGTATTCTAGTTGTGAATCTTGAGGAAAAATTATTTTCATCAGACTTGTGCAGTTGAAAAATGCACATCTTGCAATTGTTCTGGTATTCGTTGGAAGTTTAATAGATTTAAGTGAGGAACAATTGCAAAACGCATGTTCGGGAATCATTTTTAATTTTGCACAATTCTCTAAATTGATCGAATTTAAAAGATAGCAATTCATAAATATGTGTGGTGATAATTTTTTAACTTTTTTGCCGAGAAAATCGATTTGTTGAAGGGTATTTGTTGATCCTTCGAAATTGGCAGTGATTTCGGTAATGGATTCTGGCACTTTATAAATCTTTAGATTGTCTTCAAGGCTTGAAATTGTGGTAATCTCGTCTAAAGATGATAACAATAGTATGAAAAGTAACATGATTTATTTTGACAATGACACAATTTTGAATGCTCTCAATTTCAGATACTTCGTGGTTTTGGTTGAAAATTTGAAATTTGATTGCATATTATTACTGGATAAAAATTCATTTTTATTTTCGGATTCGACTCTGATCGAACTACTTCAGCAAATTTTGAGGCCAAAATTAAGCTCAGATTAAAATCTTCTAAAGAATAAGCAAATTCTTTTTATAAAGAATCTTAAATCAAGCAAAAGACCTTATATTTATCATAAAAAATTATATATGATCTCTGCAATAGAGTAAATAATGTTATAAAGCAGGCGTGTATGTGTTTAAGCTATGTTAATTCGTAGTACCTATATGCGAAACATTAAAATCAATAGTTAATAGATATATTATTCGGAATATTTTTTTACTATATGATTAAATCATTGATATCTGTATTTTAAGGGATTTTAAACGTTGCGAATGAAATCACCAAAGAAATAGACGACCTCTATATTTGGAGTTCCATAATCTGAACACAAATGTCTACTAGTGATAGAATTTATCATGCTCTTTCATTATATTAAAAATACACATTTTGATGCAAGGACAAAGAATACTTGACAAAGTATGATCCAAAGCCACAACAGTGGGAACATTGGTTTATTAATTCTTTGTGATTAAACTCATTTTTCAAGACATTCTATTCTTTTCTGACAATGATAGTCAGGAATGCTCAATTGATGTACAATCACTACTCTCTTTGGTTGATTGGCTCTAACTCTTGTAAATGCAAATTTGAATCCAAAATAATTTTATTGATAATTTATATCATTTTGTTTTTGTAATGATATGATATTGGATTTCATTTCTTCTCTTCATAAAAAAAATTAGTCAAAAATCATGCTGACTTACCAGAAGCAGATTTGGGACACACTCTTAGAACAAGAGAGTGGACTTGTACTCTGTGGAAAGGGCATGGATACAATAGAGATTGTGAAACAACTAGTTGTTAAGTATTCTCAAGAAAGCAAATTCGTATTTGTTTTCGGATGTCCTGAAAACGCAAAATACAAAATAATTTGGGAATGTGCCGATTGTGGTATTGAGTTTTTACCCAAAGATATCGAGAAAGCGGTCGGTAAAAAAGAAAGAGACCAGGCATATGCTGCAAATAACGTTTACTTCCATAGTCCTGGAATTCTAGCGAAAGATTTCCTACTAGAAACTATAGATCCGACTAAAATAGAAGGAATTATTATATACAATGCAGAAAGTATTTTAAGAGATCCTAGTCTTCAAACGTGTATCGCATATTACAAATCACATCATCCCAAAGGCTTTATTAAAGCATTTTCAGAGCGTCCAGCCGAGTTTACAGAACTATCTTCAGTCATGGATTTGTTATGGATCAGATTTGTATATTTTTCACCTCGTTTTGAAGAAACTGTCAAGAATTCCATCAACCCGTGTAAAATACAAATCGTTCATATATCAATACATCCAGAAAGAGCTTCTCCAAAGAAAAAACATTCAGATAAGTTTGTTCCTGTCGTAAGTCCTGAATTTGCGCGAACATTTGACTTCCTATCACTTCTTCATAAACAATTCATCAGTGAATATGGTCGTCAACTCAATGTTTCTCCTATTGATTCATTATCTTTACCACGCCGCATTCTTGAGCAAAGATGTACTACTGATACTCACCAGGAAATTCTTTCTGGCCTCATGTTCTTCAGAAATGCATTTTTTGCATTAATTCATTACCCTCCTGAAGCATTTTACGAATTTCTGGATTCTCATCGACCAAATCCGCTAAATCCTCAAATATGGGCTGGTTTTGCAGAGGTAAATCCCTTATACGAAGCTGCAAAGAAGTATTCAACAGATTCATTACCTTCTCCAAAGCTCCAGTACATTGTTAACATACTAGAAAACATTCCTAAGAACAAAAGAGTCCTTATTCTTGCAGAAGGAACAGCAACTGTTGCAATGATTGCACAATATTTATCATCTTTCATTCCTGCAACGGATTCTAAAGATGTTGCAGGATCAGTTCATTCTATACTCGATGTAGATGACGAAGAACCACTTCTTGACCCAGAAGTTTTTGGAGTTTTGACAGCTCCGATTATTATGTTGCAAGAAATGCATGCACAAGCAGATATCTTCGATACTTTCGATCCAGACTTTGTTATCTTCTGGGATGTAACACTTTTGTCCGTCAGAAGACTGGAAATTTACAATACTCGTGCATCTAAGAACGTTACAGGCTATGCATTATGTTATGATGAAGCCAATGAAATGACAGCCATGGAGACCTCAATAGAAAACGAAAACCAGATCTTTACAAAATTAATTTCAAAATTGTCGACAATTTCTAAAACTCCGCTCGAACCATTTGTTGTTACTAACAGAGAAATTGTTGTTGATGATAGAGAGTTCAGATCCGCTATGCCTCTCGCATTACTCAAAGCCGGATTTAAAATTACTCCTAGTGTCATCACCGTTGGCGATTATGTCCTTACTAAAGACATTGTCATAGAGCGCAAAGCATATAGTGATCTTGTACAGTCCTTGAAAAGTGGTCGATTGCTCCAACAAATACAAAGAATGCACAATTATTATAAAAGTCCAATGTTGATGCTTGAATTCGGCGATGTCGACCAATTTAACGCTATTTCTGATAGGGATAAGAATGGTTCTGTCATGGCAAAGATCACTACAATAATAAGGGTCTTTCCGAACTTGAGAATCATTTGGGGAAGGAACGCGAATGAATGTGCGAAAACATTACTTTTGTTATCAAGAGGAAAAGACCAACCATCACTAGAAATGGCCCAGGAAATGGGAAATGATGGTTCAAATATAAATGATGATTCAAAGGCTGTTAGGTTCTTGAGTGTCATTCCTTTCTTGTCGAAAGAACATGTATCTCTAATATGTCACAGATGTAAAAATATCAGAGAATTGCTCTCCCTTCCGAAAGACGAATTGATGACGATTCTTGGCCCACAAATTGGAATCAAACTTTTCTCTTTGCTGCATTCACAAGCGAAGAACTCTCTTAAATAAATATTATAATTTTTTTGTTTGTTTGTATAATAAATTGTTATATTAGAACTTTTTATTATAATTAAATTGTGTTATAAGTCAATTACACATGTGAACCCAGTGAGAAAAATATGTTCAAGCTGATCTCAGAATATTTTTCAATTTCCCTGAGATCAAAAATTTGATTATAACCGAGTCAGATTTTAGCATTTGTTCATCATAGTATTACCATTATAAAGGTTCTTTGATATCCTATACTTTCATATCAGTGTTGGTCTCTATTGTATTTCAAATAGTTCTATAATTTGAAAAAAAATCTCCATATTGAGTTGCAAAAGTAAAAAATTGAGGGTAAATTAGTTTCATTACTTCTATGATATTTGAGCATAATGCGAATGAAATCTGAATTGTTGTCAATGTGTATTTATAATGCCATGCAACTTTTAGATAATCTGTTGCATAATGCTTTCATACTTTGTATTGTTGCAGTAATTGTAGCGCTTGGATGTTTCCTTTCGAGATTATATTTCTGAACTGTATCTAATGTGAGAGATATACCTTGAAATCTAACAGATATCTCTTTTGTATGAGGTAATTGTTTTCTCTGTGAAAAATCATGGATTGCTGAAATGAATGGATCCCAAAAATCAGAAAATTCTTTCATTGTTGGTAGTACAGGACCTGTTGAGAAAGCAATTCTTGAACCTTTCTTTCTCTTGTCTGTAACATAAGTAAAAAATTTGGTGCATACTGCAATTAATTTTGGATAATTTGTCTCGATTCCTGTAATTAATGGTCTGAGTAAACTTTGAATAACTGGAATTGCATCACTATCGTCAATAAGTACTCGTGTAATTGAAGATATGTTCTCAATGTATTTTTTGGCTCTGATCAAAGATTGAATTTCATCTTTAATCTCGTTACCCTTAGATTCTGTTGGTGGGCTAGAAGCATAGCTTGGCTGTTTATCAATTTTCATTGGAGGAGCAACTTTACTTGATGTCTCAGGAATGGATATCTTATCATTCATTCCAGACATTTTTTAAAAAATAAATATTGCTTATAACTTCATTTGTAGTAAAGATATTAATGGTATTGAAACATATATTAGTAGTATATATAGTAAATTTTTATTCTTGTGATATGGAAGTTCTAAGCTTGTCCAACATGTATAAAACAGCGTTGCAAAATTCGAACTTATATAAAATATGCACAAATAAGGATTTATAATTAAATATATTTTTCGAATCGAGTAAATAAATCGCTAGACCTTAGATTTTATTAATCATTTCTTCTTAAAATGATACTGTGGTAATGGTAACTTTGTATTGATAGTTGGATTATTGTTAAATTGCCCGAAATTTTGACTCGTTTCAAAAACGATTTATAGTATGTTCAAATATATTGGATTTTAATAACATGCGATAACATCTACTGCAAACAGTCTATATTAAGTGATTGATGAAAATCGATATCAATATTTAAAATTTTCGAGACTTTTTTGACTGAAAGCATTTGTTTTGGACATCTAGAATGAAGTCCTCCTTGGTGAATTTCTCCAAATTTTTTCCATTTTAGAAAATGCCTAAGCAATTTTCTAGAAAATGATTCCATTTTTTTCAATTCTCGAATTTTTTTGGAGAAATGAGGTTAAAAATTTTGAAAATTTAAATTTTGGAGAGAAAAAAACAATTTTTATTATATTCCAAATAGATAAATCCTTTTCATTTTTGTTATTCTATAATTTTTCTACTAAGATATATCAATTCTACCGCAGAATCAAATAATTATTTTTCAATGATATAGAAAAGAAGCATATTTTTAAAACTATAAATCACTAATATTTTAACATCAAATATAGTATATAATTCTATATAGATAACCAGCCATTGTAAGTAATCTAAAATTATTTCTGGTTCAAATTAAGGATTTGTTTCACATGTTTAGAAAACATAGTAAATATCATGATTTTATTCACAGGTGAGTTCAAGATATATATTGTGATTTACATTTCGACAATAAATCTGAATAAAATGTGTATTAAACTTGCACATTTAGATCTCTTATCATAGTCATGTTATCAGTTAGTGATTGTTGTTACATAACAAGCAACATTAGATCTGTATCTCATGATCAAACGGAAGTTAAGCAAAGATATTCGGGATTTTATCACTTTATAGTATGCATAATACTATATCAGAATTACTAGTCAATCTGCTGTTTCAATATCATTTTAAATTTATTATGCCAAAATAGTACTTTGGTTTTCATTGGTAATACGTAAGGTTGATACTGTTGTAATATTTCGAAAAAATAAAGGTATCAACTTTAATACAAGATATGATGAGTTGAACATCGAATAATTGGATTTTTGCGTCAATAATATTCTTTAGTCCCTAGTATATGATTGTTTTATACTAATAATGTGGATCGATTCCATTTTGATGATCAGATAAAGCAGAAACAAAATACTCAGGTGCCATTTTTTGGCCTAAAAAATGAGTTTTCCCCTATTGGAGAATCACTATTCATGAATTATTGATAAGACGGAAAATTCAAACGTCTATTTTTGATGGCATTTCTAACATATCATTTTACAATAATTGTCAGTTTTGAATATAGAATTGAGGAATTTATGATGGCACAAAAAACCGATAAACATATCACAAAGCATAACAATTATTCCCATGACCTCAATCATCCCCAATACAGCTTATTCACCAGATAATATTAGTCGAACATATAAAGTGAAGTGGACAGAACCAGAAGACGCCAGGTTACTCGAAACTGTTGGTAAGTTTGGATCTAATAGGTGGGATTTTATTGCTACATTTATACCTGGACGCACAGGGCGCCAGTGTAGAGAAAGATGGATGATCCGATTTGCACCAGATATCAAAAAAGAAGCATGGACACATGATGAAGATCAAATGCTAATTCAACTGCAACAAAAAGTTGGAAATCATTGGTCAGCAATATCGAAGTACTTACATGGAAGAACACCTATAATGATAAAGAATAGGTTCAAACTTTTGTGTCGCCACCAAAAAATAAAGGAGGCCATATGCGAAAGTAGCGTAAAGCTTAATCCATGCCAACAAATATCCATACAATCACCTGCAATACCTGTTCAATTAGATGCATTTCCGATGAATCTATATCAAAACAAAAATATCAATGAAGGAGTTGTAGGTACAGATGTGGATGTGAATAATTCCAAAAGGAATGATTTTGAAGAATTTGATTTTTCAAATGAAATTTTCTATGGAGAAGCTTTTGTTTTTTAAGAACTATTGTTTAATTAGACTAAATATCTATTTTCTATGGTTAAAATGTGAAAATTTGAACATATTTTCATTCATAAGATTTTATCGCCATTAAATTTTAAAATTAATGTATTATTTATTATACCATGATGTATTGTGTCACAAATGTGTAAATTGTAACTAAAATGCATTTGCATTGGATTGAAGTTAACACATGTCTATATAAAAAGAAAGAAACAGCGCCTTCTCTAAATAAGCTATCTAATGTGGAATTGATTAATATGTATTGGCCTATCCATTTACCATTGAGAATAATCTCCATAGAAAGGATGGATAGACACCTAACAAAAGGTACTTATATATATAATCCATCTGAAAGTTTTATTTCATTTTATAAATTTTTTGATGAATTTTGCTCAAATTCTATGTGATAAAATCGAAAAATATCATTTATTAAATTAACAAAGAAACACTCATAAAAACAATTTATATGTTTGTATATATGTTAAATATTTGCCTTTGATGGAGAGAGGGTCAAAGTTGCTATTTGTCACTTTTCCACAAGAATATAATGGGGAAAAAGTTATCATATAGTTGATCTCATTCACTGAGGTGAGAGATGCATGTAGTGTAATGTGATAAACAGTTTGATTGCTGCTCTAAGTCCTAGGTTCGAGACACATTGGCTTCATTTTTTTCTTTTTTATTGACGTAAACTATTCAATTTTTGTGTTATCCATTCAAATTTCAGAATTTTTTTTTGCAGATTTCACGCTACATTCGAAGTTACCTTTTGTAACAACCACCACCGCCTACGAAAGACGAAAGTGTGTCACGATTTCACCCGGAAATCCGACGGTTGTTTAAGAGTAAGCACTTTTGGCACCTACTCTATCATTTATTAAATTAACAAAGAAACACTCATAAAAACAATTTATATGTTTGTATATATGTTAAATATTTGCCTTTGATGCTGGAATATTGACTTCATACCGAGGATTTTCATCATCACTTGAAGCACGATCTATAACTCTGTTAAAGCACTTGGCTTTATTGTTGTATATTGTTTTAGCGTCTTTATCCAAGGACGTCCACATCTCTGATATGATTTTTGTTCTTTCAAGTAAAGTTAAGTATGGATTTGACTCTTTTAATTCTTTCTGTTTTTCGTTAACGAACACGCTATATGCTGATATATGCTTCTTGATATTCTCTTTTTGAAAGGCATCACTTGAATCATCGCTACTTTCTATCTTCTTTGAGCGCCCTTTCTTTTTAGGCTTTCGATATTGATCCTTCTCTTGGTCTGATTTTTGGCCCCATGCATCTGATGCAGCTTTGTATAATTCGCGTTTTGAAATATCAGGATTGCTCATCTTAAGTTCCTCAGAGAACTGAGTTAGGAAATTTTGCCATGCGCTCTCATCAACAGACTTCGTGTGAGAGGACCTGCGTCCTTCACTCATACAGAAACAAAAGAATAATCATGTATTCAAAAATTGAATGGGAACCGTAATATTCATTCAATTTTTTAAAGGAGCAATGATTTAAATAAATTTATTCACGAGCCTAAACGGCAAAAAAGGGAGGAATATGATTATAAAAATATGATACTCGTATTTCGGAAACTCTAGCTTGTAATTACCTAAAGTATTGTGGTCTGAAACTTCGAAATTTGAAAAAAGAATAAATAGAAAAAAAATATGGAAATTATTCAATATGATTTTGAATTATTATTATACATCGGTTAACATTTTGAAAGGCAAAACAATATGTTAAAATAGCAAATATTTAAAAAAAAATTGTGAAAAATGAATGTGAAATAGGAGCTGGGGAGTTCAAAACCATGTCGAATTGGGCAACACTGGCAATCGATTGTGATATCAAAACGAACAACTCTAAATTAAGGCTTATTGAAGAGATTTTGATTTAGGAATTTTGAAATAAAGATTTGACACATATTCAATAATTTGAAAGGGCGTAGAAAATTCCCTGTTTACGACAATCTTATTTCTGAGGAATCCTGAATAAAATTGTGAAAGTTAAAATCAAACTTCTTTTCAAAAATGTAGATAATTTATCACTTGTATAAATTATCAAACAATCGTTTTTTTTATCAAATTTCAATTGAAAAGCATTTTCTAAGTTGGTTTCATCCATCAAGTGTACTATAAGCTGACTTAAGTATTGTAATGGTTCCAAAATAAAAGGTGATGCCATTTTACAAGTTGATCTTTGACGATTATTAATCTATTTTTGTGACTGAAAGCGGAGTTTTTGGAATGGTTGACTACAATCGAAGGCATGAACCAATTTCAATAATACGAACTTAGCTCCAAACAAAAGATTTTTTACTATTAATCTCAATTTTTACGAAAAAAAAACAATAACATTATTCTACCGGGAGAATGATTAAAAATAAAATAATAAGTAAAATATCATATCATATTACGATTGAAATATTTCAAAAACTCAAAAAAATTTAATAAATATTATTAAATTGAGAAATCGAAGTAAATGGATATAATATGTATATCCAATGAAATCGATGCTTATAAGCGAATATAATTTTTTGATGATAAAAATTTGCAAAAAATTGTGAACTTTTTCAAGTTTGAAAAGCGAATTTCTAATAAATGAAGAGGCGAATATTAAAAATTATCAATTCGTATTTTAAAGTAAAGTAATTTGGGCTAAACTTGAGTCTCGTGAAAATTAATGAAAATTAAAATAGCGTAAATCACTAATTGCTCGAAAACGAGAACTCTGCTTGGTTCAAAAAAGAAAGTTTGAGATATTTGAAGATGATGGGAAGAAATTATGAAAGTCTGTGAGAATGAAGGATTGGTATTTGTGATTAAATTGAACCTTTAGAGGCATAATATCGTCGAAAAAAAGTTCTTCAATTCTGAATAGTAAGTTTCGAGGTTAAAAAAGATGATAAGTGAACAAAGAAGCCTTTAGAACATAATAGTAATGGAAGGATATATGGGTTTTGATTGAATTGATAGAATTAAGCTAAAAATTATAAATAAAATGATATAAATAAATTATAATCAACAAACAATTGAAATTAAGATGGGAATGTGTATGATGATTAATGAGAACAGAAAAATAAAATCATTTGAAAAAGATTGAAAATCTCCTAAAAAATAATAACAAATTTGGTTTAAAAATAATTGTAATTAGCAATATCAATGGTTCAGACTCTATAAATTGAAAAAAAGCACGTTTGTGCGGAGAGGATTGAAAGTATTGATTTTCAAATTGAAAGCATTCAAATTGAAAAATATCTATAAAATAACTTATTTGATGTTTAAAATCAAAATATTATTTCGCTTTGATCACTGAAAATGATATTTTGACAGATGCTTCAAATTCATTAACATTCAATTTTTTAGTTATGGAAATTAGATAGATTTCGCAATATATTAAGTTATTTAACAATAAATCAATTGAAAGCAAAATCATTTTTTCAATTTAACAAAATTATTTGTCGCTTTTAGTTTATGTAATTTTATTTATCAAATCTCATAAGAATGATATTAATTTATAAGGCATAACTAATTTAGTGTTTAATAATTTCGCAATCTTTTGAAAGCTATTGTTTCGTTTTTTTATGCGAATTTTTTATGATAATATTCCTGATTTAATATATAATGTTATCGATTTTCAAATTATTTTGTATACATTCACAAAAACGGGGGATAATTTTGCAAATTACCTCAGACTTTTCAGAGGATGATGAGCCAACTCAATCCTCTGAAATAGTCTGTGGTAATTTTTAGTCTCTACACTATTTCAATATAAGCTCCATTTTTAAACAGTTTTTAAAAATCGAGCATTGAAAAGTGTGACGAGACTTTCTATTTTAAAGGTTGATGGTAAAAATTCTTATTATCATATTTTGTTTATGATTTGCTAAATAATTTAAGTGGACAACATGTACGTTAGCAACAAAATCAAGCCTTCAAAATTTTTGACAATTTTTCAATTAATTCAAAAATTGCGTTGTATTGGATTGGTAAATCATGTTTAAAATTTAAAACTACATACGAATATTTTTTTCACAATTTTTTTTAACTTTTTCCATATAAAATTGTTAATCTTTATTGAAAAAGCAATCTGATATTCTATGTGTTTATGCTTAATTTATAATTATCAATTATTAGTCCTATTGATTGGTCCCGAATATAGAAATCAGATTGAAATTTTGAACTTTCAGTTTGCCAAATTTTTTTTCGGATTGAATTCTCCACGTTTAACATATCTAATACTACCATTTGTTACTTCTCATATTGAATTTTTCCAAAATAATTGTTTTTTTTTGACAAAATCTTCAACGATGAACCGAGAAAACTTCTTTATTTCTTCAGATGAAATGAATTACATTTTATCTTCTTTTGTCATTGATAATCCCTGGTTGTTTTCGAACAAAAGCACTTAGATGCTTCGATATTTTATCAAATTCTCTTTTTATTTATTATGTTAAATTCAGCACAAAACAATGAATAACCTTAACTTGGTTTTTAAATAAATGAATTCAAAATTTACCAAATCTATATATATTTTAATATTCATTTTTAATTTCCTAAGACGGTCTTCACAACTTAATTTTTGAGTTCATATATTTGAAAGTAGAATAGGTGGAAATAATCTATCTTAGTTTATCCATTTAAATCTCTAAATAGTTATAAATATTTTTGAATTCCTTAATATATTCATAAATCAAACGCGATGCAAATGTTCTCTTGTACCTCAACATCTAGAAAATATTTATAATTCAAAAGGATTTAATGAAAATTTAAAACAACTATTGATCATGATTATTTCTTAATAATTCTATTGAACTTGCTACTTCATTCAATTACTTTATATGAAATATAATCTAAAAACTCAAAACTATGTCTAATTCTATGGGATATTGAACATTATGTCATAATAACTTATATTGAAGGATGCATATTATTCAGATCGGCATAACATACTGTCTGCAAGTGTGTTAATGAAACAAATCATTAAAATTCTAAAGAAGTATTCAACAAATAGTAAAATATATTCAAATTCAATTAAAGTAACAAAGAATCAAACTAAATAGGTCCTATAACAATAGACTAGCTTAATGATATTTCATAGGATTGTTATAATTTTTATAAATTTAGAAAATGGCATTATTTCATTATAATTTCGTTGTTTTTGTATTATATTATTGATTTATTTTCATATCATATTGAGATAACAGACAATTTTTCATTAAAATCGATAAATTTGTGATTGAACAAATTTGATTAGATGAATAATTCTGAAATTTCGTTTCTATTTGATTTGTCAAAGCCAATGAATTTATAATATTGGCGTTATCCGAAAAATTAATTCAATGAATCATGATTCGAGATTGGATTCAAAGAGACGACAAGATATTCCCTAATTAATATTTGGACCATTAGTAGTATACTCCATCTAATACGTTAGAACTCCGAATCATCAATGATAATAAAAATTCCTTTTCAATAACCATATAAAGTCAAGATTATTGCAGTATGACTATCCTGAATGCAAGTATAGATGAATTTATCTACTGCAATTTGTTGGATGGAAGGTTTCCTTCGGACACTTGGAGAGTGGATTCTTGATTTTTTAATAAACGATTATTTTTTGATAAAATGCGTGGTCTGAAAATTGATATATGGGTTGCTGAAAAATTATTTTTTGGAATCTTAATGTACTCATATAATACAGCATGTTTGCTTCTAATGGTGTTTCCTTTCAATTTTATTATATAATAAATTCAATGGGAAATCCACACAGCAATTTCTCGGACGATAAACAGAAAAATTGAGTGCCCTCTCAAATGTCTCTCAATAAATTTGATTGAGTATTGTTACCAATATCATTTTTATAGTTGCGAAATGCAAGCTCCTGCCAACTTCAAAATTGATGCACAGTACTCTACATCACTTAGAAAGAGATTTACAGAGGCTGAAGATAATCTCCTTAGAACTCTTCGTGCTAACGACAAAATGACTTGGGACGAAATAGCTTCTTACCTCCCAGGTAGGACCGGCCGTCAATGCAAGGATAGATACAATAACTACTTGAACCAACAGATTGTTTCAAAGAACTGGACCACGGAAGAAGATTTCATTATCATTCAAAAATACCAGCAATATGGACCAAGATGGACGACAATTGCTAAGTTTTTGAATAACAGAAGTGGTAATAATGTTAAGAATCGTTGGTATAAGTCTATTGCACTTAGATATCCAAATCTTCAAACTGTTGCTACAGCTCCTAGGCATAACAAGAAACCTGAATCTCCAGTTGTTGAAAATCAGAATTCTGACTCCTCGTCCGAAGTTTTTAATGATGATATTTTCGAATATCATGAACTTGATGATCCATTCTTACTCATTTAAGTAGAATGACTATTTCATAGAGTTTGTTTATTGTTTGATTGTTAATTAAACTATTGACATGTCTTTTAATAATAAATTTTTATTTTAGAAGAATTTGATCAATATCTCACTTAATTTCATATTATATAGTTTAATTCTATGAGATTAATGTATAATTTATTATTAAAAATTATAACGTATTTCATTTTTAATAAGGCATTTGATATCAAAATTCTGGAAACCCTTAATTTTCCATTAATAATAGTATAAATTAACCAATTTCACAAGAAAAAATAGTATATTTAGCGTTCAAAGAATAATTCCATCTTTTCTATATGAATATGTAAAATTATGAATCGAATAACTATGAATTCATTTTGTAAGTAGTATTCATTGAAAATCAATCATATAGATAATGTATACATCATTTAGGGAATGATTGCTTATAAAATAAAATAATTTACAGAAATCAAATTTCTGAATTGATATGACTAATAATATACAATAAAACACTGAGAATATGAATAAATTTGTTGATATTTTTCTTATCATTATTGGCTTTAATCAAATTCTTCCTTAAAACTATACCAAAAAACTAACGCTTGAATTGATCCGACGTTTTTTGGCTCAATTTGGACAGTTTTGCATAAATTTCTTCTTAAAATAATACAAAAAACCTACTATCTGTATGAAATTTGTAAATTTCGATGAAAATAAATTTGATGTGAAAAAAGAATTTAAATTTTATATTTTATTTCCTTGACAACTTCACATGTTAGGTCCCCTTTTGCAAATTTGAAAAAATCTCTTCATTCATTTCTATCAGCGCGCCAATAGAAATGAATTATATATATAAGAAAGATTAGCACACATTTCAAAAAATATTGTAGAATCAAAAAACATTTCTATATTTTATAAATCCAATATATGTTTGTATGGAAAATTCGAGAGATTCAAGGATAATACAGTAAGAATTGAAAATCTAAGTGGAAAAATTCGGTAAGAGTGATCTCACCCTTTTCCAATATCGAAATAATTCTGAAATTAAATTTCATTTATGACATTTTTCATGAATTTCGTGCAGAGATAACTCAAATTATGCAATTTTAATTTATAAATACATTCCTTCTGTTAATTCTGTAAAGTATTTTCGCCTCAAAAAAGATACAATCAAACACATACTATTATGCTAATTTTATTGTATTTATACCTTATGAAATTCATTACCATGTTTTTTAAAAAATTAATTTTAATCAATGTCAAATCAAATTCTGATTTTGAAGTATATTTTCTTATTAAACCATATTCATAAATTGAACTTGGTCTTCAGAATCTTTTTCTACTTTCAATTGATGTTTCTTGATGATTAAAAATGCCCCGATGCATACGGCAGCAATAATGAGGATGCCAATAATTATTCCTGCAATAGCTCCAGCTCCTAGTTTTCCAGATTTGGACTTCTGATCGTTTCCTTGGTCATTGTTAGGCGTGATTACTTCCTCGGGCGCAGTTGTTTGTGGTCGTATGGTGGTAATTGCAGGTGTTCGTTCGGGCGTTGGATTTGGAGTTTGTGGTGGCCAGATTGCATACAAAAAATCGTATGTTAAATTTCCAAACCTCTTAGCTTTGTCAGGCTCATCAAAAATAATTCTGGTTAACGTGATATCTCTTATAATTGGGTCAAATATAAGAAGATTAATGCTCTTCAAAGTGAGTGTTTGACCTGGTTCAACAATATATTTCTGGACTTTTCGATCATTAGTCCAAGCAGTAACATTAAAAGAAACCTGATCTGGACATGTGATATTTGTTGAGAATGAATAAAATGAATATACTTCTTGAGGTATATCCATTTTTCGAATTCTGTATCCTATTGGTTTGTCGGATAATGCATCGATGGCGAAATTGAAAGATTTTCTCATATATGTAAAAGTATTTTCATATAATCCTTCCATAACAATTGTAACATTTTGGGTTCCATTGTAGGATCTGATGTTATAGTGATAATCAATCTTTTCAATAGCTAATTCGCTTTCACTATAAAAATGGCATAATTGATAATCCAGATAATGATAAGGATAAACGTTAACTGATGATTGAATATCTACAGATTTTTGATTTGGATTACCATTTAATGTTATATATCAATGGGATTACATAAATGTTAATGAAAATTCTTTCTCCAACTGAATAATTTTGTAGCTTTACAAAAAAATTTTTTTTGTCAGAATGCAGAGACCAACTTTTATTGAATATGCTCAGAGAACAGGTAGAGGCATGATTACTGGCCATGGTTTTGCTCTTATGGGGTCAATGAAGCACGCACTCTTTGAGGCCCCTTATGGATCAAAAATGGCTGAATTTAAATCCAATTTTGCTTTAACATCAAAGCAAAATGCTGTTAGCATGGCAAAATGGGCTCTTTGCTCTGCTACAATCACACCATATATAACTTCTCGCATTAAAAATCCAATAGTTGCAGATATCGCTGAAGGTTCTATGGTTGGTGCTCTCTTAGAATGGAGAAATGGTATGAAGGGAATTGCATCGGGGGCTTTCCAAGGTGCCCTTCAGTCAGTTTTCATGACAGTTGTCGGAAAAGGTCTCCAGATCGTACTTACACCAATTAATACATACAGAAACAATCAAAGAGTAAAGAAATTCACAATTGAACGCAATCAAAATACACTTAAGTCTCCATTTGAGGCCATTTCTACAGTTTTCTTCAATTCTCCAAAATAATTTAGAAATATATAAGTAAATTATAAAGTAAATTGTCAAAATTCTATGATACTAATCTTTCTTTTTTACGAACTACAATAATTATTGACATTTTTTTTTAATCTCAATATTCAAATAAAATCATGCAAAAATATGAGTTAAAGGATAGAAAAGTAAGTTTATTATATGAAAAATCTTTGATTAGATAAAGATCAAAAAGGAAAATTAAGATTTGTTTTGAATTCTATTGTAAATTGATAAATTAATCTAATGAAAGGATATTAACGAATAATACGATATGATTCACCATATATCCTCAAGGAATTAACACTTGAGCGCAGAAATAATTTCGCAAAGCAAACTGTTTCTATAAAATGCTTAATTGTTACTGGGTTTCTAAAAATATGTAACTTCGAAGTGCAATCTTAGGGTTTTCAGCTACTTAATTCAGTGGAAGTAGGAGTTAATTGAATTTTTTTGTGAATTCATCAATAGAGTAAAGATACATATGAGAAATTGGAATCATGAGCTTTTTGATTAGCTTCAACTGTATAAGAAGAATAAATCAAATACAATTTTTCAGATTAAAAAAAAATCTTCGAAATTTTCTAAGGCTCATCTAATCCATCTCCAATTGAGGACCAAATATTTGTTGTTCCAATAGGAATGTGTTTCATTTGAACTTTATCTTCTTTGATTTGGGGCTTCTCAACAAAATTTTCAACAATTTTCTTATCAGATTCAGAATGATGAACTATTGTGTCCGAATTCTTATAGATTTTGTCTAAATCACTTAATTTAGGACGACGTTGATGCAGTCCTTTTTTTGTTATCATATCTAATTCGGCTGTCTGATTGATATCACGCATTGTGTCAGATCTGGTCTTTTCAACTTCTTTTATACGGCTGCCTGATAATTTTTCTTTTAATTCTTTTGCTTGTTCAATGCGGAAATCTCTCCAAGGCTCAAAATGGCGCGTTCCTCCTGACTCTACAATGTAATCAGAATTCTCTGGATCAGTTTTCAGTACAATTTCTCCATAACATTCTTTGCAATGAATGTATAGTCTATAAACTGTAATTCCAAGGTAATCTTGGCCGTACGCTATTTCTTTTCTTGAGTTTGCTTTGGTACCTGGTCCCATTATAAATCCGCAATTATTGCATTTAATTGCCATTGGAAGCATAAATCGTGTATCATGCTGTCCATTTTTAGGTTTCGATTTCCTTCCTGTATCAGATGGATCAAAGTTTGGAGGGATATAATATGACGATACTCTCCTTTGACCCATTCAGGGAAAATACACTATAAAATGAATAAAACTCATGTTTTATATAGATGTTTTAATGACGGCGCCGAACTATTACCCACTAACAGAATTCGATACGCAGCGATATAACTTGAACATTCTTAGCTATTTTTAAATGGTATTTTATAGAATTGATAAATATACGTATTTTGATATGAAATTAGTTGAAAAATAATACTCAACATATCAAATCTCAATAATTATGATAAATTATGATATGCCACTCATCAAACAATATATCTAATTATAACCATAAGTACAAAAAGTGCATTTTCCAAAGACTTTAAGAAAATTTGAAAAATATCGAGAATAAAAAAGTAGTTAAGAAATGTAAAGCATAAAATGCAAATCAACTGAATCTACTCTGTTAATATTCTCGAACTCTATAAGGACATGAACAAATTTGTTTCTACGAAATTAAAATCAAGTCATGGAAAAATTAATTAATAGCTTAGTTTGATTAGATGATATATTCTGAAACGTAAAACGCATTAAACATAAAGGAAATCTTATCATGAAAGAATTGCAAAAAAAGTGACGATTTCGCAAAATTCGAAGAAATTTATGGATAGCAAAGGTAATATCTATGGGTAATTTTGAAATTACGGATGAATTTATGATTGATGACATAAATATCCTTTCAATGGTCTTAAACAAAGGAACTTTTACTAAATTTTTGAAATGTTCGATATTGTGAACAAATTTTCGAGATTTATCATATCGAGATGTGGGTTGTACTACGAATCATATTTTGAATCGGGAAATCACTAAATTGTAGAAGACTATCTTTGATCGATGCTTCAACGTGCCATATGGCAGGTTTTGAATTTGATAGGTCAGAAATAAAATTGTGAAGACATCGTTTTTGTTTTTGAATTGTATTGAATTTGAGATAATTCTACCAATCAAGAAATGCGAAAATTTATACGCAGTTTACAGTTTTCTTTGCTAAAATAGGAATATAAAGCCCATTCTGGATTGATTAATTAAGTTCATTTGATATTTGGACGATTTATTGACAGTAAAATTAATGTAGAAATCATAAATTAGAGAGGTACGAATGAACTAAAGTATATAAATCATGATTATACGGAAATAAATTGAATGATTAAATCCGACGCTGAAAGGAGATAAATATTGAAAATATAAACTCTTTGTAAACTTTTCAAAAAATGAATTGAGAATTTGAATCAATGCATCCAAATATATGAAATTTTGATAAAATATTTATCCATAAAGATAATAGATCTGATGTTTTCGATTAGAGATTTATTCACAATTTTTTTTGGAAAATTTTTTTATTATTTACATATTTATACATTAACAAAATCAAATTAAATTTCCAGAAACTATAAACGTTATTTCGCATTCAAATTTGGCTAATGCAAAATATTAATAACTAATTTAAATTAGTTAAATATTTTCAAAAATTCTTCGCTTATAAAATTCAATAATTTTTAATTCAAATGTTATAGCATGATTTTCTTTTATTTTTTGCATATCCATTAATTAATTAAAACATATGACGCTCACTTGAATGTTCGATTTCTTATCAAAAATTCTAAATATCTTTCAAAAATTAAAGATCGTTTTGTCATTTTAGGATAACATTAATAACTATCATTAATCCTATTAAATAAACAACAAAACATTTTCAATCCTTTCAATTTTCTTATTTTTATGATTGGAATTTTCAAAGTACTTTCAATTTCTTCGCCTAAAGTTTATTTTTAATTTTTGATGCATAAACCAAACAGATGTTGGATGAATTTATTAGTTTTGAGAGCGATTTCAAATTCAGTAATTGTTCGGAATTGAGAGCTATCTTTCTCAATTGAGGCGTTCAATCAAAATCATATCATTTTTCGGCAATGCTCCGCAACGATGGATACGAACAACTCCTTACACAGACAAACAACGAGTTCAAGCTCTCTGTCTCTGCAGTTAATCCAAATGGCTGTGCAAAGGAAGGCACATTAACACTCTGTGTTGGCTCTGCAAAGAACTTCAAGAGAAACCAGCAAGAATTCAAGGTCGGCCAGCGTCCAATGGGCACAGAGTACAACTTCCAATACACAAACCCACACCGTTCTTCAATCGTCATTGCTCTCTACAACCGCAAGTCCTTCTGGTCCCAAGATCAGGAATTAGGCAAGACTGAAATCACCCTTGACAAGTTTGACGCTAATTATCCATGCGAGCGTGAAGTCCAACTTGGTGAGAACGGCCCACGTGTAATGATCCGTGCCCAGAGAACAGAAAACTTCTAAAAGGTCTGAGCATGGCTTAAAGACCTTCAATACTATTCTTAATCTATTGAAAAACTTCAATATCTTTCCAATGAAATTCCGTATTAAACAATTGTATGAACTTTAGTTAATTTTCAACATTCAATTTTTATCCAATCCTTCAAACAAGTTGAAATATTCGATTTCAAGTTTGAACTCGAAGTTATTCAAAAAAATTTATATCATCAAATTAGACATCTTAATTTTAATTCCCTACTCAAAGAATCGAACCTTTGTCCTAATGCACTAAGTTTTGCAAACAGGTTTATTCAAAATGTTCGATTTTTAATCTATAGGTAATCTGTGACAAAAAAATGTACCTATAACACATTCACAGTACTCTAATTTCTACTTAAATTTGTTCAAATGAGAAAATTCCTGTAATATTATATCAATAAACAACTTTTTTTTATAAAATATGTAAGACATTTATATTTAGTCAATATTTGAGCTTAAAGTATACCTTATCCGTCTTTGCATGAAATTGTTTGTGGATATTGTTGACATTTATACTGCATAATAGAATATGTTGAATCTTGATTTCTTCATTAGGATTTTCTGCTCATTAAAAATACCCGAAATAGTTTTACCTCTAGTTTATTTTATATATTTGAAGGTCGGGTTCCACAACTCCCAAGTCTCATAATTCCATCCGATGAAATAAGGTTTATTTCTAAATCTCTATCTATTAAGTAGGAATTTCTTTAATTGTAAACACGGGAATTTAATTTGAAGATATAGTGAATAATTACTTTGATTAATAAAATAAAATACAAATTTTAACTGGAAAGTATTTATTTGAAATTTCAATTGAATAAATTTCATTCAACCTTGAAAAGAGCAACACCAAGAGCGCTCATCTCAATGTTGTATGTTCCGTTTGAGGATGTGTATGTCTTCCCACTGATCAAGTCAGTGAGTTTCGTTTCCCCGACTGTGTAAGAAGCTGTGACAGTGTTTTGTGCGAGGTTTGCAGCGAAAACGACTTTGTTTCCTGTCTGTGAGTCGTATTTGCAGTTGAAGATGATACCGTTGCTGTATGTCTTTCCGTTCGTTCCTCTCCACAATGATGGGTTCTCGCTCCTGATCTGCATGATCTTTGCAGTGAAGTCGTGAAGGTCTTGCTCCTTAGTGCTGAAGCCGCTGATCTTTCCGTCTGTCCTTGCGCAGTAGGGTTGTTAAAAATATCAAAAATTAGCGTTTTGAAGACACCATGGTGTCTTATAATTTTCCCTTCCTTATTGGCGTGTAGAAATAAATGCGCCAATAGATTGAAGAAGAAGAATTGTTTTTCTCTTAATGAACTTTAATCCTTTTGATATAAGAATATTAAAAACATTAATATAATTTCGATTTCGGAAATTAAATTTCCAAATTTTTTGTCGATTTCAGAAATAACAGGATCCCGCATCCAACACGCAACAACAAAACACAAAACACACTTTTTGGTTCTTTCATCGTTTTAATCGTAATTTATGTAATACATGATTTGGATAAATTTTACAAAAATAGAACCTATATTATATTCTTTTCAAAGATTCTTGCAAATCATCAAAAATAATTGTATTATAAAAAACGATCAAATTATCCTTTCATTATTTTAAACTTAAATTAGTTTTTATGATTGACTAAAGCAATCATATTTATTCATCATTAAATAAACAAAAAAATAATATTTGAGAGTTATTCAAAAAAAAAAACACATTGAATTTATTAATTTGTCTCAATTTCAGTATTATAAATTTTTATAATTTCAATATTTTGAAATACACTTTTTAATATTTCAATATTTAGGATATTTCAATGTATTAAGTGGTCTCAAATTGAGCTTCTCAAATATAAGTTGGCCTATTCAAATAATAAAATTAAATAATATTTAAAATAATAAATAAAAGTGATTGAGGTCATAGCAAAACGGCTGTTTCAGTCATTAATTCTTAAAAATAAAAAGGGTAAAAACTAAATACAATGGGTAAAATTCAATAGTGTCTGTGCTATCGTTCAATTTGAAGGTGTCTTTTGAAACCGCAAGACACATTGAATTTTTGAATAGTGTATTATGGTTTGACAGACACCAATGAAAAAAATAAAATGATATTTATTTTAAATATATAAGATCCTTATATAAAATATAAATATTTTATCGTTTTATTTTCTTGTTTTAGAAATGTTTTTTATTGAAAAATCAATAAAACTAACTCCAAAATAAAATTTTTGATTTAAAGACACTATGATGACACCAGGCAAATCTTCCAAGACACCTATCGTCGGGAATCTAACAACCCTATTGCGCAGTTGTCGCTGTATGTGTTTCCTCCGCATGAGTTTCCAGAGCCATACCAGCATTCTGCGATGTCGCCGTACTCGTCACCGTAGTATATTGTGATTGGTCCTGAGTAAGCTGAGAGGACGCCGAGAGCGATCTTGTACCTGTTCCAGTAAGCATCATTCTCGCGTGCATATCCGTATTTGCTGCGGATGAGGTTTCCGAAGCGCCATACGTCATGGTTTGTGATGAACATATTCGGATAGACATCGCCACTGTATCCTTTCTCTGATGGAGTTCTGAACACGTTTCCTAAGTTCTCTACTCCGTAGCCGCCTGCGCCAGATTCTTCCATGGCGAGTGTCTGAACGAGGTTGTATCTTGATGGGAAGTCAAATGCAGATCTAAGTCCGTTCTGTCCATAAGTTCTCGTATTGATATCTTCTGCACCAGACCAGTGCTCGCCGACGATGTATCCGAGGATGCCCCACTTCTCGCCGTTGTTCTTTCTAGTTGCGCACAGTGTTTCGACTGCCTGTCTGATCTCGCACATGTAGTTATGTCCATTCTGGTAGAGCTGGTAGCACTGATCGAGTCTCCATCCATCGATTCCATACTTTTCGATCCAGTATGTTGCAACTTCTTTGTAGTAGTCTAAAGATCCTGGGTATGAGACTGGGTTCGATCCTCCTTGTGGCCATAATCCATTTGGTGATGCGCTACTGACTCCGCCGTGATGACCGAAGACACCATCAAGGATTACGTAAAGACCGAGATTGTGAGCTGTGTCAACAAGTTCTTTGAAAGTTGCTTCATCACCAAATTTTGGATCTATCTTGAAGTAGTTTGTCGCGAAGTATCCGTCGATTGAAGGAGGCTTCCTCCTTGTCCGTTCGTTGAGTCGAAAATTGGTGTAAGCCATAGAGCGTTTACATTGAGTCCCTTGATGTATGGAAGAGCATTAATAATACCGCGGAGATCTCCTTTGTGTGATGATGGTCCGTATCCAGTTCCATATCCAAGAGAGCTATCTCCATCCTGGAAAGATGATACCATAACTTGGTACATCCTAATGTTGTTGAAGTCTTCGGACTTCGACATGCATGCTAAGAGAGATAGTACACTAAGCATTTGCGTATTCGTAAAAAATGATATACTATAACTTGATCTTTTTTTTTAATCAGCTCTCTGTCAAAATTTCTACCGCATATTCAAAAAATTCACCCATCACGATAATTTTTATCAAAATTTAAATATAGTTTTGGCAATTGAGCTCAATTGTTTCTTCTCTATGTCTATACTATTATTATCGATAATTTTCTTTTTAAGGCTATTGAGATTCAATGAAAAGTACATTCATTGTTTTTTTATCCTTTCAATTTTGGCTAACACTCCCAACCTCTCTACCTGTGGGTGTCTATAAAATCTATTAATTCAGCATTTTCACACAGTGATATCATAATATGAACTCTTTATATTGTTCATTCACTTGAATAATATATATTTATTGTTTAAAATTTTTATCAATAAAGGCTGAAATAAATGTACAGGATAAACCGCTGTTATGGTCTCTTTTGTAATTTCAAATGTTTAGTTAGATTTGAAATTTCATTTATCGTTTTTATTATCTTCATATTTTGATGCTATATTTGGATATAAATAGATTTTGTTAAATTAGGCGAATAAAATGTGATTGTGTTATAAGTAAATTCAAAATATGAGTATAAAATTATCATTATCCAATGCGCTTTTGTGGTGATAATCAAGTAAAATGGATGTTTAATCTATCAAATGATGTTTTTAATGTATGAAATGTGCATAAATATAAACAATTGATAATAATTTCGAATTTGTTGTTGGATATTAAGAACAAAAAGGATTGAATAGAAAGTGCTAAACCTTTGACAAAAGCTTCTTAGCCAAATTTGAGATATTTAAGAGGTAAAATCCTTGAAAATGAATGAGGTTATCAGAGTTAATGAATTTTTTGAATATGCGGTAGAAATTTTGACAGAGAGCTGATTAAAAAAAAAGATCAAGTTATAGTATATCATTTTTTACGAATACGCAAATGCTTAGTGTACTATCTCTCTTAGCATGCATGTCGAAGTCCGAAGACTTCAACAACATTAGGATGTACCAAGTTATGGTATCATCTTTCCAGGATGGAGATAGCTCTCTTGGATATGGAACTGGATACGGACCATCATCACACAAAGGAGATCTCCGCGGTATTATTAATGCTCTTCCATACATCAAGGGACTCAATGTAAACGCTCTATGGCTTACACCAATTTTCGACTCAACGAACGGACAAGGAGGAAGCCTCCTTCAATCGACGGGATACTTCGCGACAAACTACTTCAAGATAGATCCAAAATTTGGTGATGAAGCAACTTTCAAAGAACTTGTTGACACAGCTCACAATCTCGGTCTTTACGTAATCCTTGATGGTGTCTTCGGTCATCACGGCGGAGTCAGTAGCGCATCACCAAATGGATTATGGCCACAAGGAGGATCGAACCCAGTCTCATACCCAGGATCTTTAGACTACTACAAAGAAGTTGCAACATACTGGATCGAAAAGTATGGAATCGATGGATGGAGACTCGATCAGTGCTACCAGCTCTACCAGAATGGACATAACTACATGTGCGAGATCAGACAGGCAGTCGAAACACTGTGCGCAACTAGAAAGAACAACGGCGAGAAGTGGGGCATCCTCGGATACATCGTCGGCGAGCACTGGTCTGGTGCAGAAGATATCAATACGAGAACTTATGGACAGAACGGACTTAGATCTGCATTTGACTTCCCATCAAGATACAACCTCGTTCAGACACTCGCCATGGAAGAATCTGGCGCAGGCGGCTACGGAGTAGAGAACTTAGGAAACGTGTTCAGAACTCCATCAGAGAAAGGATACAGTGGCGATGTCTATCCGAATATGTTCATCACAAACCATGACGTATGGCGCTTCGGAAACCTCATCCGCAGCAAATACGGATATGCACGCGAGAATGATGCTTACTGGAACAGGTACAAGATCGCTCTCGGCGTCCTCTCAGCTTACTCAGGACCAATCACAATATACTACGGTGACGAGTACGGCGACATCGCAGAATGCTGGTATGGCTCTGGAAACTCATGCGGAGGAAACACATACAGCGACAACTGCGCAAGGACAGACGGAAAGATCAGCGGCTTCAGCACTAAGGAGCAAGACCTTCACGACTTCACTGCAAAGATCATGCAGATCAGGAGCGAGAACCCATCATTGTGGAGAGGAACGAACGGAAAGACATACAGCAACGGTATCATCTTCAACTGCAAATACGACTCACAGACAGGAAACAAAGTCGTTTTCGCTGCAAACCTCGCACAAAACACTGTCACAGCTTCTTACACAGTCGGGGAAACGAAACTCACTGACTTGATCAGTGGGAAGACATACACATCCTCAAACGGAACATACAACATTGAGATGAGCGCTCTTGGTGTTGCTCTTTTCAAGGTTGAATGAATAATTATGAGTGAAATTATGTGCTAGCTTTGTTGAATAAAAGGTCATCAAAAAAGCTTTTGATATATCTCTAAATTTAATAAAATTTTCAAGAAAAAGTTCAAATGAACAATTAATTTAATGAATAATCGCATTTGCTCTACAAGCTAGTGATTTTTCTTTAATTATGAGAAATGGAATATAAAATGGTTTACGTTTTTTTGAAAAATTTTCTATCGTCCGCACGTTATTAATATTTTTACACGTTCATATGGGCTGTGTTAGTTCTCAAGCTACTGTTCCAATAGATGATATTATCATTTCAATCTTTGGTATAGATAATGCTGGTAAAACCTGTTTGTTACGTTCTCTTGCCGGCAATTTCGAATTTGACTGTGTACCAACTGTCGGTCTTGGCCAGGAGTCGTTTATGTACAATGATATCAAGCTCACAGTATATGATTTAGGTGGTAACGCCAAGTTTAGGTCAGTTTGGGAGCGTTTTTACGCTGCAACATGGGGATTTATTTGGGTCGTAGATGCAAGTGATGAAGCAAGAATCAATGAAAGCAAGGAAGCCTTACACAAGATGATTCAACACGAATTTCTCAAGACAAAGCCATTTATTGTCGTGGCCAACAAGCAAGATAAGGAAGGAGCCATCAAAGCCGCTGATTTGAAGAAGCGCTTAGACCTTCCAAAGAAAATCCAAGTCGTTGATGCAATTGTTACTCAACCAAATATAGAAGAAAAGAAACCTAACCCTGGTGTTAGCGCAGCCCTCGATCTACTCATCAATACAATCATCGCTGATTATCCTAAGCTTGCCTCAAAGAGACAAGTTGATCTTAAGAAACAAGAAGAAATTGATCAGCGCGAAAAGGAAGAAAAGAGAGCAAGAATCGAAAAGGCTCGCGCAGAACGTGAAGCGAAGGCAGCCGAAGAAGCAAAGCAGGCAGATGCAGCTCAAGCTCAATGAAATATTTTTATTTTATTATTGTGTTCACTGTTATAAATCATTATACATCTCTATTTGCATTTTGATTCGATTATTTCGGACTTTTATGTTGGCTATTAAAAAAAGAAATCAATTATTTCCCTGAAATTTCATCTAAAACTTTGGATTAGGTCAGATGGCGTAAATTTAGTCATTTTATGTAAATTTATTATATATAATAAAGGATTGAATAATAATTCAACATTCAAATGCTTAATTACATAGCTCTACTTGTAGAATAGACTTGGATCTATCTATAAGATTAAGAATTTTAATGATTGATCAAAAAAATCTAAAAGAGGAACTAAAAAAAAATTCTAAACTTCCTCATTTGGTAAAAAAAAAGAATGACTGCGCAAAACGTACTTCCTTGGGTAGAAAAATATCGTCCATCTAAGTTAGATGATGTCGTTAGCCATGAAGCATGCATTAGTACTATCAAGAAATTCATTGATAAGAACTGTTTACCGCATTTGTGTTTTCATGGACCTCCAGGTACCGGAAAAACAACAACAGCTATTGCAATCTCGCACCAACTCTACGGAAATGATACATCAATGTCAGTTTTAGAGTTAAACGCATCAGACGAGCGTGGTATTGATACTGTTAGAATGAGAATCAAAGATTTTGCAAGTTCAAGAAGCTTATTTGGTCCAAAGATCAAGCTTATTATCCTTGATGAGTCAGATGCTATGACTGGCGCTGCTCAAGCCGCTTTACGTAGAATCATGGAACAATTTACTTCAAATGTACGTTTCATTCTAATCTGCAACTACCCTGAGAAGCTCATCCCAGCGCTTCGTTCCAGGTGCACGGAATTCCGTTTCCAGCCTTTACCAGACGAAGATGCAGCCAAATTCCTTAGACACATTGCTGATGCAGAAAAGCTTAACATGGACGAAGGAGGTCTCAAAGCTCTGCTCAAACTTGGCATTGGCGATCTCCGTCGTTCTATTAATCTTATGCAGACAACATCTATGTCAAATACAAAAGATATTACAGAGGCAAACGTTTACAGATGCTCTGGATATCCGTTACCTGAAGATATGGCTAGAACTCTCGAACAATTAATTAATAAGCCATTAGATGAAGCCTTGAACACTTTAAACGACCAAGTATTCAACAACGGACTTTCCCTCCTCGATGTTATCCGTGAACTCCACAGCCAAGTCGTTTTGATGGAGTTTCCACCACTTGTTCTAGCAAATCTCATTGAAAGACTAGCCCAAATAGAAAGATGCTTGGCAGAAGGTTCTCCTGAGCGCGTACAATCAGCTGCAATTGCTGCTGCCTTCCAAATGCTTAGAATGGAAATTGAAGCTTAAAAGAACTGGCCAATTCAACCTCAAAAACTTATAATTCATAAAGATAATGTTAATGATTAAATTGTATATCTAAATTTGCAAAATCTGACTAAAAATATCAATCTCAATAAAAGACTTGCTAGTTCTTAATAAATCAATAGCTTGTTTAATGCTATATTCATTTTTTGTTTTCATATTATCACAATATAAAGAATTATAGAATTTCGCATGATCAAAATTTATTCAGTATTTGAAATTTTGTATTTTATATTTGTATTATATATAGAGAGTCTCCGATTCTTTCAAAATATTAAGTTATATTTTTTATGGTGAATCATAAAACTTGTAGTATGATTTGAGTTTTATGATTTCAAGTAAAGTAATTTTGACTTTTGGGCTTTTGAGAAAGGAGTATACCCAAATCTACCAGATTTCCCAAATTTTATTGGGGAAAAAGCATAGCTCTTTAATTCAATTTTGAGTGTAACTTAAGGGTGCACTTACCACTTTCTGACATGCTATGAAAAAAGCAATATATCTTTATTTTAATAAAAGAAAAGTATAGCAGCCATATTAGGTTATATAAAGAAATTTATATCTGCTTTCTCCTAACCAAAAATATTAACTTTTGACCTTAGAATATTGGGATTCAAATCTTGTGTGTCAAAAAAATTGAGAAAATGTCAGAAAGTGGTAAATGCGCCCTTAAAAAAATTAAATAGTTGTAAACTGTGTTTGAAATTTTTCAAGAATCAGCTCAAACATTGAAGAAATGAGTTTCATCATATGATGTGAAAATTATGTGAACAACGATTATTTTTGATTCAAATATTAATTCTATGTGGCAAATTTTTAAGGTTTCAAAAGATAGACTTTAATTTAGTTTCCTTAGTTTAATTTTCTTTTTAATTTGTAATCGATTTGATGAAAATGGTGTTGAATTTTCAGATGATTACAGCCGTTTAGTTCGTGCCCCTGCTGGATTAAGTGGTGATTTTGTAATTCCAACTTCAGTTGTTGAAATTTCAGGTGGAACTAATCAATTATCTAGTCCTTTCAAAGAGTGTCGTAGTAATCTCAAGTCTATTCGCTTTGATGTTTCTAGCAAAGTACAATATATTTGTAAATGGTGTTTTTCATATACATCACTCGAAAGAGTTGACATGGAACAGTGTACACAGTTAATGTCCTTAAATAACTCCGTTTTTTCTCATTGCACGAATTTAAAAAGCATTCAAATGCCTCCAAATATCAAGACAATTTGTGCAGGTTGCTTTTGTGAAGATTCAAATTTAGATTCAATAACTTTACCAGATACTGTGGAGACAATTGATGCATTTAGCTGGGAAGATGGTTCTGTCTTCTATTCAGCTTTAAAAGAAATCATTATTAAACGAACATCAAATCTAAAGAGAATTCTTGATGCCGCCTTTGAAAGCTCCATGATCACTTATATTTTCATTCCACAATACTTAACATCATTAGATGCTGGTTCATTCTTAAGATGCAGACAATTGTCAAGAATTGAAATTGATGAAAACAACCCAGTATATCAATCAGAAGGTTTAGTAATCTTTTCAGATAATAAAGCAACGATATATTGTGTTTCACCAAATTTAACAGATACTTTTGTCATTCCATCAACAATAACCAAGCTTTCAGCGTCATGCTTTCGTGGAGTGCCAATAACAAATATCATTCTACCTTCAACTCCAATATCTTTTTCGAGATATTGCTTAGGCGAAACCAAAATAACAAATTTCACGTTCCCAGAAACATCAACTGCAGTAGAAGAAAATATGTTTTCCAACAATATATATTTAAAATCAGTTGTTTTGGATGATAATATTGTTACAATATGTGCTTCTGCTTTTTCGCAATGTGAAAATTTAGAGAACATTAATCTTCCTCCAAAATTGACAACAATATTGAATTCTGCTTTCTTATATTGTTATAGTTTGAAGCAATTAACATTCCCTGCATCTCTAACAACTTTGGGAGAATCTGTATTCGGAAATTGTATTCTTAAAATAAATACATCACAAAATACTCACTTTTTATCTGTAGATGATATGTTATTTTCAAAAGAAAATACATTACTAACTGATTATTTTGGCCAAGATCCTGAAGCTTCCTTGAAAATTCATTCTCAATGCACTATCATTGGAACAGGAACATTTTCAGGGAAAAAATTGAAGAAACTGACATTTGATGGGAATTCATTGACAGAAATCAGAGAAAGTGCATTTTCAAGTTCAACATTAGTTGAGATAACATTGCCGAGCAGCTTGACAACACTTGGTTATAAATGTTTTGATTCATGCTATAAACTAACAACCGTAACATTCATGGGAAACAAAATCACATATATTCCAAATTATTGTTTCAGCAATTGTTTTATGCTAAGTGAATTTCAATTGCCATCATCAATAACTACCATTGGGGATTATGCATTCAGTAGTTGCTTCGGCATCAGTGATGTTGGATTCCAAAATACAGAAATAAGTATTCTCGGAATGTATAGTTTCACAATGAGTGGACTTAGCGCATTTGATGTTTCTCATTCTCTTTCAAAAGTTGGATTTGGATGTTTCGAATCAAGCTTATTAAATCACGTCGAAATTTCTGTTGAAAGTATTCCAGAACTTTGTTTCAACAACTGCACATTGTTGAATTATCTAGCATTGAATGATGGTATTTCTTCTATTGATGATAAATCATTTATGGATTGTATCGGTCTCACATCGCTCACAATTCCGAGCACAGTTGAAACAATTCGTTCATTTGCTTTCAAAGGCTGTACATCGTTGTCTATGATTACTCTGAGTTCAGGCAGCAGACTTCGAAATATCTATGGTGGTGCATTTTTCGACTGCGACAATCTTAACACAGTAAAATCGAACAGTGAGAACCATACTTACAACAATGGAGCGTTGACTGATGTCAATGAGACAATTCTGATCACATTTTTCCCATCAATTAGAATTACAACATTTATTGTTCCTGTTTCAATGAAGTCAATCGGAAACTATGCTTTCATGGGAAGCAAGTATTTGACTCGAGTTCTCTTCTATGGTGATCGGCTCATAGATATTGGATATATGTCATTCACGAATTGCACAAGTCTTTCTTTCTTATATATTCCTTCATCAAATCTTGCTACTATTTGGAAGGATGCGTTCACTGGTTGTACAAAACTTCGGAACTGTGGTTCTATTCAATGCATGAAAACCAAGCGAAGTAAGTTTACAGAACGTGGCATCCCAGATATTGCCTTTGTTGAGATTTGCCCAGAAAAAGAAGCATCATGCAAGCAGAATAGTTTTTCATCATTACCAGGTATATCTAGTATTGCTGTTTTTATTTTAATTTAAAAATTTCTATTATAAGTATTTTTTTTACATGCAAATACATATCATTTTATATTAAATTGATTATATTTAGAAGAAAATCAGTTGTAGTTCCCTTATATTCTAACAAATTCTTCATTTTATTAAATCTATTGCATTAAGTATCAAACTTTTTTCGGGATTGCTGAATTATTGATTTCTTTCAAATTTTAAATTCTTTTAAAAAATCAATAAAAACTTCTATAATATTTTTCTTTCATGATTTATTTGAAGCTTCATAAAAGTTATTTCTTGAAAAATAATGAAATCTATATAGGATTACTGAAAGCTTTTGATATATGAGATTACTTCAAATGATTCAATATTTCATTCGTGATCATGAGTCTAAGTATAAATTTTATAACATTAATTATTAAACTATTGGGGAAAAAAAGCAAACTCTATTTTAACAGTTTTGATATCGTGAATATATTTTAAATGATGATCCTTTGTAATCAAATTCTACTTGTAATGCATATACAAAGAGCTATTCACAAAGCAGTGGAATAAAAATTAAGAATAAAAAAAATGTTATTTTTTGTGTTAACTTTTACATAAAATTATTAATATTCAAATTTAGATTTTTCTCATTTCTTCGCATTACGTTTGGGTGATGCAGATGGTTTTCTCTTTGGTGATTTCTTTGGAGTTTCGTCCTCGGATTCACTCTTCTTTTCTTCCTCTATTTTCTTATTAGATTTCTTTTGTTTTCCTTTAGATTCTTTTTCTTCATCGTTTTTATTTGTTTTTCTTGATGTAGATTTCTTTTCTTCTTCTTCTTCTTCTTTCTTATTCTTAGGTCCTCTCTTTGTTGTGGACTTCTTTGTATGCTTCTCTTCTTCCTTATCAGATGATTTCTCATCATCAGAAGATTCTACTTGTTTCTTCTTTTTCGGCATTCTTTTCTTTGGTTTTTCATCTTCTTTTTCTGAATCACTTTCATCAGATGATTCTACTTGTTTCTTCTTATTCTGGCGTTTTGGAGAAGCAGATGGTTTTCTCTTTGGAGACTTCTTTGGCTTCTCTTCTTCGGACTCTGATTCTGAATCACTTTCTTGTTTCTTGTTCTGGCGTTTTGGAGAAGCAGATGGTTTTCTCTTTGGTGATTTCGGAGTTTCCTTTTCTTGTTTCTTCTTTGTTGGTGTCTTCTTTGTTGAATTAGATACCTTTCGCTTTGGTGTCTTTGCAACTTCTTTCTCTGATTCTGAAGAACTAGAAGAAGATCCAGAATCTGATGAATCTGAATCTGATGATGAATCTGAATCAGAAGTTGTCTTTGTTTCTTCTTTATCAGAATCAGAAGAAGCTTCAACTTTCTTTGGCTTCCTTCCGCGTTTCTTCTTTGGTTTTTCTGTTTCTTCTGTTGATTCTTCCTTATTTTCCTTCTCTTTGATATCCTTTCCGCGACGTTTCATTCTTGTTGTCCGTGCAGGACTCATTCCAGCATTCAAGACTTTGCTTGGTTTCGCAGGCGACTTGATAATATCGAAGTTCATTTTGAGAAGATCTGTTTTGATTCTATCGATATCTTCACATGGTTTGAAGTATCTTTGAGGAAGCAAAACTTCTCCCGGTGTCTGTGTTTGTGACCAACTCTTTCCGCCAACGATATCGAGAATAACACTGAGAGAAACATCAACAAGTTTGTTCATGTTTTCTGTGTAGTCTTCATCAATATCTTCTGCGTATTTCATGTGTCTCAAAACTTCCATGATTGACTCATAATTCGATGTTCCTTCAGTCAAAGGTTTCATGAAAGCTCTGATGTACAAAGCAAATGATTGGAATTTAGGAGCGTCTTTCTCGAAGTCCTGATGATGTGCTAAAATGTGAATAAGATATGGCAAAACGGTGATCGGTTTGACTTGTGATGACGCGTTTTTGTATTTCTTCATGATATCTCGTCTGAACTGGATTTGTTTCTTCAGATATTCTTCAGCCATTTTCACATTTGCTTTGACAGGATCTGTAGCGGAAAGCGCGAACAAAGAAAGGAATTGGATTGGCGTATGTGGATTATTCATTGCCAAATTCAATTGTTCAATGCAATGCTGTCTGACTTCTGGTTCAAATGATTGCATCAATGAAGCGAATTTTCTGAATGTCTCTGGCTTTGTTGCTTCATTGTACATGTCTGTGTTTTCGATTGACGTGCATTTCATGTAGGAATCAAATGTCTCTGAAGGGAATTTTTCTGACATTTTCTCATGGAAAGAAATGCATTTTTCTGGATCGAAACAACTGAATAACTTCAAAGCCCATGTAGCTTCTTCGCTGTCGAATTCTTCATAGTTTTCATTGATTTCGTCAACAATATCATCAGGAACAAGTCTTGCAACACCAATTCTAGCATAGAACTTGAGTTTTTCCAATTTCTCGTCCTTGGAAAACTTGATTTGCCTCAGAAGACTTTCATTTCCTTTCTTGAACAAAACAGAAAATGCTTCTAAAGCTTCGGATCTTTCACTTGTATTTGTAGCCTTTGCAAGTGCTTTAAGGACATCTGGGAGGCTAGGAATATCAAGCTTGTCGAGTTTGGTGAATACGGCAATGTCTGTTGGAGACATCCTCTTTGTCATGTCTGGAATTAATTCTTCGAAATCTGAATAAAAGATTTCTGCCATTTCTTTGGCAAATGTCGTGTTCTCCCATTCTAAAATATCATTTGGTAAGGCTGGCATAGGTTGGTAGTATCCTAAAAGTAAAATTGCCTGTTGTTCATTATCTAATTTTGATTTAAGATGTTTATAGAGGCGCTTTCTCTGTTTGAAGTCGAGGGCACTCTCAAAGAACTTGGGACTGTGCTTAATGGCCTTCTTAATGACTTGTACTGGGACAAATTGTTCGATTTGTTCTTTCATCTCTTTGTCTTTGTATCTTTGGGCCAAACTTCTGAAGATATTCGTATGCTTGAGCATTAACAATAATGGTCTTCTATCTTCGATGCCTTCAAGGATCTGATCTAATTTTCTATGTTCAATGAAAACGGAAAATGCTGTTAAAGGAACTGTTTTGTCGGATGGATACAATTGTAATACGGATTCTTCAAGCCATTTGTATTCTTCTGGATCCTTTGCGTATAATTCCAATAATAAATTCAAAGTCTTTGAACGAACGGATGGATCATTGTCTCTGACACGTGTTGCAACATCTTTGATGTCCATCTTGATCTCATTGAACTTCATTTTAGCAATTCCTTTGACAGTTGCTAATCTGACCTTAGAAGAAGGATCATTGATGGCCATTTTGATGGCATCCCAGATCTTTGTAATAAGGGATTCTGGTGTGAACTCTGGAACTTTGAAATCTTTGATGTTGTGTAAAATTGTGAAGCAGAATTGAATAACGAGTAAGCGAATCTCCTCCATTTCATCACGATTGCGGCCAATGATGGCAAGGAAGTAATCTACTGTTGCCTTTGTGATCTTCTGATGTGACAATGTTTTGGTAAATAATTTAACTGCAGCGCTACGTGTTGTTTTGTCTTCAGAAATGACATCACCGCGAAGGGAACCGTATAATTCTTCGGGTTGGACTTCGAGAATCTCTGAAACTTTGGCTGTTGCGTCAATTGCTTCAGCTCCTGAAAGAATTGAACGGATACTTGCCAATATTTCGTTCTGCTTTTGTGTAGAGATTGTTTTGATGATATCCTTTGCCTTCTCATTAGAAAGATGTTCAAGAATTTCTTGAATAACTTGTAAAGGAATTCTATCTGTAGCGTTGATAAGGTGTTTGAGGGATACCAATGAAGCCTTGCAATCTAACTCGGATAATGCGTCGAAAATTTCTGAGATAGATGTCGATTCGTGAGGAAGAACGAAGAAATTAATTTCGTTAGCGATGGTAATAAGGTTTTCGATCTCTTCGGCGTCCTTTTCTTCGATCTGTGGGAGAGCCTGAGCCATTAAATGGTATAATCTTGGTAAGTGGCCCGAATCTTCATCAAATATTGGGAAATTAGGTGCTGTTAAATTGAATGCGTAAAGGAATGCTCTTGTTAAGTCGACCTGCTGCTCTGGAACGTGAGTTGCCATGATATCTTCTGTTTCTATGAGGTAAGACATTGTTGGTCTTAATGTTTCAAGAGAAAACGGTGCTTGTTGCTTGCTTAGGAATGTTGCGAGGTTTTCAATGTTAGTAGTGAGCTTGGCACTGTCCAGCTCTGGATCAAAGAGCTCTAGTGCTAGAACTTCTTTCGCTGCCTTCATTGAATTTTGGCGGGAAAATTAAGTATCCAGTGAAATATGGCGGGGAAAAATACCATCAGAAATTAATTGGATTTTTAGATGCTACATAGTTCAAAATGAGTAATTGTCAGAGTCAATTCAAACTTTAGTCATAAATTGCATTCAAGAAAAATCTTGGAGAGAGATATTTTCAGGTACAGAGCAAATCAACATCTTGCTATATGAATGAAAAGATATTTCTTTAACCAACTATGGAATTGGTCATAAATTGAAGAAATAAAAATGAGATATCTTTATATTTTCTCATTATGTTCTTCACATGTTAGTTTATATGTATTTTCAATTATTTGCTGTGTTTCAACGAGAATTTTATTGAAATAACAAGAATTTGTATCGAAAATTTCGATATTCACTATATTAAAATAGAAATTTATTTCATTTATCGCTCATATATTGGATATTTAGGCTCTGTGATGATATTTAGGAATTTGATTCTGATTTCGAAAATTGGCAAACAAAACAAAAATGACATATTATAAAAAAAAAAAAAAAGTATTGGGGCTTCCAGGCACTTCGTGCCCTCTAGCCCCGAAGATGTTTTGTCACTTCTCTGTCACTTTTCAGGGTAAAAACATTTTTATTGTATATAAAATGAATTTTACAAAACCACCGTTACCCTTCTTTGGAAATAAGAGTAGATGTAAAGATATTCTATTGAGAGAACTTAAGAAACTACCGAATGGTCTAACATTTGTAGATTTGTTCGGTGGAAGTTTCTATATATCTCATTTGTGCCATACTGTATTTCCTGACTCAAAGATTATATGCAATGACTTCGACAACTATATGAACCGTCTCAAACATATACCAGACAAAACAAAATATTGAAAGAGTTAAAAGAAAAGATACCTATAGGTAAGATGGAACGTATACCATTAGATAAGAAAAATACTGTCAGAGAGGTTTTGAAAAAAGCAGAGTATATTGACTGGGATAGTATATCTTCTAGACTATTGTATAGTGGTTCTATAAGAGTTCATGACATTGAAACACTTATGTCAAACGTTTTATATCTTAACTATACAAAGGTTTTCAAAGAGAACATAGAAAAATATACTGAGGGTATAGAGTTTGTGAGATGTCGTTGGACAGAGTTGTATGAAAAATATAAAAACAAGGAAAATGTTTTCTTTATAGTAGACCCGCCGTTCTTTAACACATACGATTTTCAATACCAAGCAGACTGGACTTTGAGAGACTCTTTAGAAACTTTAGACGTTTTACATAACCATCCATGCTTTTACTTTACATCCGATAAAAGTGGTTTGGAAACCGTTATGAGATGGTTAGAGGATATACATGACTATGATTTTAGATACGATAAGATAGAATATGAGAGAGGTCCTATAAACCGGAAAAAGTGTCATAACAAAGAAATTTTATTGGTAACTAAATGTGGTTTGAAATAGGACTACTTGTTTTAGGTTTTTTCCATTGTGTCATTTACTTATTTGACGTGGCAGAAAGATATAGAGAATATGAAGATGAACCAATACCAGCAAATGTTCAGCATATGTACTCGTAAGAGATATTTTTATCTAATATTAAATGGACGCACAGAACTTAGCGAATGCACAGCAACCTGGACAACCAAACCCAGAGAATATTCCAAATGAAGTTAGAATACAAACTGCAATGGCAAACTATGGTCAAGTGCCAACAGATGTACAAATGCAAACTGCCATGTCAAATGACGCTGCGTTAGGCTTACCACCATGGTATGCAAATATGAGATGGAAAGAGTTTTATACAAACCCTGAAGTGGGATATAAACAACTCTATGCAGATGACGCGAACACAGGAGTTGACCCAGACTATGTTTTCTACCAGAGGAGAAATAGAATGTATGAGCTCCAGTTAAAAAATGCTATGGAACTCAACAGGAAACGTAAGAGACTAGGTGGACATTAGATTTTTACATATAGTAAAATGGGTTTCTTTGGAAGAATAGGAAACTTCTTTCGAAATGTTGGAAGAGGTATATGGAATGGAATAAAATCTGTCGGAAGAGGAATTTGGAACGGAGTCAAAAATATTGGTAAAAGAGTAGGTCAGTTCGTTGGTATTATACCTAAAGACCCTGAACCAGAAGAACAAGCTCCTGTTATACAACAGCCTGAACCTGCACCACAGTCAAGTTGGCAACCAAATCCAACACCTCAACCGTATTAAAATTATATTTTTACCGTTCGATAGTAGTTGTATATGAGACTAAGTTCTAAGTAAAACGCATGGTATAATGGAACTATTCTCTTTCTTCCATCTGTTGTAAACCATACTTGAAAGTCTGAAATACTTCCACTCGGTGGTTCATATAGCTTTGTAGGTTTTTCGTAAAAGTCATTTGCCAAGCATAAAAAAGAGTTTTGTGCACCAGAAAATGAAGCATGAACTATAATAGCATCTGAGTCGAAAACATTTTCATATGTTCCATTAGGGTTTTCGACTTCATAAAAGTTCGGGTGTACTGGATATTCTGCAGGCTGATTTAACATCCTCAAAAATCTATACCATGCCAAGTTGTTATATTTTATAGAAATATAAACGTCTTCTCCAAGGTCTTCTATTCTATTGATTTTAACAGTTGCATTTTTCCTGTCATATAAAATATCGAGATGGTACTCTCCTTCGTCAATGTTGTACTGTTTTGCATATTCGAGATAGATATCGTTTATTTTTTCTTGAAAAGCTTGAAGAGTTGTTTCTAAGTTTACAAGCAAACTAACTTGTAAAAGTTTTCCCTGTACAAATTTCTCATACGTACGTTTTTCTTTGTTATAGTATCGAACTTCAAAACCGACCGTAAATGGGAAACCATGTATGGCTTCTGAAATGAACTTCATTCTACGAAAGCCAATGGCTTTTGTGACGGATGGGTCTCTTAACCATCTTAGTGGGTAGTCAAAACGATAGCCTTCATGCTTTACGGTCTCTGTCTCAAACTTTTGACCGACATTCGTAAAAAGTTCATCTAATGGTTTAGTTGTAGCAACTCTTGAATTTTCTTTTTCTATTGAAAGCATATTTTATCTAGAATAAAAATGTCGAATGAAACAGCGTCTATGAGAGAAATACAACACAACCGACAACTCATTTTGCAAGCTCTAAATAAGAACACAACAAACTTTTCAAACTATTCTAAGATATCTGAGTCATTGAAAGAAGGAAACTTAAAACTGACATTAAACCCAATGACAGACGAGTTTCTGTTTCAAGACAATAAGAACCATACTGTTTGTATAAATCCAACAAAAGGAACTTTAAACGAGAAACCTATAAAAGAACTTCTTTTGAAAGCAGATGTTGACAACAAAGCTGACAAAGAGTATGTCATTGAAAAAGTTCAAGAAGAACATGACAGAGCAGATGCAACATATGCAACGAAAGAACATACTCATCCTGAACTAGCAGACAAAACATATGTTGACAATAAAATGTCAAGTGAAGTGACAAGAGCTGAAAACGAATATTCTAAAAAGACTCATATACATACCATTGCAAATATTACAAACTTACAAGAAACCTTAAACAGGAAAAGTGACGTTGGACATACACATTCTATATCTGAAATAACAGACTTAAACGTTAGCCTTGAAAAGAAAGCTGACAAAACATATGTCAACAGTGAGTTAGAGGAGAAGGTAGATAAGGGACTTATGGCTAGTGTGTTAGTGAAGAAGGCAGATAAGGAATATGTGGATGAAAAAGACAATGAAATTAAAGAAAGGGTTGAATGGTACCATGAACGGACAACAAAGATTTTAAAAACTAAAGCCGATACAGGATGGGTTTCAGGATGTTTAGACCTTAAAGCAGATAAGAACCATACACATACCATTGCAAATATTACAAACTTACAAGAAACCTTAAACAGGAAAAGTGACGTTGGACATACACATACCATTGCAAATATTACAAACTTACAAGAAACCTTAAACAGGAAAAGTGACGTTGGACATACACATAACTTCTTCTCAACTGTTGGTATAGAAAGTATTTTAGGAACGATTGAAGAAACTGGTGGGGGTGGATTATATTTTAAACCTCCTAACTTTCCAGAAGGTTTAACATCGGATAAAGACATTAGATGTAGAAATGTCTATGTCATGGAGGATGAAAACAAAGTTAAATTCACTGCTCAAGATTTATATGATAAGCTGACAAAACAGAGCTTCAAACGTTAAAGACAGAAATACTTCAAACACTATATCCTATAGGTTCTATTTACACGTCAATGAACTCTACCAGACCAGAAGTAGTACTTGGTCTCGGAACTTGGACTCAAATAGTCGACAGGTTTTTGTATTGTGCAAACTCTTCAAAGGAAACAGGTGGAAGTAAAACGATTTCAGGTGAAAACTTACCTGCGCACAGTCACTACATAGATTTAAGTACATCTCAAGCAGGTTGGCATAAGCATAGATTTTGGGATTGGTCAGCAATGAAAAAAGGTAAAGGATATGATGTTAAAGACGACGTTCAGTTTGCTATAAATTGTTTCTGGGTAGCACACAGGGAGAAGGAAACCATACACATCGCGTTTCAGGGTATACGCAAACAACGGGACAAAGTAAAGACTACATGCCACCTTACATGACAGTTTACGCATGGTATAGAAATGCTTAGTCGTCATTTTCAACTTCTTTAGCATATTCGTCAGGAGTTGTCTTATATTTGTTAGGAACTGTCTTTGAAAGTATACCACCTTGAACTTTGACAAGTTTGAAACGAGGTCTGACAATAGTAGTTTTATCTTCTGCTTGCAGTCTGTACATTTTGCCATGTTTGCCTAAAACTTCATAATATTCTCTTGTATACTTTCTTCTATTTTTACGAACACGAATGTGAGTACCTGTCGAGTTCCCATTGTTGTCATAGTCAATAGTATTTTCATATGGGTCGCGTTTAGGTATTTCTATTTTTACTTTGTCACCTTTCTGAAGTTTGAAGCCCGGCATTCT